TGCAAGTTACCTGTGGCTTGCCAGATTTTTTTGATGTCATTGGTGATCACTTACCTGATCCAACTATCCACTTACCCATCTCTCTCACCTGGTGAGAGGTCCACTCTATGTGTTCTAATGCCCACACATATTCACACTCTCTTCCCACATGTTAAGCTTCCCAAACATTCTTGCTTGGGCAAGTGCTCTGTGTGCATCAAGTTTGCCCAGCAGCTCCTCCAAGCCAAGAGCCCCCTTGAGGCATCCCAGTTTGCACAGGCAAGAGCTCACCATCTCTCCTTGTCTGCTGCAGAGAGGTTCAGTTACAAGGAATGATGTCATCATGCAAAGAGCTGCCACTACATGAGCATGATCATTGATTACTCCAACCCCCTCCCACCTTCCATTGCCCACCCATTACCCTGTTCCTAAGGTGTGGATGCAGGTAACAGGTTCACTATGGTGCTAGGTGGTATCATTGATCATGCCCAGGGCAAACACCTTTTCCTCCACCCAGCCTTTTTGGCCCAAGGATGCTAACCTTGTTATCTCCACACTCTTTCACCACATTCATGGACACATTCTCAGCTGTACAATGCCACACTCACACCCATCAATCCTCTACCAAGTCGACAACTGTGCTGGCAACAAGAATGTCTACATGCTAACAGTTCTCTCTCTGCTCATCAGCCTTGATGTGTTTCAGGAGATCTACTTGAGCTTCCTTCTTGTTGGGCACACACATGAGGATATTGATCTATCACTGGTCACTCTTGAACCTCACATTTTTCATTTCTTTTGTGATTCCACAGGAGAGCCTGTAATCAGAGACAAGGCATACCACACACAAGGGGAGTGGTCAGAGCCATACCAACTCCTCACCTCCACACCACAAGGTGTGTACCATCTTTTCACCTGTGCCACAATGACTGCACTGAGCTTTTCCTCCACACCAGGTGCTCCATACCTCATCCCCCCACAACCCTTTCCACCTGAAGTCATCACTGACTTCACTGAGAACTGCATTGCCCCTCTCTTCCTTGACTCTGAACTCAAGGAATGGGCAGACATCTTTGAAGCTCATGCAGCCTTAACTAGCTCTTCCCACCCTACCTGAAATTCCTCCATTTTTGAAGGCCTCACTGCTCACCCTCAAACTAATCCTCTACTGGACAGCCCTCTCTTCCACCTACAGACTAGGGTCAAAGTTGTTCAGTCTAACACTTTATCTAATGCCCAGTGCTTCAACTTCACCCCTGGACTTTGGGTAGCTGTCCATGCTGACTCTGATGAGGATACACAGGACTTTTGGATTGCAAAGATCATTGCAGTGCAGTGGAAGAGGCTCAACATCCACTGGTGGAACTTTGCCAATGGTCACTGGGCTGACCATGGCACTAAAGGCAGTGTACCCATTGGCTCTGTTCTTGCTTGTGGCTTCTCATTCCACCCCAACTCTGGTGTCCCCACTCAGGTGCTGTTGGAACTGATGTTGTGTAGTATATCTCCTCCCCGATAAATTTATTTGCACCGCCACATTTTGTAGGCCAATGGGGAGACACCCAGGAACAAATGTTCCCCAGTGGACATACCAGAAATTCCGCGCAAGCGTTTTATTAGGGATTGGTTCTTTTTGTCGGGCGCCCGACATTTTCCCACACAGCGGAGGATAGACACAAGCTCAGACCAACTGCACACTCACGAGCATGCAGGCCTGCTTCAAGTGGTTGGCTGTGGTGGTGATTGTGTGCGCGCTCTGCACAGCCGCCTCGAATGGAGCCGAACTTTTTTTAGCTCAGTACCAAGACAGCGGATGTTCAGTCCTCGTGGAGAACTACCAGGTCCAGCCTGACGGGAACTGCACGCCAAGCCAACAAAGCGGCTTCTATTCGTTCGCCACTGACGTCGCCAACGCCACAGCTGCCAAGTACGTGTCAATACAAGATATCAGAGATCAGTTATCGCCTTGAAGGTTGTTTTCTCATTTGGTTATGGGTATAGGTATCGCTACGCTTGTGACTCCCAGTGTGCGGACTGCCTGGTTCAAGGGACGACAGTCTTCGGGCACTGCAACTCTATCTTTCCAGCATTCGGTTATTCGGCGATCTGGCGTGCTCAGCCTGCCAAGTTGCAGGTCGAGTCCTTCTCTGACGCACGATGCGCCACCCTCCTGCCCGAGCTGAGCGGTGTCTTCGCCAGTGGCGTGTGCATGGCCGGCAAAGAGCTGAACTCGCGCTACTCCTTGGTGAATGGAGAGAAGGGACAACCGCTGGTCCTGTACAGCCTTCGATGCCCCCACACTGACTGTTCTCTTTGCTACCCATATGGCCAGGCTCAACTCAACACCTGCTTCCAAGTCGGTATGATACTTGCCGCCGCATATGTTCCAATATCACTACCCTTGAATAACCATTCTTCATCTTCTTGATACGAATCAATCAACTAATACCAACTTCAGCCCCCTGGCTCGCCAGATGGGCAAAGGTGAGCATCGTAAACTGAACCACTGCGGCGATGGACGACATGCGACTCCCAACGTGCGGTGGACGACATGCGACGCCGGCGGACGATGGACGACATGCGACTCCCAACATGCAACATCCTCCTTCCCTTGTTCCCCTGCTCACTTCGAAGGTTGACCAACTATGACTTTTTCGCCTTTGTCGGCTCGGTTTGCACGATTGGTGGTCTGGAGTCGAGAACGAGTGGCGCGGACGGTCTTGGTTGGGCGGCTTGACCTGGCGTGCCGTCATCGCCGGTCGTGTCTTGGGTCGCTTCTCTGAGGGGCATCTTGGCCGTAGCGATCCAATCTCCTGCCCCCTGGTCGTCTCTGGGTTGATCGACACGCTTGCGCTTCCCTGCTTGGCCGCCGCGACGCTTGGTCTGATCGGCGATGGTCGGAACGAACGTATCCTCGCGCAGCATGCAGTGGCGGTCGTGCGCCTGCGCGGCACGATCCCACGCGAGCGTCTTCTCCTCCATCGCGGCTCGGGTCGCGTTGACGGCCTGGCAAAACTTGATGACGGCGTTGCATCGGATCCATCGGCGGGCAAGCGCTCTCTTTGGCAGATGCTGCTCAAAGAATATGCGACGGGTGTGGGGTGGAAGCGTCTCGTTGATGGTGCGACCGACGATCTTCGTGCGCTTGTCGTTCTCGTCGTCAGGGTTGACGCGCTCGATGCGCGTCTTGGGCATAGGCAATCGCTGGTCGCCGACCTGCCGGTAGGCCAGCTTCTTGGCAGAAAGCAGCGCCGAGCCAGACACTCGCCGAGCGTGCGAGTCCGCAGCTCCAGCCAAACACCCGGCAGATCCACAAGCATCCATCGCGTGCTCGATCACGAACGCTCGACCCAACACCCTATCGGCTTGGCGATGCGGAAATCGACGTCGCAGTGATTGTAGAGCGACACAAACACCTCGCCTCAGTAGCCGGCATCGACGACGCCCGCGCCGACGCAGATGCCGTTGTGTTTGCTCAGTCCCGACCGCGACGCGATGCGACCGTAAGTGCCATCGGGCGCCGCAACGGCGATGCCAGTGGCACCAGTATTCTTCCTCTGGCTGGTACGATGATGTCGACTCAGAGCCAGCATCGGTTTTGGGTGAAAAAATGTAGTTGTAGGTTACAGCTAGCTTCTCCTCTTCCTCTTCCTCTTTCTCTTTCTCCTCCTTCCTCCCGGCCCCAGCTGCTTCCTTGCCTTGGGCGCCTTCGGTCAGTCTCTCGTTTTCCGGTTACTCCTCGGTCTGTTGTTTGAGAGTCGCAGAGGAAGGCGCGGTTACGCGGTGGCGCGCCAAGAAGGGGGGCACAGCTGTGAAGTGTTCAGTAAGTGGGGTGGTACCTTGGAGGGACTGCCGCGCCACCTGAGCCTCTCCTCTTCCATGAGCCTCTGCGCCGGCGATTCGAGTGGTGCGCTGCTGCTCATCTGGGCCAAATGCGGGTAGCTGGCAGCCAGCGGCGGGAGGTGATGTGATCCGTAGGCGCCAGCGAGAGCGTGGGGCGACGGAAAGTGCTGTTGTTGTTGTTGCTGCTGCTGCTGCTGCTGCTGGTGGTGTTGTTGTTGTTGCTGGTGCTGCTGCTGTAGTTGGTGGTGGTGGAGCTGCTGCTGCTGCTGGTGGAGCTGCTGCAGTTGGTGGTGGTGCTGCAGTTGATGTGAAGGCTGCTGCGGGTGCTGCGGGAAGCTCGAGAAGTGGGATTGCATCGACGCGAGGCCGGGCGACGAGTACGACGCGTACATCGAGGCCTGCTGGTGTAGCTGCTGTTGGTGCTTCTGCTGCTGCTGTTGGTGGTGCTGCTGCTGCGCCGATGGCTGCTGGGGCGCGTAGGCCGAGAACTGCGGCGAGGACAGCACGGGCGAGTGCAACGTGGGCGGCGGGAGCGTCGAGGTCAGGTGCCGCAGCTGCGGTGGGTAGGCCGAAGGCGGCACCTGCTGGAGCGCGTATTGCGTGTAGGAGGCCGCGGGGTAGGCCGACAGGGAGGGAAGCGGGGACGAGCCGGTGCCGTGCGGCGGCGGCGCGCTGTAGAGGTGGTGTGGCGACAGGGGCCGCGCGTAGCTCGACATGACGGGCGAGTGCGTGGGCAGCGGCGAGTGCACGGACGACGGGAGCGCGGAAGCGGCCGACCCGCCGGTGGGCAGCGGCGGCGGCAGGCTCGAGGTGGGCATCGCGGGGGCGTGCAGGGGGAAGCTCGTGGTCGGCGGCGGGACGGCCTGGCGCAGCCTGCTCTCCTCGCGCCGACGCAGCTCGTCCTCGATCTGCCGCTCCTTCTCCCGCAAGTGCTTGTCGGACTCTTCCTCCTTCTGCTTCTTGTCGGCCAGGTCGGGCGGCAGGTACTCGTCGTCGTCCGACGGACTGTTCTGCTTCCGCTTCTTGTTGCCGCTGGCGCTGCTGCTGCTGGTGCTCACGCGCGAGCTGCCGCTGCGGGAACGCAAACGCGTGACGCCGCCGCCACTACTGCTGGTGGTGGTGCTGCTGCTGGTTCGACCAGGGCCGCTGCCGCGGGTGCTACTGCGCGTGCTTCTCGTTGCGCTGCCCGCTTGGGCGTCGGAATCGCGGTACTCCTCGTCGTCATTCTCCCCCTCGTCGTCGTCGTCGTCCTCCTCGTCGAGGAAGCTGAGCTCCTCCTCGCTCAGCGCGACGCTCGGTCGTCTCTCGCGCTTGGCCTCCTTCTTGGGCGTGGCCGCCTTCCTGGTCTCGCCCCTGGCCTCCTTCTTGGCCTCCTTCCTTGGCGGCTGCTGCACCCTGTCGACGGGTCCCGCCTCATTGCCGGCGCCCTTCTTCTTGTGTATCCTCGAGTGGGCGTTCAGGCCGCGGCTGCTGGCGAACTCCTTGCCACACACCTCGCAGGTCTGGCTGCCCTGTGACGTCGCCTTCGGCTTCGCCGCCTTCTTTTCACCGTCCCCTCCTGCGTCGTCATCGTAACCAACACAACAACTTTGTGGTGAGTCGTCGCACGCACTCGATTGTTGAGAGCATCATCATCACACACACGCGCGCGTGGATGGAGGAGGAAAGGCGCGGAAGGTTACCATTGACGACCGCGTCCGATGTGTCCTTGTCGACGCTCTTTCGCTTGGGTGGAGCGCGGGCCATCTTAGGGATGGGCTCGTACTCGTCGAGGTCCCAGAATCGCTTGGGCGCCTTCACGCGCCGCTTGCCCAGCTTGATCTCGGGATTCCGCGCCAGGTTCTCGAACTCTTCGCTCAGGTCGGGCTTCGCGTCCTCGTCGTCTTCATCGTCTTCGTCATCATCGTCGTTATCGCCTTCCTTGTCCTCCTGCTCGATTTGCTTGTGCTTCTTGTCCTCCCTCTTCTTCTGCCTCCTCTCCTTCTTCACGATCGCCCCCTCGTCCCCGTTCTCTTCTTCCTCGTCGTCGTCGTCGTCGCCAAGGCTCTTCTTTCCTCGGCCACGGCTACTCCGCCGGGGCGCAGCCTGCTTCCTCTTCTTTGTCGCCGGTTTCTTCTTCGTCGTCGTCTCGCCCACTTCCTCATCTTCGTCCTCGTCCTCGTCGTCGCCGCCGCCGCCGCCGCCGTAGTCGTCATCCCCGCCATCATCATCATCGTCTCCTTCATCCTCGTCCTCTTTTCCCTCTCCCTCTCCCGCTTCTTCTTCTTCTTCGTTGCCGTCGTCGTCGTCCTCCTTCTTCGTCCGCTTCCTCTTCTGAGACTGTTGCGGCGCGGCCTGCTTGCGTTTTCGCTTTTCCGTGGCCGCCGGCTTCGTCTCTTCCTCCTCGGCCGCCGCTGCTTCCGGCTTCTCCTCCTTTTCCTTCGTCTCTTCCTCTTCCATCTTGTCCGCCTCCGCCTCCTCCTTCGTTTCGCTTTCCTCCTTCGTCGCGTCGCGCTTGCGGACGTCCGCAGTCGCCTCCACCTGGTCCCGCTTCTCCGCCTCCCCCGCGCCTCCCTCCTTTTCCTCCTCCGCCTCCGCCATCGGCGTTTCTGTCGCCTCCCCCTCCTCCTCCTCCTCCTCCTCCTCCTTTGTCTCCTCCTCCTCCTTCGCTCCTTCTTTCTGCGCGTCGTGTCCCTCAGCGGTGTCCATCGCACTCGCCACTGCCTGATCGTCCTCGTCCGGCTTGCCGGCGGCAGACTCCTTTGCCACCGGCGAGACTGCGGCCTCCTCCTTCTCCTTCTCCTCCTCCTTGGCCGCCGCTTCCCCGGCCGTGCCGCCGTTCAGGCCCGCCGCGTGTTCGCTGCTCTCCTTCGTCACTTCCGCCCGGGCTCCCTCTTCCGCTGGCACCGCCACAGCCCCTTTGCCTTGGGCCGCGTCACCAACGGCTCCCTCGGCGGCGCCGGCGGCAGGTTCGTCGGGAGTGTCGTTGCGGCTCGCCACTGGTTCGGTAACTGCACCCGCCGAGGGCGGTGCGACGTCGGCCGCAGTCGGCTCGGCGGGCTCTGCCGCGGCTGGAGTGACAGCGCCCGCACTGGGCGATTCGGTTGCGGGGGGCGAGGTGGTGTCTGGCTTCTCGACCTCCATGGCTTCAGCTGATCCGGTCGGCCCTGTGCTACTCGGTTCGAGTTCCATCTTCGCTCTGATTATTAGGAACGAGTATATGATTTTTGATGAGCCTCACCATTATGCCGAGAGAGAGGAGGAGATTGAGGGCAAAGTGGCGAAAAAGGCCTTGAGAAAGTGATGAACTCATCACCGAAGGAGAGATGACCGAAAGAACGTGAATTTTTAGGTACATACACCCCCACCAAATTTAACCGAAATGACCATCCTAAGGCAGAAAGGAACTAAAGGGGAGCTAAAGATGAGTGCGGTACCTTCTTCGTGCGAACAAGGCGAGAGGTCCTCAGGCAAAAACGGCCGTTGTGTGAAAGATTAGAGTATCGGTGCCGAAGGTGCGGTTGGCGTTTGTACGTTCCCGAAATTTTTACTGTTTTTATTGGCATTACTCGCATTCCGGCGATTTATTACTTATCAGCGCTGGCACTCGAAGGCGTCGGGACTGCAGCCGTCGTACGGCCGCACGCGCGGGTCGTCGAGAAGCTTCTTGCGCACACACGCGCACCTATGTGTTATGCACAGCACAGCAAGAAGAGGTGAGCATTGACGATTGATGACGATGGTTGCAACAGTTGCAGCTGTGTGGGCAGTGAGGAGCGCGAAGGCCAACCTGGGGTTCTGCGCGCGAGCGCTCTTGAACTGGCGTGGATAGCCCTTCCAGGATCTCTCGATGCCTGCACGCAGTAGTATGTGGAGTATGAGAAGAGAGTCTGACTTTGATGCGGCCCGTGGACCAGGTCTAGACACGGGCGTACCGCCGCTCGATTCGGTGCACCAGACGGTGGCGCCGTCCTTCTCCGTCCACCTCGAATTACATTCTGGAAACTGCTGCTTCTCCTCGAGCTCCTGATCCACTCTAGATGATGTGCGCGCGTAAATATCGCGGTTGGTGGCCCATATATGGCTGTTAGAATTATGAGACGTACACGATCTTGGCCTTCTGGAGCTTCTCTTTCACCTTCTTGAGCGCGGGCGTAGCCTTGCCGGCCGCATCATAAAATCTCCCTGTGCACGAAGAACGGCGCATTGTGAGCATCAGCATCATCTCACGAAGCCACAAGGTTGAAGAAGGCATTGGGTACCAACGACTTTGCCCAGGTACTTGTACTGGCGTTCGAATTGGGTTTGCCACTCTTTGATGGCCGCCACCTGTTCGGGTTCGAGGTCGGTCACGTCGTCCGTGAGATTCTCCTCCTCAAACTCGCCTGCGCGGAGCGAGCGAGGCAGTCATCGATCGCGTTAGCAAAGGTGCTAAGGTGCCAAAAGCGACATGTCGGCAGGCAGGCCGATGCGCACCCGTGGCGAAGGAACGCGAGGCGTCACGCCCGGCAAAGAAGGAGTAGGACCCCCCCTTGGCGTAGAATCTCTTCCCGTCCGTCACGTCAAAGACCTTGCCTGCCCACACACACCACCACACACACACACACACACGCACACACACAATGAAGCGCGTGAGACGTCTTGCACAGGAAGGGGCGCGCACGTGGGAAGGGAAGAGAGCGCACCAAGAACACTGAGTAGAATGGGCTTGGCCGGGTCGCTGCCATTATGCAGCCGCAGCTCATCTGCGGAGAAGATCTTGGAAACAACCTTCGCCTTCTTTGCGACAGGCTTCGACGTCGCGTTCGGCCCGTTCTTGGGCTGGAAGAGCTGTGCAATAGTGGCGGCAGCCTTGACGAAGCCCTCGTCCAGCTGCTTCACGATCTGGGGTTCGTAGTGGAGAAGATAGACCGCTACACCGACCAAGAGCGCGAGCAGCAAGCAAACCACCGCCAGCGTTTCGTAGATGCGGGCGGTTGACGATGATGAAGATGATGGAGGCTTCTTGGATGGCCTCACTGGCCTTTGGATGTCTTCTTGCTTGTTCTCGGCGCCCTTCTTTTCCACTCTCGTGATTTCGATCCCTCCATCTTTCTTTGCCTTTTGCTTCTTGCCTGGCCGCTGCCGCAAAGATGCTCCCTTTGCTTCCGACATGTTGTTTTCGATTTGAATTCAAATGTGTCAAGAGAAGGAAAGGAGAGAAGAAAAGAGTGCTTTTTCCCCTTCTATTTGGCCCCATTCATCGATGGTGAAGAAGTCGCTTGTGAAGGGGAACCTCACTCAGAGGTAGTGTTGCTTGGCTCGATCCCAGTCTCTGAGTATCCGCGTGGTGCAGGCGTCGTCGAACTTATCTCGTGTCTGCACCACGAGGACGTGAGATATGCGAGATCCGCGCACAGAGCCAGTGATACGTACTCGTTTTCTGGCCTCTTCGACCGAAGTGAGCAACATCGTTTGCCATTCATTTCTGTTGGGCAGCTGTCATGTTAGGGACAAACAGTAAAGAATGAATGCAGTAAGAGCAGAGATCGAACCTCAAGAAGCCTTCCACGTCTAGATCTTCCAGTGGTTCCAGTGGCTGGAAGGTCGATTTAACGTCCAGCGCGCGTAGGTTCTTCTCGAGCTTATTCACATCATAAGATTTTCGCCGTCTCCCGCCATTTTCATCTTCCTTCGACTTGTTGGGCGATCGTCGCCGATGTGCTGTTGGTGGGGAAGCTGGGGAAGCAAGGGGTTGTGGCTTATGTCGCGTCTGGCCGCGGGCTGAAGTTGAATGAAGCAGTTTGCGGGCCTCCTCCTCAATTTGTTCTACATTTCTTTGGATGACATACGGTCGATCAATAATCTGTGTGATTTGCCGCGATTGCTCCAGGAGGGATGCGAAGTTGGACCTCTTCGACGCCCCTACCGACCCCAGATCTGCCATTCCTGATGTTGCGTCCAGAAATGTGTTGCGGCTGCAGAAATACCTGGAAAAGAAAAACTAGGAGAAATCATTTTCCTAGACACCGCAGACGAAACTCCCTTCGTCTTCTCTCGCGAAACGTGAGCACACAGCGCAACCTCAGCAGTGGCCCCCTTTAGTGTCTACTACTAGCTTTCAACATGGCCACAGCGACGAACATTTCCGGAGGAGAAGGTGTCGTTCCCGCGGCGGTGCGCACGCGGTTGGCCGAGGAGCGGGACGTGCCCCGCCTCATGCAAATTGTGAACTGGGCCTACCGAGGTGCCGACCCGGCCGCAACGGCGGAGGAGGCCAAGGAGGCCAGGCCCAACCGCGCGTGGACCACTGAGTCGCACCTCGTGGCCGGCCTGCGCACCACCGTCGACGAGCTCCGGCGCCTGGTCGCCTCCGACCCCGCTCGCGCCGCCTTCTTCGTCGCCGAGGTGGCCACGCTCGACGGTGATGCCGACGAGGCAAGGAGAAGGAAGAGGAGAAGGAGCAGTGGGACGTCGCAGGGTGCGTGCTGGTCGAGAAGGCAGACGACGGCGGTCACCTGGGCATGTTCGCGGTCGACCCCGCCCGACAGGCGCTCGGGCTCGGGCGCCGCCTGATGGCCGAGGGAGAGGCGCACATCTGGGAGGTCTTCGGCTGCGAGGCCATCGTGCTCCACGTCGTCAGCGTGCGCCCCGAGCTGCTGGCCTACTACCAGCGGCGCGGCTACGTCGACACCAACCAGACCGAGCCCTTCCCGACCTCCGTCTACAAGCCACTCGTGCCCGAGGGCCTCCACTTCCGCATCCTCAAGAAGTACCGCACCACCGCCACCGCCCAATAAATGCAAGCATGATACATAGACACACGCGCGCGCTCCAGTTCTCTGGCACAGGGCCGCCACGTTTGGCCAGCGCTCGCCGCTGTCGCGCACGATAGACGCGGTATTAGTAATGACGGGCCAGCTGCTCGTTTGCTGAATGAGCGAGCGAGTGTGAGTGTGTAGCGAGAAGCGGGTTCATATGTTCTCGATGTGGCAGGAGCGTCGGAACTGGTCGTAGAAGGCCACCATCTCGGGGGTGATGCGGGGCGAGGTGTTGGCAATAGCCGCGACGAAGTGCGTCTGCTTCACCACCTGCGCCGTGGGGTCCTCCCTCATCGCGCACATGCACGCTTCCCGACACACTCCCGCTATCTCAGCACCCGAATACCCTGCGTCGGCGTAACCACACGGCACGACGGCACACACGGCACGATGAGACCGATTGACCAACACCGGTCACCGCCTACGGCGGGCGCGAGCGTGTGGCACCTTCTGTGAGCTCGGCGAGCTTGGGCAGCGCAATGTCGTCGGCGTGGGGTGTCTTGTTGAGGAAGATCTGGAAGATGCGCTCGCGCGAGGGCGCGTCTGGTGGCGAGACGTAGAGCATGCGGTCAATACGCCCCGGGCGAAGGAGCGCCTTGTCCTAAAGCGACACACAACACACAACACACAACGCACGACGCACGACACAACGACCATAGCGACGGGAAGTGAGTGGCGAGATAAACTACCAAGTGCGCGGGGACGGAGCGTACGATCATGTCGGGTCGGTTGGTAGCAGCGACCACGGTTACATTCTTGAGCTCCTCGATGCCGTTCATCTCGGTCAACAACTGGGAAACCACCCGATCGGCCACTCCCGACGATCCCTCATCCCCTCCGCCTCTGTGCACGGCCAGCGCGTCGATCTCGTCCTGGAGGGATCGACGCGCAGGGACCCGAGGGTGAGTCCCAGGCGTGGTCCCTCAGTCGCATTTGTGGAGGGAGAGGGGCACGGGCAAGAGGGCGTACGAAGAAGATGATGCAGGGAGCCGCGGCGCGGGCCTTGCGGAACACTTCGCGCACGGCTCGCTCGGACTCGCCCACCCACTTGCTGAACAGCTCTGGGCCCTGTCATCGCCACACGTCAACCAACAGCCGGGTCTCTCGGGTGGCGGGTCTCGGGTGGTGCGCGATCGTGCGCGGTACGTACCTTGACGGCGATGAAGTTGGCGCCGGATTCGGTGGCGAGGGCCTTGGCCATAAGCGTCTTGCTGCAGCCCGGCGGGCCGTACAGGAGGATGCCGCGTGGTGGTCGGATACCCATCCGCTTGAACGCCTCGGGATGCTGCGCACTCGCACCGTGAGCACACCCCACAGCAGTGCATGGCTCCAACCACACCACACCACACCACCAACCAACACGAACCTTGAGGGGCCACTCGACGGCTTCTTTGAGTTTCTGCTTGGTGTCGTCCTGCCCGCCGATGTCGCTCCATTGCACCTTGGGCACATCGACCAGCACCTCGCGCAGAGTCGAAGGGCGGACGACCTTGAGCGCGCTGCTCATATCCTCCGCGGTGATGACCAGCGTGTCGAGCGAGAGGAGCTCCTCTTCGCCGGGAGCCCCCGCCGAGGCGAACAGCTGGGCCGACAGGCGATTCAGCGACAACAGCGACGCCTCACGGCAAAGGGCAGCCAGGTCCGCGCCTACACCCAGATCAGACAGCAACAAATGAAAAATCATATATGCGTCGTGTGTGTCGTGTGTGTCGTGTGTGTCGTGTGTGTCGTGTGTGTCGTGTGTGTCGTGTGTCGGTGTGATCTGTACCGACAAATCCGTGCGTGGCGGCGGCAAATTGTTGAATGTCGGCGGGGGAGAGCGCATGGGGCATCCTTCGCAGGGTGACCTTGAGAATCTCGTGCCGGTCCTCGGCCGTCGGAATGCCTTACATTGCGATCGATTGGACGGCACCACACAACAATGATTTAGACTCAATGTCCTCCCCAGCAGGCGCACGCCAGTGGAGAAGCAGGAGAAGCCACAAACACACACACACGACACACGACACACGCACACGGAGCCGATTGCCGTACCTATTTCGATTTCTCTGTCGAATCGCCCTGGTCGGCGCAGGGCCGGGTCGAGCGCGTCGGGTCTATGACCACGGAGGTGAGGAGTACGTAGGCGAGGGGGGAAAGGGGGGGGTGGGAGGAAAGAAAAGCTGGACTTGATGAGGAATGGACAGAGACGAACCTGTTGGTGGCGCCTATCACGACGACCCGATCGTTGGCCTCCATGCCGCCCATCACAGTGAGCAGGGTGGCCACCACTCTGTTCTCCATCTCGCTCGCCGCCTGGCAAGTCGCACGCGCACGCGCACGAAAGCGTGTCACACTCCGGAAATATTTGGGGGTGACAGAGAGCGAAAATAACAGGGCGGTCGCAACGTACGTCCGCGCGTTTACCAGCGATGGCGTCGATCTCGTCGATGAACACCAGTGCGGGAGCGTTGTCGGCCGCCTCCTTGAACAGGTTGCGTATCTGTAGATGAGGCCCGTCACGTTGTTAGTGTTGTGGTGTTGAGAATTAAGATAATTAAGAATAGTAGGAGGGCTTCACCTTGGCCTCGCTTTCGCCGTAGTACTTGGAGATGACCTCGGGTCCGTTGATGACGTACACGCGGCAGCCGGACTGCTGTGCGACGACGCGCGCGATCAGCGTTTTCCCCGTTCCCGGCGGGCCGTACAGCAAAATGCCCTTGGGCGGGGCGAGCCCTGCATGGATCGTGGATAGCACTCATTAGCCAAGAAGCTCGCTGGTGGTGCCAAGAGAGGGAGGCGGGAGGCGGGAGGCGTACCGTATTCGGTGAACAGCTTGGGGGAGTTGACGGCGAGCTCCACCACCTCCCGGACGGCGTCGATTTCTCGCTTGAGGCCGCCGATGCTGCCATAGTCCAACTCCGCAGTCGTTCCGTGCTTGCTCTTGCCCGCGGGCTCGCCGCCACCCTCTGGCCGTGCGCCCTCCTCCGTGTCCGTCGTGCTCGTGCTCGTGTCGCTGCCGTCGTTCTCGGCATCAGCAGCCTTCGTCGGTGGTGCGTGGCTGGCGTACTTGAAGGAAGTGGCGTCCGTTATCCGGCCAAACTCCACTACACCATCAGCACGCGTCAGGCGCAGACGGTCAGCGAGCTACATAAGAGACGGACGAGCCATCGAGAAGAAGACAAGACTGCGCGCACCGACTCGATCGTCACAACCGGAAGAGGTAGTCGTCGTCGTCGTCGTTGTCGGGGTCGTCAGGCGGGGCAGGATGTCCTCCACCCGGAACGTCTGCTGGTGTCCGTAGTAGGAGATCGTGAAGAGGTGGCCCCTGGCAAAGTACCGCCCCACTGCGACCGCGGTCCACAACGCGGGTGAGACGAAGTGATCAATCTTATCGCGGCCAAGTCAGCGATTGGCGGGTGGTGGTGGTGTCAGCACCGATGTTCTGGCGGATCCACGTCTTGAGAAACTCGTCGAGCGGCCGCCCACTGTTGCCCCCTGTGGCAGGCGAGCCGGTAGAGGCGGTGGCCCCGCCCTCGGAGGGTGCGGACAACGCCTGCGGCGGAGGCGGGGAGAGCGGCATCACCGCCACCTCGGACGCTCCCACCACCGCCACCCTGACGGTCGGGCGCTCTGCCGCATTCCCGTCTGGCGCTCCGTCTGTGTTCAACGAACCTCGGCTCAGCTCAGATCTCCAGCAAAACGCCACACGCACCACCGCACACACACACCACCGCACACACACGTACACGCACGCACACACACCACCGCACACGCACACGCATGTACAACTGGAGAAGAAGAAAATGTACGAGGATCGAGCGGCTGGAGGAGGGCGAGCTGTCCGAACTTGGCGCCGCAGTTGTCGGCCATGAGCGGGTCGACGTGCACCTCGTCCTCGCCCACGTTGGACCCCACCCACGCCTGGCCCACCACCACGCCCGCCTGGCCGGAGGCGTCCGGCCTGGCCACGTGGAGCGCGACCGGGTCGCCGATGACGACGCCCAGCCGCTGGAGCGTGCGAAGGTGGACGAAGACCAGACCACGTCGGCGCTCGCGCTCGATCTTGGCCTCGCGCTCCGTGTAGGGCTCCAGCCGCTGCGGCAGTGATGAAGATGGAGTTAATGGCGATTTGGATGGTGCCGTGGATCGAGAGGGCGAGGCATCGCCGCTGCTGCCGGGAGCCTTGTAGGGCGAGACCGGTGGCGTGACTGCCCGCTTGTTGCCGGATGAGGAGGAGCGGGACGATGGCGATTGGGACGATGGAGATGCAGAAGATCCCGGAGCATCATCAACGAAGGGGGATCGATCTCCAGCTCTTTTGCCGCCCGGTGCACCGCCTCTCTTCTTGGCGCCTGCCGTGGGCGTGCGATTCGACATGTGGTGTTGGTCTCCAAAGCCAGCAGACAGAACTGCTTTCTTTTCTTTTTCTTTCTCTTGGTCCTCTTTTTCCTAAAATATTTCCTCCGCCCGGTTCTCGCCGTATTCGTGTACACCACGTATTGCTCCCTCCTCCAACCTAGATGGCTTCATCCCACTCTCAACACCAGGAGAACCAACAACGTTCGCACACCTTCCTTCCCCCACTCAATCTCTACTTCCCCTTTCCAATTCACTTTTTGTTTTTGCTGATTCTCTACAACAGCGCACTATGCGGTGGGTACGGAGGCGGTGCGACATGTGCCGTTCGTGGGACCTGTGAGCCCGCTGGCGGTGCCCATCTTCGCATCGTCGACGTGGGTGCTCGACTCGGCCGACCACGGCGCGCTGCTGTCGGACCGCTTCTCCGACCGCTTCGACCGCACCCACAACACCGTCGAGGGCGGCCTCTCGCCCTGGCTCTACTCCCGCTGGGACAACCCCACCTCCGACGTTGCCGCCACCCTCATCACCCGCCTCGAGTCCGCCCACAAGACATTCCTCGTAGGCCCTGTGTCGTGTGTCGTGTTGTGTGACGTGTGTGTCGTGTCGTGCTGTAGCGTGTATGAGTGCGTATCTGATCCACGGCCTTAGTTTGGCAGCGGGATGGCGGCCATCACGACCACCCTGTTTGGGCTGCTCAAGGCGGGCGACCACTGCATCGTCCACTCGCCCATCTACGGAGGTGCGCCTCTTCTCTCACCCGCGCGCGCTCGTTCGGCAGCCGAGCGACTCAACCACATCACGGCCACCACTTCTCATTCTCATTTCTCTCTCTCTCTCTCTCTCTGGTGTACACCCGCCAGGCACCCACGAGACGTTTGACCTGTTGACCACCTACGGCGTGGAGGTCACCCGCATTCCATTGCCCGAGGACGGCAACATTGACGGCTACCGGTAGAACGCGACCCTTCGCCGCACACGCACACGCACGTGCACACGCACGCGTTTGCTGATCCTCATCGATGATGGCTACAGGAACGCTGTCAAGCCCAACACGAAGCTGCTGTACGCCGAAACGCCGGCCAACCCGATCTGCGCGGTGATCGACCTGGCGGAGCTGGGCAAGCTGGCCCGGGAGCACAACGCCCTCACCGTGGTCGACAGCACCTTCGCCTCGCCCATCAACCAGAACCCCATCAAGGACTTTGGCATCGATGTAAGTACTTACTTGACGCCTGTCACCGATGCGCGTACCACTCGCGAGTGGTGGCCGTGGCCGTGGGCTTACACACTGTCGTACGTGTGACAGGTCGTGATCCACTCGTGCACCAAGTTCCTGGGCGGCCATTCCGACATCCTGGCCGGCTCGGCCACGGTCAAGAACCGCGAGCTCGAGGACAAGGTCTGGCAGGCCAGGAAATTGGTGCGCGAGTGGCCTCTCCTTGCTAAGGTCCCCGTCAACGACACCAACCGCGTGTGCGTGTGCGTGTCGTGTGTACTGGTGTGTGTGTGTGTGTGTGTGTGGTAGTTCGGAGGCGTGCTATCACCGTTCGACTGTTTCCTGCTCGCGCGGGGCATCAAGACGCTTGATCTGCGCGTGCAGCGCCAGAACGAGAACGCGCTCTACCTGGCCCAGGCGCTCGAGAAGCACCCCAAGGTCGAGCGCGTGTTCTACCCCGGTACGCCCCAGATTTCTCTTCTTCCCCTCGGGCCACCCGTGCCGCTCTGACAACCGCGGTCCGCTTGTGGTGCCGCCGCCGCCGCCGCCGTCAGGTCTGCCCTCGCATCCCGCACACGCCGTGGCCAAGAAGCAGATGCGCGGCTTCGGCGGTATGATCTCCTTCGAGGTGAAGGGCGGCACCGAGGCGGGCAAGAAGGTCGCCGAGGCCGTGCGGCTCATCACCCTCGCCGTCTCCCTTGGCGGGGTACGCGCACCCCCCACCGCTCATTGCCCGTGTCGCTCCCCGGCTAAAGCGCACAAACTACGGATGCAACCCCGCCACCGCAGGTGGAGAGTCTGATCTGTCACGCCGCGACGACGACGCACGTGATGGTGCCGCGCGAGATTCGCCTGAAGGGCGGCATTACGGACGGCCTCATCCGGTTCTCCGTGGGCATCGAGGACAAGGACGACCTCCTGCGCGACCTCCAGCAGGCCCTCGACCAGATCTGATCCGTCTCGCACGCAACCGTGTGTGTGCCATTGGTTGGTTGGTCATGTTGCTATTTACAACCGGCCGGTGCCACCGCCACGAAGAAAAACTACAGTACAAACAAAAAGGAGGCTAAGACGGGACGCATCGTCGGGTTCAGGTTACGGAAGGCCTTCTTCAGTGCCGCTTGGTGGCGTTGAAGACGACGATCTTCTCGTTGCGCTCCTTGGTCAGGATCTTGACCTTTCGCAGGTCCTTGTCGTTTCTGACGCTCACGCCCTTCTTCTTGAGCCCCGCGCACACGACGCCCACCTCGCTCGCCGAGGCGAAGATGTGCCCGTGTCTGTTGGATGGTCGCACACCACCGAATCAACACTGGGACACACTCACGCAACACGACACACGCGACAAGTGCACAACACACAACACACACCGACGCACACTCACTAAAGAGGACTGCTTCTCACCTTTCCAGGATGAGCTGCACGAGCTTGTCGTAGGAGACCGGGCCGAGCTTGCCGCAGTCCCATTTGTCGTGCTCGCAGCAGATCACCAGCGTGGCGCCGCCCAGCGCGCCGATGTCGACCTGCGGGGCGGAGCCGGCCTCGGGCGCGGCTCCCACCGCCGATTTGGAGAAGTTTCGGAAGAGCGAGGAGGGACGACGTGTCGGCGCAGTCGTCGTCGTCGTCGGCGGCGGCGATGGGGTGGCGTCGGTGGTGGTGTCCAGTGAGGGGACCGCCGGCTCTGCTTCGGCGGACTGGCCCACCCGTTCGGTCTGCACATCGGTCGTCTTCTTGCCCTTCTTGCTCTTCGTGATTCTTTTCTTCCGCTTCCTGATATCGTCGACCTGCTGGTCGTTCTCTTCGCTATCTTTGCGGGATCGGCTGAGGATGCTGCTGCTGCACCCGCTGGTGGCGGCAGTCGAGGTGGCGTCCGAGGCGGAGGCCGTCGAGGCCTCGCTCATGACGTCCTTGGGCTCGGTGACCGCGCATTCCGACGGGGTACGCGAAGGCACCGCGATGCCGTGATCGGCCTTGAGCTTCTCGATCAGCGTCAACACCATTTTCCTGATGTGTCATTGGTGAGTGAGCGAGTGAGTGAGTGGGTGGGTGGGTGGGTTGGGAATGAATGCGGAGCGAGACACACCTGTCTTTGAAGGAGGAGATGCCAAAGGTCGACAGCAGCTTGTGGTCGACCTGCAGCAGCTGAGGGCCATCCACTTGGGCGGCCGCAAATGCAGCTGTGTGTGTGTGTGTGTGTTTTGAGAAAGAGACCACAGTTTGTGTTGCTAGGAGAGGGATGCTGATGGCTGCGCATGGGTACCAATGTAGTTGGACAGGTAGACCCGACGCAGCCAGTCAGCCACGTCTTCGAATTGCCATGTGTTAATATCCACGTTTTGAACACTGGAGCAGACGAGAAACACAAGAGAAAGGAGTCAGCAATTCAAGCCTTGTTACTCACTTCTCTCGAGAAGATGAGAACACCACGAATGATACTATTTTTATAGAAATATATATATTTATATATGTGTCTCTCACCTCTGCATCGAGAGGCTCCTTGCCCTGTTGGTTTCGAACGATCCGGATGAGGAGACTGTAGATTGGATTGTTTCGAAAAAGAGAGAAGCGGTCAGCCGCGCAAACTCCCCAGATCTTGGTGGCTGCTGCGGAGGAGAATGCTTGGGGGGGGGGAACGCACTGATGAAGCTGCCGCTGTCGCTGAGCTTGGGGGACTCGGAGCTCAGATATCTGAGATATCGCTGAGGGCTGGAGGGTTCCAGCATGCCCTGGACCTTGTCCAGCTCAAAGTCGATGATGTTGTCCATGCCGGCGTCGCGCAGCAGGTCCTCGGCCTCGCCCACACTCAGGTCCTCCGTGAGCACTGCGCATCGCCACAATAGGGAGGCAAAGAGAGAATCGAATGAGTTGCAGATAAATGGGCCGTTAATAAGCAGATGATGTAGATGGTGGGCACCTTCAGAGTATTCGCAGTTGAAGAGCAGCTTGTCGGCCCTAATGTCGACGTACGAACCCAAGGAGATGGTGTCTATTGCGACCTGACGTAAGCAACTGCGTGTGTGTGTGTGTGTGTGTGTGCGCGCGCGCGTGTGTGTGTGTGTGTGTGTGTGGTGCGTGCGTGCGTGCGTGCGTCATGTGTGATGCGAGAGGTCGGTACCCTCTTCACTCTTTTGTTGCGGAAGTGTTTCCGGGGGAGTGGAGATGGCCGAGAAGACGTTCTCCAGCGTGCCCGGCTGCAGCTTCTGCGACCTGCGGAAGAGCTGGTCCTCCGTGGGCGCCACCAACTGCTCGAAGAATTTATAATAGGCCTGCACGCGCACTACAGCGTGAGCTTTCTGAGCCAGCGCGTGCGGAGAACTTGACCCACGCCTCTCACCGACTCGGTGGTACACGTACCTCGTCGCGTGTGAAGTTGAGCGTGAACGGCGTTCGCTGCCACTCCTGCAGCTGCAAAATTTGTCGACCCTAACAAACCACCCCGTGGGGCGTGCACAGTCAGCAATCAGCCGCGGGCCCGCACCGACGCACACAGAGCACAGCAGCAATGGCGCCAGCGGGAACCTAGGTTCGATCTTTACCTGCAACTCGATCTTCTCCATGTTGATTTGGTAGTCCTTGGTATCGGAGTTGCCGTCGCGGATGAAGGTGATGTCCCGCAGAAAGAGCGCTGCGTGCACGCGGACATGCCGGACCCCCGGGTGAGCAAGTGGTCAGCGAGCGGGAGCTGGTAGAGTGTACCTAGGAAGGGGATCAGCGGTGTCTTCCGGTTGGCGCGCGTCATGTCGCTGGTGGCCTGCTGCAGCTTCCGCAAGTGCCGCCTGTTGTTCGAGAAAGCGGGTTGTGTGGTGTGATATGAGCGATGAGATGTGTGGCGGGCGTGTGGCGGGCCACTGGGCGCGCCATACCGGTAGTTCTTGAAGTTGTCGGTCATCCCCATGAAGAGCTCGAAATGGTTGACGAGGTCCCTGTGCTCCTTCCTCACCGCGGTCCACAGGTTTCGCAATCGCTGGACCGACGAGTTGTTGAGGGCCGACAGCACAGCCATGCCCGAGCTGAAGTTATTCATCTTGAACAACTCCTGCACGTGCGTTGTTGTCATGACATTGTTGTTTTTTTTTGGTCATGTTGGTTAGTTGCTATTGCAGGCGCCGCGCCGGAAGTCTCCTTGGATACCTTGAGTACTTCAATGATCTTCTCCACCACGGCGGTGTGGGCATTGCGCTCGTAGCTATCAATCACCGACTCGGCGAGCCACAGGCTTATGGTGTTGAACCTGCGGAAGCACCCATAACCATATCGGGCACTTCAGCACAAAAATGGCTAATCCACCCGAGGGGATGACGAATGGCTACCTCTGAGCGAGCGCGGTGATATTGGGGGCGAGCTCGTTCTTGTTGGGTTTCTGCCAGGCGTTGTCGAAGAGCTCGGTAGCTCGAATCGCGGAGAAGTACCTGGCACGGGAGAGATAACCCAGTGAGACGGAGATGTGGCGGTGTGTGGCGGAGGAGGGGGGGGGGCGCGACAAGCTTGTACGTACCTCCAGTCGATGAGCGTCAAATAGCAGGCGATGTCCTTTGACCGAACGCTGCTGAAGGGGGTGCTCACCACAGCCGCGTCTTGCTTGGCCGCGCGTGGAGTAGGCCCAGCAACGCACTGCAGTCATGACGCCAGAAATTGCCATAAAAACGTACGTAAGCCAAATTCCTAATAAAGGTCGCCCACCGGGTTTGGTCGCCAACGGCGAAACGGCGTATGATCAACTGAAAGTGCGAGCGAGGGGCCAAGGGTGGACGCACGCGAAGGTACTTGAGCTTGAGGTGGTTCGTAATGCCGGCGCTAAGCTTCTCTCGGGCGAAGCTGAGCAGGTCCTCCCCGAGCCTCTTGTCGTTCTCAAAGTCTGTGAGGTGCGAAGCAATCACGGTGAGATCGATCGATGCTAATGAACGAACAACACCCAGCTTGGGCTGTGAGTGGGCAGAAGTAATAGTACCGTCGGGGCAGTTTTCGACCCATCGTTGAAGGAAGGCGCCCACTAGATTCATGAAGGCGGGGCCATCGTCCTTGTGTTCGTTGGCCTTCAGCGACTCCTGCAGGGTGTTGAGCAAGTCGTACGGTGTGCCGTACTGCGGGTAGGTCACGAAGAAGAGCTTCTGCTTCTCGGGGTCGTTGGCTCGAAGCACCGAGTCCACCAGCGAGACGAAGAGGCCTCTGTACGCCATGGGCCTGGGTTATATACCTACCTCGGTAGAGGCTAGTCTCGGACGTACGTCGGTGTGGTGTTGCTGCGCGGTGCGTCCTTTAATGGTTGACTGTGCTGAAGCCAGAACAACACCCGCGGCGGAAGTCCTCCGCCGTACGTCGGTGTGTGCTGCTTCGCATCGGTACCCAGACACCGACCTCCTGAATTTAATTCCGGTCAGACACCCGATCCCTTCTCGCATTCCCGTCGTGTGCACACCCAAGGTGCCCGGGATCCTGGTAGAAAAGGGTAATTTGAGGAGGTAGCGGCACCTTTTTTAAACAGCTGGCTGGGTCCGTGAGTGCTGACCGGGTTAAACTGTTGATCTCCTTTCTTCTCCGAGCCAACACCAGGCCTGTAGATTGATGAAAGCTGACTTTCAATACTCGCCCATAAAAGGACTCGCATCAACCAGCTACGAGGGAACTTAACCCGATTTGGGTGTATTTTGTCCTCAAAAAGGACGCACATCGCCCATAAAAGGACTCGCATCGACCGCAACGAGGGAACGTGAACCCGATTTGTGTGCATTCGTCGGGAAGGCGAGTTTTCGTCAGCCGCGACGAATGATTGAGAATGGGCACGATGGACAACCCGAACGACGACCCCCAATAACACGCGCATCTCCAGCATTCGCACCAATACCCCAACACCCACACTGACCGCTCAACAGCTACCTACCTTCATCCACCATGGGTAACGAGAACTCGCATTCGCCCTGGAAGCAGCCAGCCCTGGCCGGTGAGTCTGCTTTCCCCAGCCAACCCCATCCGCTGTGAGGCGCCAAGAACTTACCCTGGTGGGCGATGGGGTGTGCACCTTGTAGACATCGTCAGGTATGGCAGCAGCGCCAAGGGCCGGTACGACAACTGCCCACAGACCGTGCAGCAGGCCAAGCTGGCCTCCGAGCTATCGAAGAAAGCCATGCAGAAGGGTTCGTTGTCGCCGGCTCGTTCGCCAAGTCCTTAAAAGACCGAGGATTCAAAAATTAACGTGAAACCGCGCCTCTTCGTCAACACGCGCACAGTGCACAAGCGCATTGTGACCGAGTACCCGTACCTGAGTTCGGTTCAGGAGTCGATGGTGGTCTGCGATAACCGGCTGCAGGACTGTCCCATCGTCTACGTCAACGACGAGTTCGAAAAGCTCACGTAAGTGTCCGATACACCACACCGCCTGGTCGTGCGAGAAAGAGGAATTGAGAACTAATTGTAGGTGTGTCCGTGGGCAGGCTGTACCCGAAGGAGGAGATCCTCGGCCGCAACTGCCGCTTCCTGCAGGGCAGGTACACCAACAAGGAGACGGTGAAGAAGATCCGCCACGCCGTCGACAACGGTCTTCCGCTGGACATCGAACTCTTCAACTATCGCAAAGATGGCACAGGTACAGACGTCAAACACCCCACACCCCCTCTTTGCATTGCGGAAACGTACCTAACACGAATGGGATGGGGATTCTCAGGCTTCTGGAACAATTTCCTGCTGTTGCCGGTGCACAAGTCCAAGGGCTCGAAGGTGGTGACGCACTTCATCGCCATCCAGAAGGATATCTCGGTCGTGAAGAAGGTATGCATACAACCGTCTGTTTGGGGGAGGGGTGCGAGAAAACCACTGGGTGCATGAGCAAAACTGAACACAGCCACCACAACCACGGTCACAACACAACAGGACACCAACGCACAGCAGTGGACCCCGCCCGAGTGCGCCATGTACGATGAGCAGTAGGGGATTTACACGGTGGTCACTTACTAACCTATTGGGTCCGGCAGATGGTTCGACTACCTGCACCAGAGCAAGTACGCGGACCTGATGGTCGAGAACGACATCGACGGCAAGACCCTGCTGAGCTTGAACGACGAGGACTTGGCCAACCTGGGCGTGGACGACGTAAGCAACCCTGTTACCATACACGTGTGTTAGCACACACTGTCTGACGTCCTCATGCTCATACCACACGCTTGTCTCGTGCAGGAAAAAGACAGAGACGTGCTGCTCAATCACTTGGGCAAGCTGCAAAAGGCCCCCGAGACGGCGTACCAGCTCATGGAGAAGTCGGCCGACACGAGGTACGCGACCAACGGCGAAGCCTCCTCCCGTAATTCTTCTTCTCACCGGTGGTGTTCCATCGGATCGACACAACAGCGGCCCGTACGACGGGATCGTGGAGGACGTGTGCCTGGCCGCCCCGCAGAACCAAAAGATCTGGCGCAAGGAGGGACAGACGGACACCAAGATGGCCGTCAAGTGTTACTACAGGGACGAAATCGTTATCTTCCGAGGGGAGGCAATCCGATACGCACAGGTACGATCGCTTTCGCTGCGCCAGAGGCATGGTCTGTCGGCGCTGATTGCTGGGCCGTCGGCATGTGTGCGGTTACAGATAAACAAGCTCATCGAGAACACTTGGCACACTCCTATGAAGCTCAAGCACATCAACACTGACGAGGAGAAGAAGTGGATCAGAAACGCGACAGATTGGAAGAAGGTAAGGACGATCGTGCGCATACGCACCCTTTCGCTCAGACACTTAGCAACCTATGTCCGTGTCCGTGCCTGGGTCCAGGCGGTCAAAGAGAGCAATGGCAACGTTCGAGTGCACCTCAGCAAGAGGATGAAGGACATACCCGAGCACGCGACGAAGGGCTTCGATTGTCTGTCTGTGGTGGTTGTCCTTGCCGACTGGGACGGCGTCGTGCTGTTCGCCAACAAGGCCGTCAAGACCGCGCTGGGAAAGGACCGCGAAGTATTCCTGCACCGGCCGAGCGCTGATGTACGTCGGCCCGTGCCCTGCGCTCCTTCCTTCAACGTTGGTCTAATCTTTGCTTGTTGCATTCCTCGACAGCTCTTCCCCGGCATCGAGCTCAGTGTCTCAGGCGAGTGGAAGCAGCTCGAAGCCCTGGGCAAGAAGAAGAGGAAGATCGCCCTGCGCTACACGGTCTCCATGTACGACGAGATGACGTACCTGATCCAGGCCGTTCCGCACAGCGAGTGAGCCAGCCTCAGGCCCGAGTCTGGGAAGAAAGAGAGAGAGAGAGATATTCTCGCTAGAGAAGTATCAGTGTAGACTAGTTATATGACCGCCACCCACGCAACACGGGAAGAGAATAAATGAGTTGAACAAATAGAGCAAACAAATACAAGGGGGGAGGGGAGGGGCGTCGGTCTCTAGCAGAGGTGGTTCATGAGCCACTCCCACAGGTTGGCGAGGTTGTACTCCTGGCCGGTGCACTCCAGGAAGGCCTTGGCGGTGGACGAGGTCATGGAGCAGAGGGAGTCCGACTTGCAGCCGCCGGTGCAGGGAGCTCTGCCCGCAGTCTGGGAGTAGTGGTGGAACCACCAGCGCTGGAAGTAGGAGTCCGTCGCGTTGAACCTGGCCGTCACCGCGGCCCACTGCGCCGGGGACAGAGAGCTCATTCCATACTCGGAGATGGGATCGTACGCCTTGGTCCAGGTGGGGTATCCCTGCTTGTCTACGGGAAGAGCAAGGCAATGAGCGTCAGCGGACACGCGCAGGAGAACAACAAGGCAAGACACACAGGAAGCGGGTACTGGTGAGCTCGAGGTCGGTGTAGTATTGCTGGTAGTTGAGGATGGTGCCATCGGTTCTGTTGTATTCGTAGATGCGGTACGACGGGTTCAAGTTTGTGTAGGTCGTCACCGAGGGAGCAACGTAGGCAACGCTGATGGGGTCCGACGCAGAGTTGTCCTCGCTGTAGGTCAGGTAGAACTGGTATGTCGTAAAAAGAGACGATGAGTAAGCGATGGCTTCAGCCAAGAGAGGACCAGGCTTGGTGTGTTGAGTGCATACGCTATCATCGTGCGTGTGTCCAAAGAGCTGCGTCTTGATGATGGGCGCATACTGGCGAATGAGACGTTCGTACTGGCTCGAGTACTTGTACAAGCAACCGACATCATCTGCGCACAGAAGCGATTGTGTGGTTAACCGAACGTTGCGCTTTCAGGGCAGGAGGACTGAGGAGGTCTGCGTACTGAAGGGAATGTGACCAATGATGAAGACGATCTCATTGCTCGCCTTCGCCTTGGCGAGCACACCAGTGAGCCAGGCGAGTTGCTCCGTCGGATCCGTAGCATTCAGAATGAGCTGAAAAGAAGAGGAACAAGCAGCAGTGGTCAGCTGCTGAGTCTGAGAGGGGTTCCATCGACACAGAGATGTGTTGCGCACATAAAAGTTGTTGATGTCGCAGTATTGGGTGTTCAGCGAGATCAGGCGCAGTCCTGGACGGATGAGTGTGGTGTAATATCCTCCATATCTGGAAAAAGGTGGCTAAGGTGGTAAGCAGCTTGTCCGCAACATGCTTCAGCGCTGCAAATTTGAGGGGGGTCTGTACTGCACGGTTTGCAGAGCGTCGGAAGGAAGCCAGTAAGACCACATCCTCGCAACGGGGTTCATCAACCAACTGTTCTTGGGCGGCGTAGGGAACTGGCCAAACAAATAAAGGAAAGTTGGTTATGGGGAGGTGCATACAGACGGGCCCTTGCGCGATGACGCTTACCTGATCGACCGGAAAGCTCTCGTGGTTGCCTACGACAGTAAAACAAACAATTAGCAAAGGCGGATAAGCCAATGTTGGAGGGAGGAGCGGGGAGGCACCGAGCGTCGGAAACACGGGGGTCTTGGGAAACGCGGCCTTGAGCTTGTCCACCAGGTACTGAGTGCTCGCGATTTGAGACTCCCTCGACTCCATCCAAATGTCGTGCGGGGGGTTGTCACTGCGAACCATGTGTTAACACGTACACACGGTGACAGGATGACGAAAAACATCTAACATGCAACGCACCCAGTCCAAAAGATGAAGTCGAGATCGGCCGAGTAATTGGTCGCGAGGTGGTTCAGCAGATTGTCCAGCATGATCTCCGGCATGTCGCACTTGTAGTTGCTAGCGGGAGTAAAGGGCGTTTGGTTGGTTCAATGGCATCGAAAATCGATCCAACGACCTCCCCGAGCCGATGTAGCCATACCCCCAAATGCCAGCGTCGCCTGGACCGTAGCTGGACAGGGAAAGCGTTGAGACCGGAGGTCAAGCGAGCAAGCAAGGTCAAGCGAGGGGGAAGGCGTACCGAGAGCGACAGCAGAGCGGGACGTCACAGTGTACGTTTGTTCCGGCCTTTTATCACACCCCACAGGGTTAGTAAACGTTCAGCAACCAACGAGTGTGTCGAGGGGTCCCACTTTGTACTGCGCATCGAAGTGCATGTCCGTCAGCTGAAGGAACCGACCAACGCCAGACGCGTCAACTTTGCCGGTCTGAGGTCCCTTGATCAAAGCCACCTGTTCATCCGAGTCCTCCGTCACCATTCCAGCGTAGCGCCAGTCCTTCTTAGCGTTGTGCACAACCTTGCTCCTCCTGCGCTCCTCCTGGACCGTAATGGGGCTACAAAGCGTCACCCGTCACCAACTATTCTACTCCACACCACCCATAGCGCGCAGTGCTTTAAGAGATGTGTGTGGACGTACCTTGTGGTGGCCGCGCTCTCCGGGCACAAGAGGAAGTGCACGCACACTTCTTCGTTCGAGATGAAACGCGAGGTGAACACATCAACAACGATGGGGCCGAACTCACGCGCAACACCATCACACTGCACGGATCGCGGAGAGTAAGTGGGGCCGTCGACGTAGGTCAAAAGCAAGTGCATGTAGCCGCACCACTTCGGCAACTTGGATTTGAAACAGCACGCAGATGTCGGCTACCACTGCCTGTGAGGGAAGGGCTGTGAGTCAGATGCACGTCTCCAGAGGGTGAAAGGGGAGAGGATAGCGCACCTCAATGGCCTCAATCGTGCCGTTGTTTTCAAGGATGTCATCAATCGTGTCCATGAAGTACTTGCACACTTCGCATTCGAGGAGGGGAGGCTATGTAGGGGAACGTATTAAAAATGTGGGATGAAATGGGAATCTGGAGTGCCACGTACCGCAGTAGCGTGCTGAGGCAGACCGAGGGCCTTCTTCATGTTTGCAAAAAGCTGCACTGCTCCCGGCCGAGCAAAAGGGTCCAGCCCTCCCTTACTCGATGAAGAGGGTTTTGCACCCACTAGCGCAAGCAAACAGGAAGCAAAAACGAGAGATAGGCATAAGACGAGACACGATCTCGTCGACCACCTCCCTTGTGCCATCTTCTTCTTGGAGCACGAGCGCGATCTTTGGCAAATTAAGAGTAATGTTTCTTTTCATTTCTCATCTTTATTTTTTTCCTCGAATTCGACAAAAAGTCATAAATTGAAGCTTGCTGCGCTCAATGACTCTTTGGCAAGATGGACGATGGAGAGGAAGGGCACAGTTTCACGTGGTGGCAACCCCCACCCGACACGTCGCCGTATTTTGAGCACCGCAGAGACAAATTCTATGATTTTGAGCGCAACGTGTGCTGGCCCAAGAATGAAGGCGATTTTAAATTAGAAACCAACCTCGCCCGGCTTGCAGCTGATCGTGTTAAGATGAATCAATGTGCGCCTTCCACCATCTCCTGCGGCACGACTTTTCTTTGTGAAGTTTTAATTCTGAACCAAGCACAGCACAAGCAGGAGGGGGCAGCCCTAAAAAAGAGGAACCACACGAAGACGAAGAGCCGAGCTCCCTGCCCGCAACGACGCCCCAGTCATCAGGCCACCCCATCCTCTACGTAGAAGACGAGGAGAAGGAGGTCGTCGAGGTCGAGATCGGCGAGGAGGAGGAGATCCCGCTTGTGGCCAGGAGGGGCGTACAGCCGGCCCCGCCACCAGCCGCCGCCGTCGCAGCGCCGTCGTCGTCACAAGTGGTCCCGTCCACTGCACCTTCTGTGCTGGGCAAGCGGAAGGAGCACCCTCCCCTCGTCACGCCCGAGCCTTCACAGTCCCTTCCTCCGACTCCCGCTCCAGAAACCGGTACACGCTACACCACCTCGCACGTCACGCAGACTTGGCTGGCTTCATCAGGCCGTGCTGGCTGCTCATCATTCGTCTTCTTCTGTTCGTCCTTTGCTGTGCAGCGCCTCGGCCGGTGCATTTTACAACGACTCTGCAGCTGGCCACCACCACGGAGACAACCGAAGTCGAGTCCACGCCTGTACCGCCTGCAACCCCAAGGCAGGCGGAGGAGGCGCAGCGCCAGCGTTTACTTCGGGACGTCGACTACACCACGCGGCATGGGGCGCCAGGTTAGCGCATACCACCCTCTTGAGGCAGCTGGCTCACACTCGAGCAACTCACACTCACCGTTTTTGTCTGGATGCTGGGCGGCGCGCAGAGGGTGCCATCAACCTGTGTGACCTCGGTACGGCTCGCTTCTACCAGGAAGCCGCCCAGCTATTGAAGTCCGGCAAGGCGGTAGCGTGGGCTCTCATGTTCATGGATGGATCCACCTCGTTCAGAGTGGCCAAAAAGAGCTCCCGAAAGGTGCTCTAGCCTTCGTTTCTCTCTCCTCTCCTCTCTCTCTCTCTCTCTCGTGTTGCCTGTGGCCAGCCAGCTCACCGCGCCCGCTCAACCCCAGACAAAACACGCCGAAGTGGCCGAAGAGGCCAGCGAGCCGCAGGACGAGGAAACGCCGCTCGGTATCGGCTTTGCGCTGGATGACAAGTTCTATTTCCTTCCCTTGCAGGAGAAGCAAGGCACACGTACGTCCATTCCTTCTCGAGTTTTTATTTATTTATTTATCATTTTTTAAAGAACACAAACGATGTCACTCTCCGCTACGCTCACACTCAAGTTCTTGGCCGCTCCAGGTGTCATGATGTCGCATCGATGGGGTTTTCTCAGCGAGTTCTTGGCACTCGGCTCGCCCAAGGTGGGACACAACACGCAGCAGATACTGCGCATCCTCTACTCTTTGCATCCTCCGCTGCAAGAGGGTACCTTGCCCGAGCCTCAACCTCTCATGGCAACCGCATGATTACAGGAGTGCTCACAGCGCAAGTACGCGAAATGGTCTCTCGGTTGCGTGTCGCGCGTGCAGTGGACTGTAAAAACTTCGTAGACACCAGAATCGGCGGCTGGGTCCTGCGACCAGCCAACAATCGGGCCGACCCGTTCACCTACGACGCTCTGCTGCAGCAGTACCTGGACGTCTTCGACAACGCCGGCGATGCGCAGGAGCCGAAATCCGTCTTCTCCCGCGACCTCAGCCTGCTGTTGCCTCTGGCCGAGAAGATCCTCGGTACCTACTTGACACACGATCGCACAATGCGCAACTTTCTATGTGTGCGTGGGTGGCTCTACCGCGATCGTTGCTAACGACGAACGAGACCAGGCCTGATCACGGAACAAGGGATGCTGGATGTGTTCGAGGGCCAGGAGTCGCACCTGCCGCCGATACTGGCCGCCATGGAGAACGCCGGCATTTCGGTCGACCTGGACAAACTGACCGCCTACCGAGCCGAGCTTCAGCAGCGCATCGCCCTCCTGGAACAGAGGTGCCCCCCTGCCTTGTTTGGCGCAGCACGTTTGTAGTTGTGGGCCTTAGCGTTCCTCGCGACAGGGCCGAGGAATGGGCCGGCAAGAAATTCCTGCTGTCATCGCCAAAGCAGGTGGCCGACGTGCTCTACAACCAGCTGAAACTCGCTCCGCCCTCCACGCCGGGTCAGGGCAAGGGCGTCTCCCAGTCCCCGAAGAAGGTACGCACCACATCAAAGCTGAGAGTTCGGTTCCATGGTGCCGGATGGATTTGCTCACGGTCACACACACGACACACACAACACACAACACACACACACACACACACACACACACACAACACACTGCCCATCTGCCCGAGCAGCACCCAACTACATCCGAGGAAGCCCTCTTGGCCCTCCAGGAGAAGCACGCACTGCCCGGCATCATTCTCGAGCATCGGCACCTTAACAAGCTGCTTCGGTCCTACATCGACCCTTTCGTCGTCCACGCCAACAAGCGAAATGGTACCGGCTGCACGTACTCCCAGCCCAATGCGGCGAAGGCTGACCCGCGCGTGTATTCAATCGCGGCCTGCAGAAACGGCGAGCGGCATTCCTCGGGTCTGTGGTCGATGGGAGCAAGTGACGGCGACAGGCCGGCTTGCTTCGCACGACCCCAACCTGCAAAACCTGCCGCGACCCGAGTCCCTTGAGTTCTTCCTCGACGGTACTATGGGCCTCGCTAGAGTTCGGGCACCTTGCGTTGCGCCAATAACTAACGAATTTTTATTGTGTCGCACACCACACACCACAGGCGTGGAGTGCATCATTCCCCTAAACCTGCGTGACAGCTTCGTGGCGCAACCGGGCATGGTGTTCGTGTCGGCGGACTACTCCCAGCTTGAGATGCGGCTGCTGGCGCACATCAGCCAGGAGGCGGCTCTGCTCCAGTTCTTCAGCGACGGCCACGACTTCTTCAAGCTCGTCGGCAGGTACCATTCCCCGCCCCTCTTCCCCCCTCCTCCTTGGTGACAACTCACCACCGCCGCGGCGGCCCGGCAGTCGCCTGTGGGGCAAGCCCAGCGCCCAGGTCAACGAAAAAGAGAGGGAGTTGGCCAAGCGCGTGTGCTACGGGGTCATGTACGGCGCAGGTAAAGCCTTGCCATCCACCCTCGCTTGCTCGCTCGCTCCCGATCCCTCTGACCCCACCTGGTGACCTGTTCCCTGCGCAGGTGCTGCGTCGCTGGCCACGGATCTCAAGGTCTCACCGGCCAAGGCCAGGGTCTTCGTGGAGCGGTTCCTGGCCCAGTTCCCGGCCGTCAACCGATGGATCAGCGACACCAAGAGGCAGGCCCACAAGTACTGACTACCCCGCCCTAGACTAGTGATGTCTCCAGAGATTGCCCCCTCCCACTCGACGTGTTCTGCGCGCGCGCTGACATGTCCCCGCGCCATGCCAGCGAGGGGTACGTGCGCACGCTCTTCGGCCGGCGGAGGCTACTACCGGACATCCACTCCACTTCCAAGGAGATATGCGCTGCCGCTGAGCGACAGGTGCCCAGTGCCCTCGCCCTTTTGCTACGCACTTGCTCTCGGGCGAATGCTAACGGCAACTGGCCTCGGGGCGGTGTGCGCATATACAGGCCGTGAATACGATCATACAGGGGACGGCCAGTGACCTCGTCAAGCAGGCGATGCTCGCCGTCGATGTCCATCTCCGAGCCCAGAAGATGAAGTCTCGACTCGTCCTCCAGGTGCACGACGAGCTCATCTACGAGGTGCACACCTTATCTCCTTCGCTCTTCTTCGTGCTTCGTTCTTTGTTCCTTCACGGCTAAGGACTATGCTACGGACCCCAGACCCCCGTCGACGAAATCGAGGCAATGGCGGTCCTGGTGCAGCGGTGTATGGAGGAGGCTGCTAAGCTGGACCTTCCGCTGCCGGTCTCGGTCCAGGTCGGCGAGCGCATCGGATCGCTGCATCCCTACCCTCCCGGCGGCGCCGAACCGGTGCGTCCAACCGCCTTCCCCCCCCCGCACTCGTGTGTGCGTTTGTCTGCCGATCTCTGCGCACGTGCAAAGCCATGCCGTGCGCATTAGGTGCAGACATAGAGCAACAAACGTCAAAATTTTCTCCACACGCCCCGGTCGGGTGGCCTACAGCCATGGCCCCCGGCTGTGCTAGCGTCGGAGCACACCACTACCACCACCCCGGGCCACTAGTAGCGGCACAGCATGCTGACAGTGGTCGATCCCGCAGACGACGAGCACGCAGAAAGTGCCGACGACGGCGGAAAGCGACGCAGGCGTGACGGAGGCGAGCGACGCACCGCTTCCTAGCGACCGCGAGGAGATGGCTCCGGCGCCGGCTCCAGCCCCGCGGGAGTTGAAGATTCCGGTGTCGGCCTCCCAGCCAGCACCCCTTCGAAGCCCTACGCCGGTGCACAACGTCCGCCCAGCTGCCCCGATGCGCGCACCAGAAGTCTCAGGCTCAGCCCCGGTAATGCGACCGCCGGCGTCCCAACCACCACTCCCCGGCTCCGCACCGTCTACCGTATCGAACCCGCCGCCCCGCTTCGGCAGCGGCTCTTCGCAGCCCGCGGCGCCCACCGCGTCTGCTCCCGCGCCTCCGCCCGCGCGTTCGGGCATGCCGCCGGCCTCGTCTGCCCCGCCTCGCGGACCGCCGATGATGACCTACTCCGCCTCGCCGGCCACGGCCCCGCCGCGCCCGGCTGCCCTTACCCCCGCCTCGCCGGCGTCGTCGGCCTCGCCCCACCTGCTGACCCCGCTGCTGACCGCTGCAGTCAAGCGGGAGGACGAGGAGTCGTCGCTCAACGAGGACTCGTTCTCGATGGAGGAGCCGCCGGTCGAGGAAGAGGAGGAGGAGGGCGGCGACTACCTGGGCGTCACCGGCCAGGTGCTCGAGGCCGGCGATGTCGAGTACCCGCACGACGATGTCGTGAGCCAGGGGCCGGACGAGGTGCCCGACGAGGACTTCTCCATGCCCGAGGAGGACGTCGAGCTCGACGGCATGGACCACGACCTATACGCGGACCACACCCTCTCGTGAACCCCGGTTGTAAAGAACGAAACGAAACAAAATGAAACGAAATAGAACGAAGAATGGAGAATCTTGAACAAGACGAGAAGGAGGTGGGTGTCGTCGCTCACTGGGTGGAGAGCTCGACGAGGAAGGCCAGGGCGACCTTGGCGAACTCGCGCGCGTGTTCGGTGGAGATCTTGTCGAGGGTGTCCTGCGGTGAGTGGATGTTGGGGTTGATGTTGGAGAAGTCAGTCTCGAAGGGGAACGCCGACGGATAGCCCGCCTTGGTCCAGCTCGCGTGATCACTTTGAGTCGTTGTTCGTTGTTGTCACAAAAACAAGATAGGTCAGGACAGGCGCAGGAGCTAAAAATGCAGATAGGAGTTAAATAAGGAGGGGAGGGCAGGCGTACCTGCAGCCATAGCCGCACTTGGTGTTCTTGACGGGGAGGTGGGTGTACTCCTGGGCCAGCTCGCGCACAAACTGCGTCAGGGACTCGTTGACGTAGTCCGTCACGATACCGAAGACGGGGTCATTGTTGTTCACATAGCCGACCATGTCTGGCAATCACAGCACGACACACACGACACACACGACACACACGACACACAAGACACACACGACACCGTAAGACAACATCGTGGGTGCGGCACAAGGTGCGGCGTCAGCTGAGAGGGTACCGAGCTGCATCATGCCGGCCACGACCTTGCCCTCCTTCTGGTAGGTGCTGGCGATGGCCTGCGAGCCCAGCAGTCCTACCTCTTCAGCGGCGTAGGCGTGGAACTCGATGGACCGGCTTCCCCTGAACCCGTTGCTGGCCAGCACGCGGAACACCTCGAGCACCGACGACGAGCCCGACGCTGCCTCGTCGCCACGCTCCATTAGCAACGACACACAACACACAACACACACGACACACGTCGCACACACGACATCCGTCGGCCATTACGCACCATCGTCATCAGCGCCAGGCGAGCGGCCGGTCGTGGAAAAGCCCACTGAGTCCTCGTGACCGCCCAGGATCACCAGTTCGTGAGCGTTCTCGCCTTCGCCGAGGAAAGAACGGAACACGCGCGACTCGCGCGTGTGAGCGAACAGTGGCCAGGTCTGAGTGGGCGGAGGAAGGTGGGCGTGTACCGGTGCCTTCGATGCGGGCGATGACCGAGGGCTGAGGCCAGGTGTGCTCGAAGAAGCGCACGGAGATGTGGGACTGGTTGCGGGCGAACTCGCTGTACTTGCTGTGCAGCAGCTTCGCGCCTGCGGTACCCCGTCCGGTGAGAACCAATTGACAGTGCGGTGGTGCGAGAAGTGCGTGCGTGCGTGCGTGCGTGCGTGCGGTGTGGGTGTGTGGGTGTGGTGCGTGTGCGGTGGTGAGTGTTCGTGTGCGGCGAGCTACCCTCAACACCGGTGGTGGAAGTGTAGAAGCGGGTGTAGAGCTGCGACAGGTCGGTGATGGTCTGGCCGATCTGCTCGGCCGACAGTTCCTTGAGCAGCTTGTCGATACTCTCCTGCAACCATTTAGTCGGTAAGAAACCGAAACCCCCAATAAAAGCTACACCACAACATCTAAATGGCTACAAACTATACTTTTATAAATTAAAGAATAATCATCATCCAAGCGAAGGTGCGGGCGAAGTACCGGGTGGCGCGGGATGAGAACGTCGGGCAGGGTGGAGGAGGTGAGGCCGTCGATGGGACGGAGGCCGGGGTGGTCGGTTACGTCCATGAAGTGCGCCTTCGCGTTGATGAGCTGCTGAATCTGCTTCTCGGTGAGCCACGCACGCTCGCCCTCCTTGAACTCGATCCAGCGACGGCCCCGCAGGGCGTTGCGCATGACCTCGGTGGTCTGCTCGGCATCACTGGGACCCCCAGTGGCGGGCGTAAATGTGGCCGAGCACACCACAAACAGGGCCAGCCCCAGCACGCATGCGAGTGTCACAACCACCTTCATCTTCAAATGACGGAAGGCACTGACTTTTCGCTCGACAGCTTCTCGGCCGTGCTCGAAAGAGAAGAGGAAAGTTATGCCGGCCAACTCTGCTGATGTCATGCCACGTCATCTTTCTTTTTCTTTTTTTCCTTTCTCCCGCCAAAATCAAATCTCTCGAAAAGATGGATTGCGATCCAGAGGTTTTAGCATCTATTCCTTCTTGCATTGGAGATTCTGCAAGGAGGAGACCCGAGGCTGATGCCCTCGTCTATCTACAGGCACTTCCGCCCGCGATCGCCCGATCATCTGCCGCACTCCAAAGATGGACCTATCGAGAGATATGGAGAGCAGCCCGAGCGATTGCACGGACCCTGCTCCTTCGATGCCCCCACGCTGATGATGTGAAGCGCAAGGTGGGGGTGATGATCGACGACGGACCACTCCTGCCCATCGTCGAGCTCGCCGTGCTACTCGCCGAGATGGTGATCATCCCTCTCGATGCCGGAGACCCTCGCGTGCGATTCATCATCGAGGATGCCACCCCCGACCTCATCATCACCAAGGATGCCAACACCTCTCAGATCGCCCACGAGGCCATTCGTGCATCAGAGATTGCACCATCACCGCTCGTCCTGACCATCGCGTCCACCACCGGTGCGATCGACCCTGGCGCCACCTTCATCCTCACCCAGGACGACCGCCGACGCGCCATTAACGACAAGGAGAGTAAAGAGGACAAGAACGAAGATGATGAGTTCTCTTTCGCTTCACCTTCGTCCACGTCGTCGGCTTCTGTCTCACACATCTTCTTCACCTCCGGCAGCACGGGCCGGCCCAAGGGCTGCGTGGTCGCCCACTCGGCCCTGCTCTCCTACTGCCGGGCCAAGAGCCAGGTCCACCGGGTCGACGAGAGCAGCGTCTGCTTCGTGGCCTCGTCGCTCACCTTCGACCCCTCGCTGGGCGACTTCTTCTCCACCTGGTGCTCCGGCGGCGTCGTGGCGCTGGCGCCCCGGAGCCTCATCTTCTCTTCCCTCGGCGCCTGTCTCTCCGCCACCCACGCCACACATCTTCTCACCTCCCCATCGCTCTTCAGCACCATCACTCGTCCACCATCATCTTCAGCACTATCGCCAGCCTCATCATCCACATCGTCGTCGGACTGGCTGCCAGAGCTGCGTGTGGTGGCGCTGGGCGGCGAGCCGATGCCGCGAGGGATGATGGAGGCCTGGTCGGCCGAGTGCCGGCTGTCGGTCATCAACACGTACGGCGTCACCGAGTGCTGCGTGTACCAGACCGCGGCCTTCCTGCGCCCCGACTCGCCCACGCCCAAGTTGCTCGGCGACCCTCTCCCGGGTAACCAAGTCTTGGTCATGCGTAGGAAAGCCGCCGCCTGCGACGACGACGAGCCGGTCGTGAGCCACGACGATATTGCCGACATGCGACTGGTGGCAGAGGGCAGTGGTGAGGAGGGCGAGCTCTGGATCGCCGGCGACCAGGTGGGTCAGGGCTATCTCAACATGCCGGAGCTCACGGCACGCAAGTTCGTGGTCCACCCGACCTATGGCAGGTGCTTCCGAACGGGCGACCTTGTCGCCGCGTTCCCGGCGGGCGCGCCGGGCTGGAAGCTGGTCGGCCGGAGCGACGGGCAGGTCAAGATCAGCGGCCAGCGCGTCGAGCTGGGCGAGATCGAGGAGGCCCTTCTCGCCGTGGCCTCGCCCCAACTCATCCACTCCGCCGCCGTCGTTCTCTCCTCTCTCGGCGGCCACGGCCAGAGGGGCGAGAGCGGCCAGCTGGTCGCGTACTGCTGCATCGAGCTGCCATCTGGTTCGGCGATCGCCGCTGCATCGCACGAGGAGCTTCTGTCGGAGCTGCTGCGCCTGTTGTGCGAGGAGCGACTTCCGCGACACATGGTTCCCTCCCGGTTCGTCTTCGTCGCGAGCCTCCCGACGACACGCACCGGAAAGATCGCGCGGGCGCTCCTCGCCAAGCAGGACCTCCCTCCGCTCCACTTCGCCTCTTCGACGTCGTCACAGGCATCATCGTATGAAGAGGCCGGCCAGAGCGACGAGGTGGACGACTTCTGGAGGAATCTGGTGGCGGCAACGTGGGGCCGGGTGCTGGGGCTCGAGGGCCTGGTGACGGCTCGTGCCAACGCCCACTTCATGGAGCTGGGCGGCGACTCTCTTGCGGCCCTTCGCGTATGCCAGTCGATCGCAGGGCAGATCAACGACGCGCGACAGAAGAAGCCGACGGCCGAGGTGACCAAGTCGACGGCCAAGACCAAGGCCAAGCCTTCGCCGAAGGCCACGACCGGCGGCGACAAGGAAGAAGAAACCGCCGCTGCCGCTGGCGAGTTTGGGGAGTTGCTGGGTCCACTGGCCCCCGCGGAGCTTCTCAAGCGACCACGGCTCTGGGACTTTGCTCGGCACCTGCGCGAGGCCGGAGGAGACGATCAGAGCGCCAGACAGCCAGCCTCCTCCCCATTGGCAGCCACGGCCGAGCTGCGGTCTCGAGATGCCGAGCTGCTGCGGATGCTGTACCGTGCTGTGGGCGCCGGCGCGCAATCGATCGTGCGATTCCTCCTGGACCACCGATGCCTGCACCCCGATGGGCGGCAGCAGGGGGTCGGCGCAGCGGGAGGCAAAGCGACAGCGGCGGCTGCCTCGAAAGGGTCTGCCTCGCGAGGCGCGGGTTCGAGCGGCGCCCGTCCCGCTTCCGCGTCTCCGGCTCCTCGGCGCTACCTGACTCCGCTTCACGTCGCGTGCGCCAACGGCCACGCTAACGTCGCGCTCGAGCTGCTGGCCCGAGGGGCCTCGCCGACCATCGCCGATCCGAGCGGCGTGCAGCCGATTCATCTCGCGGCCCAGAAGGGTCCCGTGGAGGTGTTGGACGCTCTCCTGACCTCCTCTTCGACTTCATCCTCGTCCTCGTCCGCTTCGGCGAAGAAGGCCAAGGCGGCGGTGAACCCGAGCGTGCTGATGGCCAAGGACGACAACCAGCAGACGGTGCTCCACCACGCCGCGAGGGCCGACGCCCCGGGCAAGGTGATGGACCACCTGCTCGAGAAGTGGATGGCAGCGGGCGCAGCCACCTCGAAGGGGACCACGACCACGGCCACAAAGGGCGGACGAGGCGGTGCAACAACATCGGCGAGAGGAGCAGGAGGAAGTGGAGGGGCCGGCGCGGGTGGTGTCGATTGTGTCGACAGATGGCGACGGACGCCCCTGCACTGGGCCGTGGTGAACGGCCACCGGACGATGGTGGCGAAGCTGCTCGAGTGCGGCGCCGACCGGAAGAAGGTGGACGACAAGGGCGAGACGCCGCTGGCGATTGCCGAGCGGAGGGCGCGGTGCGGGGCCAAGGAGCGCCCGGAGGGCATGGGCGCCTCGGTCTTCGGCGACATCGCCAAGCTGTTGGGCGGCTCCGGCTCCACCAAGCGAGTGTCCATGTACACACGAGAAGGTTGAAGAAGAAACAGCACCCCCAACTTAGCTGTTGGTGCCTGCTTGCACAAGTGCTGACTGTTGGTGACACAACGTCGTTTCGCCCAATGGGAGGCGACGGATTGCGCCATCCACAGGCCAGCGGCAAGGCAGCAGCAGAAGTGAGTAAAAGAAGAAGATGAAGCAGGTCCTCGTATTGGTTGTGGTGGCGTCGCTTGTGCTTGCCGTGGCGGCCAAGAACCTCGACTTCGCGCTCGAGTATCGCGGCCAGTGTTCCTATGCCAACAACAGCGGCTTCTGCCGCCTGAAGGCTCAATCTCAGGAGATCCTCACCAAGATCAAGTACGTGCACTCCATCTTCTCCTTCTGAACTTAGTGCGAGCTTCTTCGGCAACCGAGGCGATAGATTGACGCCTCTTGTCCGGTTGTATACTTTTAGGGCCGACGGTAAGGTCGAAACCAGCATCAACAGGCTCATTGGTTCCCTCTCGCACTTGGACTTCACCGACATCTACAACGCCACTTCCCATACCTTCACCTCGAGGGGCACCCTAGTGCGTCCTCCCCCCCCTCCTATGGGGTGGACCTCTTTTTATTTCGGACCCAACCAACGTTGACGTCGCACTACGCTGCACTGCGCACTATAGTCCTTCGGCATCCACAGGACCGAGAAGGACCACATGGTCGAGTTCGAGAACCAGGGCATGGGCAGGCTCAACAACACCCCCCATCCCGACCGTGAGTACGCCTTCGTCACCGTGTGGAAGGTGACCAAGGGCTACGGCGCTCTGGCGAACGGTACTGCTCCGACCACTCTCTCTCTCTCTCTCTCACCCCGCTTTGGTTTCTTTTGTTACCACTCACCTGCCGACTTGTCCATTGCCTCTCCTCGTGCCAGCTATTGGCACCATCACTGCCAACGGTGTCTACAACTTCGAGAAGGACGAGGCCATCGTGGGCGTTGTGGGTGCGTGGGCGCACAACGGATTGCTTCCTTGCTTGGCATCAATCATCAGCTCACCATGCTCTCCGTACCGCGTGCAGGCGTCATCTGGTACAAGGACGACCAGGCCGTCATCGACACCGCCGACAACTAGACGCTCCGCTCCACATAAGATCGACGCGTTCGCCTTGCCACTGCCCTCGCTGGTTCAAGCAACGTGTTGGTGCGTTCGGGTTAGCTCAATACAAAAGCGTTGGCTCCTTGCCTTCGTTCTTCCTGCCACGTCGCTTCTCGTTTCGCTCGAACCGGCGCGAAAGTTCGCCCGAGATCTGAGCGAAGGAAAGCTCATCGCGCTCGATTGCAATCGACGATTGAGTAGTAAAATCAACTCGCAACGATAAGGAGGAGATGGATTGGCAAACTGGCGGTGGAGGCTATGGTGCTGCGGCCACCCCCTACCAGCCCTACTACCAGCAGGAGGAGGGCAGCGATGAAGAGGAGGGGGCGAGCCTGTACGAGGATGAGCACCAAGAGGAAGAAGATGAGCAGGCACCGCAGGTGACAAAGCAGAACTTCAAGGACCTGCTGCAGCAGTACGACCACATGCTTGTGGCCCAAGGCGTTCTGCCGGCCTTTATGCTCGAAAGCCAGCAGGGCGCCCTGCCAGCGGATCAACAACAGGACACCTATGAAAGCGAAGAAGGTACCCTTCTTTCCATCAATTGATGCTTAATTCATTAATTAAAATGAAATGCATAATATGTAATCTGCAGAGTACAGCGATCTCGAGGATGGAGAGCCAGTACAGGAAGAAGAAGTTGAGGAAGGTGAGGCACAAGCGACAGCAGAAGCATCCACGCTGCAGCACGGAGGCCCCACGGCGGATGCCCTGGGCGCCTGGGTGAGCGCGTACCAACCCCGCACCTTCAGCCAGAAGAAGCGAAACGCGCGCAGAAGCGCCAAGAGCGAAGGTCAGCTGCCCGGTACGCTCACCGCCGATCTCCCTCTACCCCACCGGCCCCGCGCTCATCAGCTGCTCCTTCCGGCAACGCGCGTTCAGGACCGCTGGGCCTGCCTCCCTATCTCGAGGTGGAGCGCAAGATCCTCCACTCGCTCTGGAACATCGAGAGCGGCGCGTCGTCCGAATCTGCCTTCCGCTTGGTCTACTCTTGGGTTGGCCTTCTGCCCTGCGTGCCCTTGTGCCCAGCCCAATGTTGCCGTTGTGCGCACCCGATGCTGACCAGGATGTTGTCTTATTGTTGTTGTTGTTTTGCAGCTGGCCAGCTATTCGCAGGTTCACCCGTCCGAGTTCGGGGAGCATGTGGACCTGTTCCACCTGTACTTCAATCTCCTGCTCAACGGACCGGAACACAAGGAAGATGACCCTCAACACCAGCACCAGCACCAGCACCCTGTGCCGGCACAGACTGCTCACGAATCGACGTTGAAGCCTTATCGACACCCGCAGGAGGTACCGCAGCAGGGACCCACCCGACTCCCTGTTGACGATCAGCTCCAGGAGCTGGCACACATCGCCGCGATCATCTCCAAGGTGCCTATGCCCACTCCCTCCGTATTTAGGAGCCTTACCGCGCGTTGGGTCCCGACGCTCAATCCGCTTTGTTCGGCGACGACACAAACTTAGGATCGTCAAATCCGAGCCTATTGCCACAGACAAGGCTGGGCGTTGGGATGTCTCGAGCTGTTGCAGCGCTTGCCCACAGCCGGTGAGCAAAGCGACGAATTCACCGGTAACTCCCCCATTCGCTTCACTCGATAGTTGCATTGTTCCTCGAGTAGGCGACGATTGAGCATACTCCCCCCTTGTCGTTGTGGTGGCCAGGTGCTGTGGTCAACATCGTATCACTGCTTCTGCAGGACGGCGTGAGCGTGCTTGAGCTCCGCAAGCTCTTCCGCACCATCCTCATCCTCAACGAACGACCCCTCAAGGTGTGCCCCTCTTCTTCCCCGCTCATAATCAAGACTCGCACGAGTGCGAACGACCCCGTACGGAGCTCATCAATTTCTTTTCCCTCCACCCCCATTAGTCTGTCGGTGCACCGCGACTATTGGCGCAAGTCGGCAAGTTGCTCACCTATCACCATGGACCCACCGCGTACTTCGAGTTCAACGCTGCCACCACAGAATCGGTACCGAACCGCCGTCACTGTCGGTTGGCCTTGGTGTGGTTCTTTCCGCCATGCCAATTCCACTCCTCTCTCTCCCTCTCTCTCTCCAGGGGTTGCTACTGCCCAGCATCAACCAGTGGCCGATCAACGGCTACACGTTCAGCACGTGGCTGTGGGTCGACTCATTTTCGGATCCTTCGGGCAAACCGCTCGAGTACTTCCCCTATCTGTTTAGGTACGACGCATCGCTCGCGCAGGCGGTCCGGTTCTCACTGGTGGCGGAGAGCAACCGTTGGCTTGGTCACACAACCCACTCACACGTGCCCTCACAACGTCGGTGAAAAACTTAAGTTTTTCGGGGGAGCACGGTCAAGGTCTGGAGCTGTCTTTCCACAGCTCGAAGGCGCTGGTGTTCAAGACCTTCTGGAAGTCGAAGAAGGGAGGCGACAACTCGCGCATACTCTTGCCCCTGGACAAGCTCACCTTCGAGCCCAAGAAGTACGCCCTTGTCTCGGTTGTCGGTTCGCGGTGAGCGGAAACACTTACCCACGTATTCGTGGATCGCGCAGGTGGTACTTCATGACGCTCATCCACACGCGCGGGAGCTTCGTGCACGGGAGCACGGTCGACCTGTACATAAACGCACACAAGGTCTGCTCCGCGGCCCTCTCCTATCCTCGGTTCGAAGAAGTACGGCCATGCCCAACCATTCGTTACGATCGTGTGTGTGTGTGTCGTGAGTCGTGCGTGTGAGTTGACCTCTCTCGCTGCGTTATGTGTTCAGGCTTTCGCGCTCTGCACGGTGGGTTCGCACATTCAAGGCGGGCAAGAGGGCACAGGCAGACCGGGCAGAGGCGGAGAATTCGCCGCCTTCCATTCCTACCAATTCCACGGCAGGATGAGCGCCTTCATGTTCTTCGACGTGGTACCTGCCCGCCTTGCTCTTCGTGGGTCCAATGGCCCCACTCGCTCACGCGAATGAAATCTGTGCAATTTTGCAGCCGCTGCAAGCCGCCGACGTGAAGCACCTCTACGTCAATTGCTACCGCAACGACTTCCTCTCCCTGATCACCAAGACGTACGCCGGCTTTGTGCCAGTTGAGGTGCTGGTCACCCGCGCCGATGGTGTCTCACATCGCACGTTTTTTGCTTGCTTCCCTCCCCCCCTAGGGAGCTGGCCTCTAAAGTCTTCATCGGCTACGCGCCTCGCGCGACCGCTGGCAAGAACGCGTACCTCGAAGTGTTGCCATCGCTCCGACCGGTGCCATCCGCTGAGGTGCCTTCCCGCGCGCAGAAGAGGTAAGCGCCTTCCCCCCCTTCCCCCCATTGTTTCCTGCGTACCTCAACGAACGTAACTTGCGCGACAGAGCGGAGGCGATGCCGGGCACCAGCGTCGGCCCGTTCCATATCGCACTGCAGCAGGGGCTGAACCACGTCCTCAAGGGAGTCCCGTTTGTGCTGATGCTCTTGTACAAGCTCTGCACGGCCTCCGCCTCTTCGTCAGCCGTAGCGCCCTCGAAGATGGACACCGCGCAACAGGCCAACTTGCAGGTACATCACGCACGCTTTTCTTCACTATGACTATGCTGGTAGGTCGTGCGTTGCATTCCGCTGACGTCGCGGGGCCAGATAACGATCGAGTGTTTCCTCGATGTGATCGGCTTGCTTGGCCGCGTATTGAGGTACGATGGCACTCTGCAGTCCATTGCCGACGTCGGGCTGGTCGCCTCACCGGCGCTGACCAACCCCCGCGCCCTCTACAGGGAGGATCTCAAGAATGCCGAGCGGGAGCTGCTGTCGCACGAAGGCTTCACCAAGCTCGCGGCGGTGCTGAGTCGCATCTCGCCGAGCGTGTGGAACGCCCCGCAGCAGAAGGCACTCGACGCCCTCTACACGCTCACGCAGGCCGTGGCCAAGGTCGGTCAGGTGAGCGACGAGATGTTCAAGCGCATCTACCTCAACTTCGATATTTGGATCTACACCAGCAGCTTCACCCAACACGCGCTGCTCGACCTCATCACGACACACGTCGTGCAGCAGCCTCAGGTCTTGTCTCCTCTCTGCATGGTGTGCGTCAGTCTTAGCTGACGCATATGGTTGGTTGGTTGGTTGGTTGGTGCAGCATTACAAGAGGCTGATAGGCATCAAGGGCGTGCTGGACATCCTGCGCAGCTACTACTGGTATGCCGACCGACCCGGACGCAGCTACCTCGATAGGTCGCCGCCCGGTGATGGTGGCACCCCCACGCCCAGGCACCTCCGTAAGAGAAGGCGACTCTCGGCGGACGAAGTCAAAGGTGAAGCCACCAACGCAATTAACCACCTTAGAGCTCCTGTGCATTTCAGTCAAGCTCTGGTTAACAAACTCACCGCTCACATGCTCTTCACAGGCTTGCGTCAGCGGTTGCTTTCCTGGATTCAGGTGTTCATCCAGACACGCGAGACGCCCGCCCTTCAGTCCAACGAGGTAACGCACGCACTGCACACGTGTGCGCACCGCAAACGCAGCAGTTTGCGCATTTTTCGCGTGACGTGCTGACGAAATGGGGGCGGGGGGTGACGAGCAGATGCTGGAGGACGTGAGGAGCATCTTCACCTATATTCAGTTCATCGCAGAGCAGGACCCGCTGCAGCTGCTCGAGCTGCTGCCGCTGCTGTCGTCACTGCTGCGCAAGAACGCAGCCAAGCTGAGCGACATCAACGTGATCATACAGAGCGCGGGATCCGCGGCACATGGGCGGAATGACAAGCATCCGGCCGAGAGCAACAACGATGATGGCTTCGCGTATGGCGGGCAGATCGCGCACTGTCTCATGCAAGCGACCGGCAAATCGTATGTTTGGTGAGGGTGAGGGCGCCCTGTGGCCACAGGCTGACAGTGAGGGTGCGCGCGGGTGTGCTGCAGGGGTCTGAACGCTTTCATCGGGCTTCTGACATGCACGGAGGACGAGGCCGTGCGTGTGTGGATTCTTCGCGTACTCGGAGACATGCTCAACTGCCTGAACGAGGACAAGGTAACGCTACACGCGCATCAATGACCCCCCACACACCTCCGTCGTATGTTGACAGCATTTTCCTCCGTTCTCTCTTTCTCTCTCGTACAGAAATTGCACCTTCTCTCGGGGCGCACCCTGCACCTGGACCCCTCGCAGCTCGCCATCATCAAGGCCCACTTGCAGGTACGCTCGCAATTTTATTATTATTCTTATTTTCATTTTCTTATTTTAATCCTGCTCAACCGTGTGTACGGGCAGAGCTCGCCCATGACTCCCACAATCTATGCGGCGTTGATGTCGCTGTTGTTGGGCAGCGAGACGGCCTACGAGGCCATATCGTCGCCCCCGAGCTTCTCCCCCATGCGCCCGTCGTTCTCCCCGCGCCACACGTCATCGCCCTTCGGCGGCGACCACTCTGGCGGGGCCGCCCCACCGTCGCCCTACTCGCCGCTGCCGCCGCTGCCGCCCAAGAAGTCTGCCGGCGCCACCCTCAACAAGAAAGTCGGCGGGGAGAATGGCCACTTCAAGAACGCGGGCGTGATCCCGATCATCTTCGAGCTGGTGGTCGAGGGCGGCCACTCCGACCCCGAGCTTCACACGGCGCTCCTGCGCGACTTCCTATTCCTGCTGGTCCAGTCGCAGCGCAACCGCGCCGACTTCCTCGAGTCGTCGCTCATCGGCCCGGCCGGCGGGGCGACCCACTCCCGAAACATCGGCACGTGGCAGTGGAAGGCCTGGCTCTTCGGCCTGCTGGGCAAGAACAACGCCCTCTTCCCGCAGATCCTCGACTTCTTCGTCACCCTCCTCAACCACGTCATCTCCGTCGCCTCGCTCTCGTCGTCATCCCCCTCCTCGCCGTCATCGGCCGCCGCCGCGACCCGGCAGGCCAAGAGTCACCTGCGCGAGACGCAGTCGCTGTGTAAATACTTTGGCGAGAAGGGCGGATTCTTCGACTGGACCGACTTCTGCGGCCACCTGCACAAGCGGCTGCTCTCGCTCACGGCCCACGCCGTCCGCGCGTTCGACCCGCAGGGGCTGCTGAACTCGCTCGCCTCCTCCGCTCCCCCTGGCGTCGCGGATATCGCCGGCGAGTTCGCGCTGCTGGGGGCCGGTGGCGGCGAGGCCAGCGGAACGCCGCCGCTGCCCCCGCGGCCTGGGGCTCGGCCCGGCCGCTCGACCAGCGCCACCCACTCGCTACCGCGCACGACGCACCACCAGCAAGAGGCCACCAGGCGCGATCTCGAGCGCGAGAAGGAGAGGCGAGAGCGCCAGTTGACCTTCCGTACCTGCTACCTGCCCAACACCGCGTTCGTGTCACGTGCATTCGTGTTCGCTGACCTGCTGTGCGTGTGAGGGACGACAGATAAGGAGAAGGAAGCCGAGGAGGTTGCGTCGGTCGTGCGCGCGACGAACTGGCTCACGTGGCTCAAGCTAGTGGAGGAGTACATCTTCTACTCGCCCTCGCCTTCTGCCGTCCCCCTGCCTCAGCAGATGTACCCACAGCCCCCATACGTCACACGCACACATGATGCTCGACACACGGCACACGGCACACGGCACACGGCACTACTCACCAGGTGGTCTTCTTGTTGTCTGTTGCTAGTGACCCGTTCTTTCAGGCCTTGCACTACAACGAAGACGGCCAATGGGAAGACCTCCGGTTCGGCCAGGAGACGCTCAAGCTGATCGATTCATTTACCCAGAAAATCGACCAGTGGCGGGTACTCACCACCTATGAGCCCCTCTTGGTCAATTTCGACAGTCTCGACCGAAGCTACACTCATCACCATCCACTTTTGTGTTGCACAAAGAGCGGCTACGGAGCCACACCCAACCCGAGCGTGGAGAAGATATATAAGAAGCTCCAGGCCTTCAACGAGCGATTCGCCGTGCGCCTTTCGCTCACCACTCTGCACGAGGCCGACTGGTATGACACACCAACCACCGTTCTGCCATGCGATGGTCAATTGAATGACACGGATGGTGGGGGGGGGGCAGCTCGTTGATCAACGAGAAGGAGACGATCGGCGTTGGCTCGCTCGAGAGCCTGGAGTCGATCGTGCGAAACGAGGTGGCGTCCGGCCGTGGCCTGTCTCCCGACGCGCAGGATGCCATTCTCACCGCCACTGCAGACTACCTGGCCCTCAAGCGACACGACCTCTACACGGTATGGCCGCACACACACACTCACACACACAACGCTCGCGGTGCTTGTCTGGCCATTTGGTGGCTTACATGGTGTCATTCAGCGCACGCAAGAGACCGAGCAGATCTACCAGGGCTGCATCGAGCGACTGGGCTGGCGATTCGTGGGTGCGGAATCACAGTATGATCTCAATCCGCTGCAGGGCATTTTGGCCAGGTACGCCATGATGACACCACCCACCTCCGCTCTATTCTCTTCTCGCCAACACCACGACACGCAACACGCAACACGGCACGGCGCAGGTATTTCGTGATTGGGTTCCTCTTCCGGGCGATGAAGCACTCGCACGAGAACAGCGGAGGCCGCGGAGCCAAGATCATCCTCCCGCTGTTCAAGAGTCTGCTGATCGACCTCAAGCACCGGTGCCTCGGGTTCACATCGGCCGAACTCGACGAGCAGCAGCAGCAACAGCTGGACCCCGAGCAGGCCCGAGCGCAGCAGATGATCGAGCAGAGCAAGCAGGTGTTGGAGCAGCTGGACGACGAGAGCCTGCTGCCCTACTTCATGCAAGGCCTCGCATCTGGCTCCTCAGGCACTTGCCTGCCCTCTTGGCTCTGACTGCCCTTCGCCGTCTGCTGACCACACACACACACCACACACACACCACACAACACCACGCAGAGTTCTTGTTGATCGGTCCAATGGGCGCGGCCATCGCTCACGAGCACGCCGGCATCACCAAGCTCGCTGAAAACCTCCGCAAGATGCTTCAGTACGTCTCAGCGGCCCGCTGGTCGTGGTCGGTCGACCTCATCTCACACGACACACGACACACACGATACACCATCCATGGCGGCATCCAGGGACATCGAGGGCAAGGTGCTGGCGGAGATGCAGGCCAAGACGAGCCTCGAAGCGCAGCTCCGGCTCGAGTTCGGCCAGCTGCTGGACGAGAACATCGGCCGGTGGCGGGACGAGGAGCACAAGCACCGCGACGACTACGAGACCGAGCTGCGCCGCGCCTGGGAGGGCATGGAGGCCCGCTGGGCCGAGCTCACCTCGCTCTTCCAGGGCGAGCGCGCCCTCGAGACCTCCGACGAGTGGCGGCCCTACGTGCCCTACGAGATCCCCGTCCCGCCGGCCGTCAACCCGACCGCGGCCGGCACTACGCTCGACCTCCCGCCGGCCATCCTCCTCACCGCCCGCAACTCGGCCTATCTCCCGCGGCAGGAGGGGCAGTCTATCGTCGCTGCCCAGCCGTCGGCCAAGGCAGCCCAGCAGGGCGGCCTGCGCAAGCGCGGACCGGAGATCGCCCATATCTTCGTGTGGGAGCGGGCGGGCCACGTCAACCTGCTCTACGACGACTTCGCGGCGTCGCTCCACCCGATTCAGGAGGGCGACGGCCAAAGGCGCAAGCCCAACGCGCCCCAGCCGGCGGGCCGGACGGACTACACGCTGCTGCCGGACCGCAACGCGTCGCGGGGCCACCACTACTACTCGCACCTCATGATGATGCCTCAGCTCGGCGCGCCGGCGCTCTCCACCACCGCCTTCGCGACGCCGCCCATCGCCTTCCTCCCCATCGGCGAGCGCGGCTTGGCTATCATCCACGGTACGCTCTTGCACTCGCGCCTTTTGCTGTCAGTGTGTGAGAACAACGGAGGCGCTAACCGATAGCATCTGCCTCCAGGTGCCAACTGGGACAACAGCGTGGTGGTAGGCAACATGGAAGATGGCTCGGCCGCCCTTCGCTTCATCCGACACCGGTACTTCGCGCGTGCTGTGAGTGCGTGCGTGCGTGTGTGTGTGTGTGTGTGTTCGGGGCCTCACCTACTGGTCAAACAGAGATGTGGTGACCTGCCTGTCGCTCTCTGCGGACGGCCACACGCTGTTGACGGGCGCCAAGGACGCGACGCTCATCTTGTGGAACATACAGCCGCCCGAAACGAAGCAACAGGTTTTGAACACAACGCCATTTTGCCAAGAGTGGCTGAGAGGCTTCTTTTCTCGTTTTTGGTGCGTGGCCTGAACTGACGACCGTGCGGCCTCTCCGCGAGTACAGGGCCTCTTCTCGAGCATTTTTGCGGGCAAGGAACTGCCGCTGCCTCGCCTCGTCTACAAGTTCACGCTCGTGGGCCACGACGACGCCATCACCTGCTGCGACTTTTCCGCCGAGGTACGCACGCCAGCCTCACCCACTTTCCACATCAACTTGTTGCATCAAGTTTGTCTCACCGCACGACACGCACTACGCACAGCTCAACGTGTGCGCTTCGGGATCGAACGACGGCACGGCGCTGGTGTTTGACGTCGACACGGGTGTCATCATGGCGTCACTCTACTACGGCGATGCCACCGAGGCGGCGGCTAGCGGTTCGCAGGCGTCGTCGCGGCCGCTGCGCGCCATCACCCACATCAAGGTGATCGGCCACCGCACCGCCACGGGCGAGCGCGTGGGCAAGGTGGTCTCCTACTGCGGCGAACAGGGCATCTTCTATCTCCACGCCCTCGACGGCCGCCTGCTCGCCATGAAGCACGACCTGCCCTCGCCTTCATCATCTTCATCATCGTCGTCGTCGTCAAGCGATGGCGGCGACGCGTACGTCAAGTCGATGGTCTTCACGCGCAATGGACGATATGCGGTGAGCGGCCGGAGCGACGGGCTGGTGGTGTTGTGGAACCTCGATGACCTATCCGTGCGCGACTCGATGGACATGGGCGCGCAGCGCGGCGGCGCGGGCGAAGCGGGTGCCATCACGTCGGAGGAGGTCACCGCCCTGGGCCTGCACGACGACCGCCTCCTGCTCGTCGGGCTCAAGAGCGGACTCCTCCGCACATTCCCCCTCGCCCTCTGATTGATCAGGGTATCTACTCAATTCTTCTTCGTTCTTCGTTCCGCAAGCTCGATGAAGAAGAACTTCAGGATGGCACGTCAGGCGGGAAGGTGGCAAAAAGGCGAGGAAAAGCGAGGGGTTACGGGGATCCGTTCTATAGAACCAGGCCAGTCATGATTCGCCGGGCTTTAACCACCGGACCAATCAGGCGTTGACAAGAGTAGGCAAGGGGCCAGAAGTGGAAAACTTTGGGGAGGGTGTGTGGAGCAGAAGGAAAGAAAGGGGGAGGTGGTGTGCGCCCAGAGAACAGGTGGTTTGGCCATTCTTTCTTCCACGCTACGCCCTGATCAGGCCACACCATCGCCCATCGCCCATCGCCCATCGCCCATCAGTAGGGACTTGTTCGGACCTAAAAGAGCGAAAGCGAAGGACGAAGCACGTCGTGGAGTCGCACGTAGGAGCTAGGGAAAAGCATCGAGCCAGCCCCGAGCCGCAGGCTCAGACCGATCGGTCACACACCCAGAGAGAAGAGAATGGAGGAAATGATGGTCGCTATGGCGGCCACGGTCCTGCTCGCTCTCAACGTGGTGGGCTCTGGCCTCCTGGCTGGCCTCATCGCCATCGCCCTCACCAAGACCGTCGCCACATGGGTACATCTCCCCCTCCCCCCTCCGTTCTTTATGTCGCTTTCGTTCTTTATGTGGCGCTACATCGCACTTCATTTCCATTCTCGGGTTTCGTTCTCGACCCTCTCAGCGCGTTCTGAAGCCCGCACGTCCCTTTATCTTTTCATTTCTCTCTTTCTTTTCTACTGGTCGCAGGGTGGACTGGTTGGCGGCTTCATCAGTTCGACCCCCACCCTCGTCATTCCGCTCAGCCTCGGCATCGCCCTCGCCTCCACCGACTCTGCCGCCGCCCTCAACCAGGCCATGTGGATCTCCCCCGTCGGCATGTACGCTCCTCCCAACTTTCCATTCGTTGCCCACACTCTGTGGTGACAACACACGCCGCACGCCGCACGCCACGCCACACTCACGCGAGAATGTTGAGAGCTCAGATTCCTGGCGTCGACGTTCCTGGTGATGTGGCGCGTCCTGCCCCTGGCGCTGCCCAAGCCCTGGCCCCACCGCCTGCCCGTCACTGTACCCCATTTATCCCTTTTACCCTCACGATGCTCTGCCTCCAGAACTGCTTCATTGATCAAAATTCGCCGTGCAGTGATCGGGGTGTGCGTGTTGTGCGCGTGTCGTGTTGTGTGTCGTGCCGTGTGTCGTGTGTGGTTGTATCGAATGTGTGCCTGTGTGGTAAAGCTGTCCGTTTTAACGCGACAAGACTCCCATCCCGTACTCGGCGTGATGTTGCGCAGGTGGCCGTTTCCATGTTCTGTTGGCTGTCGGGGGCCGTCGTGTGCTACTTCGCCATCGGCGCCCTGCAGCGGGTGGCCCACCTACCGATCCAGGCCGTCGGCGGAGGCGCCCTCCTCTGCAACTTTGCCGTACGCCGCCGCACCGCACTCCCTACGGCTTAAGCATGCAGTCTGACGTCATCCATCTCGCCGTGTGCCACACACCACCAGCTGAGCGCGCCCATGGCGTGCATCAAGGCAGCGCCGGTGCCCAAGAGCGAGAAGGCGGTCCCGAGCGGGACCTACGCGCTGCGCGGGTCGCTCGCCGCCTCGGTCGTCGGCGCAGCGGTGCTGGTCTCCCGGTGGGACCCTGCCCTTGCCGGCATCGGCGCCGGCTTCCCCGCTATCGCCCTCGCCAGCCTCGTCAGCCTGTGGGTCAGCCGCGGCGAGAGGGTCATCGCAGGTCGGTACCCTGGGCACTGAGGCCGCAGCCACACCCGCTTAAGGTTGTTGCTGACGTCGTTTGATGCACGATTGGGTGGGACCGTTCAGGGGCGATCGGACCGGTCATGCTGGGCGGGCTGAGCGCCTCCACCTACTGCATCGCTTTCGGCACCCTCTACGCCATCCTCTTCGGCGCGGGGCTGGGGCAGCCGCTCTCCCTCCTCCTCGCCCTCTCCGCCAGCTACCTCTCCGCCGTGGTTTTGGTACCTCAACACGGCACACGACACACGACCAACGACACGACACGACCAACGACACGAACAACGACATGACTCAGAACACATGACACACGACACGCCACACGCATGTGTGTGTATGGGGCAGGTGTCGATGCCGGTATTCGTGTCGTTCAGCTGGGTGGCGGCAATCACGCGGAAGAGGCGATCGCGACAGCTGGAGACAGCCGAGGAGGAGGGCGTGATGGTTGAGGAGGAGGACGAGGAGAACGGCCAGCAGCAGCCCCACCTCAACAACCGAGGCGCCGTCATGACCGAGTGGACCAAGGGCGAGGCCACTCCGCTGCTGCTGGCGGCGACCACCAGCGGCCACCACCCGACCTACCACGCGTGCACCAGCGGCGAGAACGACTGGAAGGGCCGCGAGGACTGCGTGAGCCGGATGGCCGTCAGGCGCCACCTCTCCGAGGAGACCGAGCAGCGCATCAAGATGAAGGGGCATGACCGACCCTCGAGCCACGACCACCACCACGAGTTCGACGAGTCCGGCCAAGGCGACGAGACAGACAAGAAGAAGAAGAACGAAGAGACGAGACGATGGGTGGATGTGGTGGTGAATCCGGAGGCGAGCGCGACAACAACGGAGCCTGCGGCTCTGCAATTGCCGGCGATGACGGCCGGGAGCTGCGCTGTTGCGGCGGCGGTGGAGATGGGCGGGTCGGGCGAAGTCGAGGGCAAGCTGCAGCCCAACCTCAACCAGCGCACCCTCACACCCCTCCGCTGACCGACCCACAGCAACAGGCAGTGCGGCGTCTTGGCGCTTGTTGCACTGTAAATACAGACACGACATGACAGTGCCCTTTAATTGGGTGTCACGTGTCACACCCACACGTGCGTGGTAGCGTTTCCCTTTTTTTTTTTAAGGTCAATGCTGGCCTATTGGTGATATAAAATAAATACAGGTCTACATGTTCTCTCTGAGCATGCCACACCACGTCGTAGTCATCGTTACAAGTGGTCGCAAACCGCGTAGGACGTCTCGTCGCTGTAGTAGGACAGGTCGCCCAGGCCCCACGAGGGCATCCAGCTCTCGGTCATCATCGTGTCCACCCCATCATCGTGCTCCTCCTCCAGGCCGCCGCGGCTCCTGCTGGTCTGGCTGGGCGGGGCGAAGCCGTTGACGACGGCGTCGACGACGGCCAGGCAGCCCACGACGAGGACCGACAGGAGGCCCTCCTTGACGGCCTCCAGGCCGCCGTAGAGGTCCACCTCGTCGAGGCGCGTGGGGGCCAGCGCCAGGTCGGGCAGTGGGGGCTTCTTGTCTTCGGGGGGCAGCTTGAACACCTGCTGGTTGTTGACAAACACGGCCAACGCGTTGTAGGGCGCGCTGCTGCTCTCCATGGCTGCCTCTCCTTGAATGTGGGGTGCTGTGCGTTCTGCTGTTGTTGTGTTGTTGGGGCTGGTTGTGATAACGCTTTAGAGAGAGAGAGAGGAGGGAGAGATGACGCTGGCACCAGGTGTGGAGTGTGCAGAGGTGCTGCTAGGAGTGAGTGTGGAGTTGGGGTAGAGGGGTGGACAAGGCCAATGTGGTGGCAGAGATAGTGGCGGGCGACAATGGAGGGGGTTGAGGCTGGTTCGATGCAGGCGACTTGGCGGGACGAAGAAGGAATGAGGAATGACGCCTGCCAAAGTCTTTGGCTCCTGGCTTGGGGGGAGGGGGGAGGCACCATTGGCCGTGCCAAGAAAAAAGTCGATGGTGTCAGGATTTATCAGGCCACACGATGTCGTTTCCTGTTTTCTGGTTTGTGTCTCTTGCTTTGCCAAGGTCTGTACCGCTGTTGTTGGATGCAGCCAACTTTTGGTTGATGACGCACCAACTTTGGTGACCCTGCGGCACCTTCCACGCCTGGTTCGGAGTTCGCCGTGTAATTGTCGACATAGTTAATAAGTAGTTAATTCGCTCCTCATTATTAATAACCAATTTTATTTTTCGTGTCACTGACCACCAGCTTTCGTTCTTGCTTGGTCAGTGCCATAGAAGCAAAAGAAGAAGATGGAGATCCAGTTCAGTAGTTTGTCGGTGGGGGAGGGTATCAAGGAGGGCACCAGCTGGTTTGGCGGCCAACTCGCCGTGGCCATCAAGAAGCTCGACTCCACACTCGTCGCCGCCGACACCCCCATCGTCCAACGATTCCTCCAGAAGAAGCTCTACGAAGTCAAGTACTACTCGCCCCCCCCCCAACCATTTCATTTCTATTTTATTACTATGTTTGTATTATCATTCGTTTTATGTTTTACCTCAATTTTATTTTCATGCTTACGCCGTTGGTTGGCAACAAAAACAAAAACAAAAACAAAAAAGGTCGCTGTCGCACCCGAACCTGGTGCACGTGCTGGACATGGTGCGGAACGGCGACGAGGCCTTCCTCATCTGCGAGTACGTCAAGGACGCCACCCCGCTCCACGCCCTCCTTCGCGACGAAGAGGCCGCCTTCCCCTGGCCCCTCCGGTTCGTTTCTTCTCTCCCTCGCCGCAAGCCGCGGTGCACGAGAGAGGCTGGGCTCACACACAAGAGCCTCGCTCGTCACACCCGTGGTGGGCTGCAGGGTGAAGATCGCGCAGCAGGTGAGCGAGGCCGTGGCCTACCTCCACAAGCGGGGCGTCCACCACCAGAACCTCAAGCCCTCCAACATTCTCCTGGTAAAAAAAGCACACTGACACACACTGACGCACACGCACCATCGCACGCACACCACCGCACGCACACGCACACAAACTCGTTGCGCTGTCGTGCACCAGGCGTGGATGAATGCTGCAGCTCACGCAGAAATGATGGTGGTGGTGATGGTGTGCGCGATGGTGATGGTGGGCGGCGCGGAGGACAGGTGGGCAAGGACTATGCGAGCGTCAAGGTGGGTGATCTGGTGTTCTGGGGCTCCGTGGCGGCGCAGGCCTTCTCGTCGGCCACCTTCGGTAAGGGACCCCTCACCAGGACCCTCTCCACTGCCAACCTCAAGGTCGGCACCACCTACACCACCTGGTGCGTTCCCTTCCCCCCCCCCAACGACCACGCATGCCCTGACCGTCTTCGCTCTTGACTCTTTATTTTTTTTTTTGTCGCTTTCGTTCTTTTATTAATTTCTGTATTTGTTTGTTGTTTATAGGGTCGCACCGGAGCCGCTGAATAGGAAGAGCTACACGGACGACGCGGACGTCTACTCGTTCGGCCTCGTGCTCTACTCGCTGCTCACGCGCGGCAGCCCGCCCGCGCGTACGGAGAAGGAGGAGTTCCAGTTCAGGGACCACGAGGAGCTCAAGAAGAAGCTGCCCGCCGACGCTCCCGCCGAGCTGTGGGAACTGGTACCCTTCCCCTCCATCACGGCCAGCCAAACTCTATCGCACGCACGCACACACACACACACACACGCATACACACGCACGCACACGCACACACGCACACCACCGCACACGCACACACTACAGGCCCTCTAATGGCGATGTTGTGGTGCGCAGGCGGCCAAGTGCATTGACGCCAATCCGAAGGTGCGTCCTCCGTTCGAGAGGATCAACGACGCGCTGAAGGCCATCTACGCCGACCTCACCGCTCCCGCCGCCGAGAAGAAGGAGGCGGAGGGCAAGGGCAAGGAGAAGGAGAAGGAGAAGAAGGACGAAGCTGCGCCCGAGGAGAAGCCGAAGAAGGAGGAGAAGAAGGCTGTCGCCGAGGAACCCAAGCAGGAGAGCAAGAAGGCGAAGAAGGCGACCGAGGAGGCCAAGCCCGAGGAGGCCAAGAAGACGGAGGAGAAGGCCAAGGGAAAGAAGGAGGCCAAGCCCGAGGAGGAAAAGAAGAAGGCGGAGGAGAAGCCCAACGGCAAGGAGCAGAAGAAGGCGAAGAAGGCGACTGAGGAGGCCAAGCCCGAGGAGAAGAAGAAGACGGAGGAGAAGGCCAAGGGAAAGAAGGAGGCCAAGCCCGAGGAGAAAAGAAGAAGCCCAACGGCAAGGAGCAGAAGCCGGTCGCCGCGGCCGAGAGCAAGCCCGAGAAGGAGAAGGCCAAGGCCAACAAGGCCGAGGAGAAGACCAAGAAGGGCAAGGCCGACGACGAGAAGAAGCCCGGCAAGGAGGAGACCAAGAAGGGCAAGAAGGCCAAGGCCTGATGACTCACTGACTTTTTAGCAGTCGCACAACAAATTTGACAGTATTAAAATAGGAATATATTTTGTAGAACAGCATTTTAAAATATTCCCGACGGAGTCTATGAAAATTCGATTATTGTGACTGTGCTACCGGGTGGGACGTTGGGCTCTCGCTTTGTCTTCGTTTTCCTTCCTCATCGACCAAATTCGTGGTAGAGACTTGAGTCCGACCTCAATCAACCCAGCCGGGAACGTCTGAGAGCTGGTGCTCGGCATAAAAGAGAAGGAAGAGGGCCGGTGAACAGAGAGCAGCAGCGATCGCATTGCCGGAAGATTAGATTTGTTCTGAATCTGAGTAGAGAGATGAGGAAGATGGCGTCACGATCAACGATGCGACGGCTGGGCGGCCGGGCCACGGCCACCTGCGCCACACAGTGTACCGTCTCCGGTGCAGCCCGACCCAGCAGCCTCCTCTACGCCTCCCCCCTTCCGGTGCCCGCCCTCCCAACTTGTCATTTCCCCCCCCCCCAAATCTGCCTGAATCTCTCTCCATCTCATCCATGGATGGATTATGTGGTGATGGCGACTGCAGTCGATGGCAAGGCGGGACCTGGCGACCGCGACACCGGCACAGACCCCGGTCGAGGGCCTCGAGAAGTTCGTGTCCAAGTACCAACGGCAGACGTTCGATCTCGACGCGCCCCACCACGACGGAAGCGCTTCATCGGTGGTCGAGGGCCTCCTGCGTCGCGCGCTGCCCACCGCCCTCGCCGGCGGCGCCGAGGCCCGGGAGGACCCGATGAAGGTCGCGCTGCGGCTGGTGGAGAAGGAGGTCAAGAGCCTCAACGGCAGCATCCAGCAGCAGATCGAGGCCGTCACGGAGCGGCCGCTGCTGGCCAAGGTGGCCAGCTACTTCTTCAAGCTGCAGGGCAAGCGCATCCGACCCGTGCTCGTGCTCCTCACCGCCAAGGCCATCGCCGTCCACCTCAACCCGGCCCTCGGCGCGGGCCTCACCCCCGAGAACGCCGACGTGCCCGGTACCTTCTTCTCTTTTTCTACACACGAGCCGCGGCTCGGCTGTGTGCGCTGACTCGTGTGCGGTGTGTGTTGTGTTGTGTGCTGTGTTGTGTTGTGTGTGTTGTGTTGTATGTGTTGTGTGTGGTGTCGTGGGCGGTGTGTGCAGTGTCTGACCGGCAGTTCAGCTTGGCGGAGATCATGGAGATGATTCACACGGCGTCGCTGATGCACGACGACATCATCGACCAGGCAGAGACGCGCAGGGGCATGCCGGCGGCGCACAAGGTGTGGGACAGCAAAAAGGCCGTACTCGCCGGTGATTTCCTCCTCGCCCGAGCCTCCGTCAAGATCGCACGCCTCAGGTCTGTCTCGCACCACCGCCCACAGCGCACCACACACACACCGCCCACACCGCACACGTCTGTGTTCTTTGTTGCCGTGGTGGGCTCACGTTCTATCACTCGACGCTCGCACAGGGAACATGAGGTGACAGAGCTTTTGTCAACCATGATCGCTGATCTGGTGGAGGGCGAGTTCTTCCAGATGCGCAGTACGTGGCTTCCTCCTTTGCTCAATTGACTACGCGCGATGGAGAGCGGAGCGAATGACGGACTGACTGACGAGGGTCCATATGTGGTCGCGGGTGTGGACCGTAACGCGTGGCGTGTGTGTTTGTGTGTGTGCGCGCGCGCGCGTGTGTTGTGTGTGTGTGTGTGTGCAGCCAATGTGGAAAAGGAGGGCAAGGAGATGACACAGTTCGACTACTACATGCGGAAAACGTACCTCAAGACCGCCTCGCTGCTCGAAAAGTGCTGCAGCTGCGCCGCCATATTGGGCGAGGCCGACAGGGCCACTATCAACATCGCCAAGGCCTACGGCGCCCACCTCGGCTACGCCTTCCAGGTAATTATCCTTTTTCTCTCTTCTTCCCCCGCGGGTTCACGTGTGCGGTGATGTGTGCGTGTGCGGTGAGGCGAGGCGTGTTCGTGTTCGTACGACTTTGCGACGCCGATTTTCATATGGTGGCTGCGTATTGTAGCTGGTGGACGACATGCTGGACTTCACCGGAACGTCTTCGGATCTGGGCAAGCCCGCAGCAGTCGATCTCTCGCTCGGCCTGGCCACCGCTCCTGGTACCCCCTGCCTCGTGGTCTCTCTCTCTCTCTCTCTTGCACCTCCCGCTCACGCGTGGCCGTGCGTGTGTAGTGCTGTTCGCCATGGAGGAGTTCGGCGAGCTGCGCGCGCTGGTGGAGCGTGGGTTCAAGGAGGAGGGCGACGTGGAGAAGGCCTTCTCTCTCGTCCAGCGCTCGCAGGGCATCGCCCGCACACACGCTCTCGCCCAGTACGCGCCCCGGCCTCCCTCTTGTCCGCGCAATGTTGTTGTTTGGTCTGACGTAGCGCGGGCGTCGACACACAACAACCACAACACAGGGAGCACTGTGCCAAGGCGGTGGAGACGATCGGCCAGTTGGCGCCCTCGCCATACCGGGACGCCTTGGCCAGGCTCACGGAAAAGGTCCTGTCTCGCTCCAGCTAACCGTGAGTGGCCAAAAAGAGCGAAAACGAAAAACGAAAACGAAAAGAACGAAGAGGAGAGGTCTTGTTGTTGTTATCTCGATTCACAAGAATCATTTTTGTCACACACACAACGCCACCTGCCCTCGTCTGCACCTCGCACATAATGAAATGAAAGAGGAGAAGAGCACGCGAAAGTGCCCTCTTCCTTGGCACGCGAGGCGCCAGTGGCGGGATTCAGGCAATGGTCGTCGAGGCGCCCTCCGCTAAATTTCGCTCCAATTCGCCAGCTGGCGTCTTCGTTCTTTGCTGGCGTCCCGGTGCACGCCGCTTGGTGCTTCAAACACAAAACGCAGAAACGCCGGTTCCCGTCTTCTTTAGCACTTCAACCTTCTCCCTGTACGACACGACGCGTCGTACAGCACACCACACACCACATCCCCTCCGTCTTTGCTCTTGTCAAGCTTTCAACTTCGTCTTCTTCTACGTCAACTTCCTCCCTATCTCTCTCTCCTGCACAACCCGCCTCGAGGCCCAACACACCACAACACATAAAAAGATGAAGATCCCAGGATTGAAGCTGTCGAAGGGCGAAAGCTACACGGACTCGTGGGGAAGCGAGGATGAGATCGAGCAGCCTCACCACCACCAGCACCCGAGCCTGGAGGGCAACGGCCAGCACCACCTGAGCCCGAGGAGCAGCAACAACGACCACCTCCCGCCGCAGTCGACGGTCCAGAGCTATGGCAACATCAAGATGAAATCGAAGAATCTGATGTGCCATCTCATCTCGCCTCGCTCCTACTCCAAGTTCCAGAAGGAGGAAGAGGAGCGAGAACGGCGCCAGAGGGTCGCCGCCTCGGGCACGCGATGGGACCAAGATGACGAGGATTTCCACAGCCGGGCTCGCGTAGCGCCGGTTCATCCCAACGACGCGACAACGCTCGACCAGGTCTGGCTTGGATTCGAAGAGCAGACCGCCCCCTCGGAGGCCTACGTCGAACGGCGCAAGTACCAGCAGGCCGCCGCCATCGACTACTACATGAAGAACGGCCAGCAGATCGGAGGCGAGGTCGAGACCCCCGAGGAGCTGGCCCGCATGGCGGGACCCAAGGTCATCCGAACGGCGGCCAACGGAGATGCCGAGGCCATCGGCGACGAGAACGAGCAGTGCCTCGAGTGGGTGCGATACGAGCAGCGCCGGGGCGAGACGCGCTCGCGGTCCCTCAGCACGGGCAACAAGTACGACACCAACAGCAAGTACATCGCCAAGCCCATCAAGCACAAGAGCAGCAACAAGCACCACAAGAAGGGCGACGAGAGGCCGATGCTCAGGTACTACTGAGCAGTTCTCGGCCACCAACGGCACGAGCATTCTTTTCGACGAAAACGAAGACGCAAGGAAGAGCCACAGTGGCTCCCGACTTCGCCTTTTGTAAATCTATTTATTGTTTCCCTCCTCTCTACTGTACATCTTTCAATACAACGAGCACCGGCTCACATCATCTTCAACTTGGCTTTCTTCTTTTGGCTCTTCCCCGCCCGCCCCCCCAAATCGCCACCAAGTTGGGGTGCACGGAACGAAGAGGTCGAGAAGAAGAGACCGTTGTTGTTGTTGTTGTGTATGGTACAGGCTAAGCACGATGGTGCACAAAAATAAATACATGCCTTGGGAGAAGAGAGAAAGAGAGCGAGGGAGGGCGGTGACCGCGAGAAGGCTGGCGGGAAGGAGCTCCTGGAGTCGGACCGGGGATCGATGAGATGATGAAGATGGAAGAGAGGAGACAGCGCGCGATCCACCATGTGTGTCGGTACGTTCGTCAGAAGTGTGGCCTTGGCACGCTCTCGAGATGGTGTAGAGTGTGAGAGAATGAAGTAGGGAGAGAGAGAAGGTGTGCGCGGTTAGACGTTGTGGACGTCCCGCTTGGCCGTGATTCGGTCCTTTCGTCCGCGCACGGTGGCGTAGACGAGGAACACGACCACGCCCACCACCAGGAAGTAGGGCACGATGTAGCCATCGATATTATCTAAGGGCGTAGGGGAGTTAGGGTAAGACCCAGGCTGTGTGTGTCGTGTGTGTGTGCGTGTGCTGTGGTGTGCGTGTGCTGTGGTGTGTGCGTGTGTGTGACGTACCCCGGATGAGGGCGGCGTCGGGACCGATAGTTTCGCTCAAGCTGAAGCCATCGTCGTCCAGGTCCGTGCTCGACGTGTTGGGCTCGTCCCAGACGATCGTGACCGCGTTCTCCTCGCGCTTGAACTTGGTGTAGTCGCGCGCCTCGCACTGGGGCAGCCGGTAGACGGCCTTCGTATCGAGCACGCGCGAGAACTTCTTGAGGTCGTTCTCGGCGTAGGGCAGCCGGTTGGGCGGCGACAGCTGCGGCGACACGTAGTCGGCCTGGTCGAGGTGCACGGCCGACTCACCGCCAAAGGCGTTCTCGTCGATGAGGCCCCGGTTGGTGTACTGGAGCACCTTGCCCAGGAGCCAGAAGCAGGGCGTCTGCTGGTGCGCCGTGTCGAGGCACGACGAGTCACCGAACACCGCGATCCGCCCGCCGTGCGTGTTGGTCGCATTGAATCGACGGATCGACAGTCTGCAGGCCCGCACACATGTAAGAAGAATGAAGAATGAAGAAAGAAGAAAGAAGAAGAAAGACGGGGAGCGTACAGGCCGAGGATGTGGACTTTCTCTTTGACGTTGCGGGAGCGGATGATCTCCTCGGTTTGGTCGTCGAGAGTGGTGCTCACGATCGTGCCTCCGCGCGGGAAAGACGCGATCGCAGTACCCGATGCAAACTGTGTGTGTGCGGTGCCGTGCCATGTGGTTAGCCGCGCCAGCGGAGAGGCGAGGATTATAGGCACGAACCGTGGCTCGGTCTTCGGATTGGCCGAGGCTGAACTCGCCGTCGAAGATGCGGTCACCAAACTGGATGCGCCACGATGCCAGCAGATCGTTCAGCGCCGGCACATTCGCGCCCCTGGTGGAGGTTTTTCGCAAAACCCAAGCCACAACACACACACACACACACACACGCACGCACACCAAAGGTAAGCCCGTCTGTCGCTCGCGTGGCCATGCGGTGTGGTGGGGGTGTGGCGGCAAGCAGGGAGGACGCGGTACCCGGTGGCGGGTGTCCACCACTGCTTGGTGTTCTCGTCGAAGAACTTGATCTTTCGCATCACGTCCACGTTATACCAGTCGGCGAACAGCGCTATCGAGAGTCCCTTCTCCTCCACGTCCTGCGCGTGTCGTGTGGACGGACGAGGCACACACGAAGGTGAGACCACCATGCGACGTCATGCTCGCGCGCCGTGTGCCGTGTGCCGTGTGCCGTGTGCCGTGTGCCGTGTGCCGTGTGCCGTGTGCCGTGTGCCGTGTGCGTTACCTGGCGCAGCTTTTGCACCTCCTCGGGGAAGTACTCCTCTTCGAGGTCCACCATGAGGAGGGTGCCGTAGTTCGATGCATTGAAGCACGTGTACGGCACGCCCAACACCTCCACGAAGTATCCTGCGAGCCCCACCCCCCACCTCATAAATCAGCCAACGCACTGCGTGTCGTGTGTCGTATCGTGTGGTGTGTGTGTGTGTGTGCTGAAACTGGACAAGCATCAGCATCACCTCGTGTGTGCGTGTGTGTGTGCGTCTTTACCTTGTGATCGGAGGTAGGTATACATGTCCCGCAGGTTGGTGTGAATATGGTCTCCATTCCAATCGAACGGCTCGTTCTGTGTGTGTGGTGTGTGGTGTGTGGTGTGTGTCGTGTGTGTTATTGGCGTGAGCCCACCGACCGTACGAGTGAAACGAGGAGAAGGTATCGCACCTTCACCCAGAGGGCGTCGCGGGGGAAATAGCCCGCGGGGTAGCGCAGGTTGTGGAACTGGTCGAAGAGGATGCGCTTCTCCCTGGGCGGTGTGGGAATGATGCGCACCCGCAGGGGAACGTCGATCACGCTCACCCGCTCCTTGCTCTCCCCTGCAGCTTTCTACATTAGGCGACCAGGGCCGAGACAACGAAAAGAAAAAGAAAAGGCGGGGGGGTAGTACCAGGGCCGGCGGGCGAGGAGACGGTGACGGAGATGACGCCCTCGGCCTCGCCGTCAAAGTCCTTGGCCTCCTCGCTGGCCTTGACGTAGATCCCCAACCAGCCGGTCCAGGGCCAAATTCGGTCCGGGTACGAGAACGACAACTGCAGTTGCGTGGTTATGGCAAAAGAAGGGCTGCGATGAGCGAATGCCGTGCACGTGTTCGTGTCGTGTCGTGTCGTGTCGTGTCGTGTCGGAGTGACTACGCACCTCGAGAAGGTGTCCATTTTTGCCCTGCTTCCACTGGGGCGTGCCGACGACCTTGCCCACGACGCCCATGCCGTTGAGGATGGTGGCGTTGACCATGACCGGCATGGCGGTGTAGTAGAGAGGCTGGGTGCAGTAGGGCCACATGTACGGGCAGTTGGTCAGATCCAACATCTTTGGGATGATCGACGCGCGGGGCTTGTATTCCTGCAGTATCCGATAGGCGCCCATGATGTTGAGTTTGCCAAAGCCCTGTAGTGTGTGTGTGTGTGTTGTGTGTTAGCACAACCACAATATTAAGAGTGCGCACGTCTGATTGGGCAAGAAGAAGTAGGCAATGGCACCTGCTCAAATATGTTGGCCTCATCGAGGCGCTCGGCCGATTCGACGAGGGCCTGCTTCATGGACGCCGGATTGATGACGTCCCACCGGACGTTCTCGGCCACCGTCGAGGCCAACAGCGCCACCGCTCCAGCCACCTTAAGGTGATACGACTGAGGTGAGCCGGCGGTTGTCTCCGCAGGGGGGGGGTTGCAGAAAGGTGTTAAGAGTAGCGTACCACGGGCGAAGCGACGCTGGTACCGGAGAGTGAGCGACAGCCGCCATAGACACGCGAGCCTGACACCCCCTTGCCTGCGAAGCAAATCCGGGTTGGGGTGTGTGAGTAATCTGAAGCACGCGGGCCAACGACGGTGTTGCCCAGGGAACGAGATGATAAGTGAAGACGCACCGTAAGCGACGATGTCGGGTTTGACCCGCCCGTAGCCGTTGGGGAGTTCCCAGGTGGTCATGCCGCGGGAGGAGAACGATGCGATCTTATCTCGGTAGGTGATGCCGCCGACGCCGATCACGTCGTTTTGGTCGGCCGGGTTGTTGAGCGTACTGCACACCATAAACAAGGCGCGGTGCGTGAATGAATGAATGAGAACGCGGTTTATACGGGAGACTTGAGCTGAATTGATAAGAAGAGAAGAGGTTGGGTCGTACCCGTAGAGTGGACCGTCGTTGCCGATGGCCGACACGATGATGACGTTGTTGGCGCTCATTTCCCAAACCTTCTCAATGAAGGGCAGGTCCATGAAATCCGGACCGCCGATGCTGAGGTTGAGAATGTTCATCTTGGTGTGGATGGCGTAGTTGAACGCGTCCAGGAACCACGACGTGTACGATACTGCAAGCACAGACATAGATGAACGGGGACGAGAGGGTCAGTCACCTGCGTGTGTCACAACCGGTTCATGGAGGATGGGGCAATGAGGTGACGTCACGTACCGCGGTCGTTGGTAAAGACACGGAACACGTGGATGTCGACGTCCGGCGCGAAACCGAGGCACTCGCTCTGGCTGGCGATGACGCCAGCGACAAAGGTGCCATGGCCGAGCCCGTCGTCGAGCGTGTTCTCGTCCGTCCAGTTCGTACGCTCCCGGATGTGGCGGAAATGGGGATGGTCCTTGCGCAGGCCCGTGTCAAAAATGGCGATCTTGACTCCTCGCCCTGTGCACGCAACACGCAACACGCAACACGCAACAAGCGCGTAAGCAACAGGGCTCGCAGTTGACGTCGGCGATGTCTGGCGTACCGGTGTAGCCTCGATCCCAAAGGTAGTCGGCCTTGAACAGGTGAGGCACCTGGATGAGCGAGGAATGGAGCCGTCGCATGGTCGACGTGGAGTGACCCTCCTCCTCCGAGAACGACGAGTGCTTTCGGCCCTTGAACTCGATGGAGAAAGGGTCGAAGGAGAAGGCATCTGCGATGTCCACGTGGGCATCGTCCCCGGCCTCTTCGGCGCTGAGTATGTTGACAAACCGCCTCTGGGGGATGACGTGCTTCACAGCCGCATCGCGCGATAGCGGCACGATGAAGGCGTCCGTCACGCTCTGCCCGGAGAGCGGCTTGACCTGAACAGGGAATGGTGAGATTTGAACAGGTGGGATGGGCGAAGAGGAAGACGGACAAGAGCGAACCTTGATCACGGCGAAGTCGCTTGGCAGGGATTGACTGGGATTGGCGCGCTCGATGTACTCCCAATTGACGAGTCGCCCCAAGATCCTGGCGATCAGGCTTTTGTGCTGGTTGTGTGGCATGTACTTCTTGAAAATCACCAAAAATTCTGTGCCATAATTGAAGAATGGGTGAATGCAGATTCCTGTAGCATTGAGTTGTGGTGTGCACGTACCGTTGTCAACGATGGAGGATTTGACCGTGGCGCCCTTGGCTAAATTGGCTTCACCAGTGGAGGAAACGTTTCGTGCCAGAAGAGGGATGGCAGCGCCATTCGCTGGAGATGAAGACAGGAGGCAGAAGAGGAACAATGTGGCCGCGACCAGAGTCAGCACATGCGCGGTGTTGTGCATGGTCCTCCTCTAATTAATGGCACCCTCTGGCCAATGCAATACTGCAATTCGAATCGGCGGCCGCGCGCTACCACAACACCATCAGATCGATTTCAATGCGACCCCAACACATTTCGGGCCACAATTTTCCCTGCTGGATTGCCGAGCGAAATTTCGAATTCTTTCTTTTTCTTATTTTGTGTTGCATTTTCGGTCTTGTGTCGGTTGGGCAAGGAGTGGGTTAGGCCCAGGTCCCACCAAACTGTTGTGGAAACCGTGGACCTTTTTTCGAAGAGTGTCCAATGAGGGCCAACCCGTGGGGGTGAGCTTGGGCTGTGTCAGTTGGCGCTCTTCTTTCTCTGTCGCTCCCAACAAGTTGCAACAATCCCCTCAACGAAGATGAAGTTCGCTGGTATCATCGCTCTGTTCGCTCTCCTCCTCATCGCTCAGGTCTCGAGCTTCCAGTTCGCCCTCCAGATGAAGGGCTACTGCACTCAGGGATGCCAGCTGAAGGGCGGCTCGCAGACTGTGACCACCACGATCTCCTCCTCGGACGATGCCGTGAAGTTCTCCGTCGCCTCTGTGATCGGTACCTACGCCACCTTCAACATCAGCGACCCCAGCACTGGTTTCAGCAAGGGCGACATGTCATTCGGTACCCACCTCGCCCGCACCCACACCGTCGAGTTCGAGGCCTTCAACCCGGCTACCCAAATCCCCGGCGCTGAGGGCATGGTCGTGGTCAACGATGTCTACAACGTCAAGGGCGGCTCGGGTGCCTTCGACGGCGCCACCGGCATGATCTCGGCCACCGCCAGCGTCAACACCACCTCGGGCTACTCCGAGACCTTCGTGTACGGCGTCATCTTCCCCAAGGCCCACTAGATCTCCTCCACTTTGGCCTTGTGCGGTGGTGAGCGTTCGGTCAGCCACAATAAACAAGTTACATTGAGAGAAGAAGGCAGCAGTGATTACACACTCTCTCTTAGGCGGCTCAAAGAGGAAGCGTTGGTAGCGCCAGAGATCGACAGCCGCTGGCTCGCTTCCGTGAGACATACCAAAGCGCATTTCGAAAGATGAGGGGTATGTCGGTCGAGGCCTCGTACCAGCCCGACTCCTTCTTGCTCTTGGCCACTGGGAAGAGGTTGACATACACTGTCGAGCCCCACCGTACACTCTCGTCGTTGTCGCTTTCGTCATGCGCGGCGGCTGCGGCGGCGTTCTTCCTGTTCGCCTCTGAGTCCAAAAGCACGACAAAGGGAACGCCGTCTCCTGCGAGATGTGCCCCAAGTCGCTCAAGAGTGTCAGCCAGGAACGCTTGGAGCAATGCAACTTCTCAGGCACATACCGTAGTGCGCGACCGCAACGGCACCATTCGACAACGGCGACTCGCAGCGATTATCTCGAGCGATGGCCACGTTCTTGACCCCGATCATGATCGGGTGATCAGCAATGTGGGTGCCCAAGAACTTGCCCTCCTCCCACTGGTGGTGTGATGATGGTGGGTGGTGAGCAACAAGCTCGCCCACACTATGAATGGAGCTGAAGCTTGATTAAAGAGGCGCAGCAACGTACGTTCTTTGATCCGGACCCGTAGTCGGAACTGGCCATGGGGTAGAGCACCTGCGACCACTTTCCGTGCAGCTCGTTGCAGTCCAGGTAGGAATAGCAGCCCATCACCAGGCCGCCTCCGTCTCGCAGAAAATCGTACAGCATATTGCCCATTTTTATCTGACGCACGACCACCACGCGCCCGCGGAGTGAGTAGTTGAGGCGGCGGCACCGAGCAAGGAGTGAGGGAGACGCATCGCTGTACCGCGTTCTCGGCGCTGGGGGCCGTGGCAAAGAAGAGGAAGATGACACTGTACTGCCGAATCTTCTCCCATTCAAACGGAACATACCGATCCGTTGGATCCAGCTCGGCGTCCTCACACTTACGCTCCTCTGCAGTTGTGGTCGCCATTGTTAGAAGAGACGAGCAACCTGCAGAGGAGACCCAGGGCAACAAAACGGGCGAAAGGCGACCGCGTACGCGTGACCAGTGTCTCAATTTCGGTGCAATCCGGGTGGCAAACGTCCACGATGGGTATGCCCACCTTCTTCAGCTGTCGATAGAGGTTGAGGTCATACCGGGACCCGTAGGCCTGATGCGCAGAGTGGTGCGCCATGATTAGCACCGAGAAGGACTGCACGCACGCACGCACGCCACACACCACACACACACAACACACAAGCACACAAGCACCACCACGGCATCAGTCGAGGGACAGAATTGGTTGAGCAGAGGGAGTACGAACCGCTCGCTGGAGAAACTCCTGCTTCCAATCGATCGCAAGGCCTTCCCTGAGCGCCTGGTTGACGATGCAGCGCGCGCGGAGCAGCCACGCGTCACCGAACTCAGGCTGCCTCTTCGTGGCCGTCCCTTCATCGTCGGCGATGTCGGCGATGCTCAATTGTGGCAAGGGGCTTGACGAGGGCGGTGCCATAGAGGCGAGTAGCCCCCGGGCATGACCTTCATCTTCTTCGTCACGCGCAAGCGCCATTTCTTCTTCATCATCATCGCCAAAGGCTGCATCGCCGTCAGGTGGTCGCGTTACGGCGAGACGTGGAGAGGCCAGCAGCTGCTTGAATAATCGGAGCCATAGATGAGGGTTGGCGTGGAGGGCGTTTAGTTCCTTGCACACAGGAGCCAACGAACGGCACAGATCCTGTGGCGACAGGTGCTCGATAATCATGAGCTGCAGCTCGAACGGCAAATCGAGAAACGATAGAGTAACCGTTGCCGAGTCGTCGTCCATTGCACCTACTCTGCCTGGGAGGCTGCTATGAGCCCGAGCTCTTTTGATCGATCTTCGCAATCGAACCCACCTGTTCGAAAGAAAATGAAGGGAAAATATTTCACCTTGATTTCTTTTCGAAACAGAAGAGGCCGTTGGTTTTTTCTGGCTTTGATTTCATGGCCAGAAAAGGGCCAGATCGGCTCTCTACAAATTAAATAAAACACCAGGCGCTGAGTGGTCGATGCTCGACATTGGCTGACCTGATCGACTGTGATCGCCTGCATTGGCGACCACTCAGCGGGCCGCAGGGCGAATTCTCGCGGGGTTGCGTTGGAAAGCACTCTCCTGAGGCTGTAGCTCCGAGTTCCAGGCGAGGTGCAGCCGGACACTTTATCGAAAAGCCGTGGGAAACGCCGTTTTGACGGTGACGGATTGGCACCTCGTGTGATGGATGGGCTTTGGCGAGCAACAAGAAAGCAACAAGAGCGAAACGAGGTGGCCAACAGTCAGCCGCAGACCCTGCACCGTCGCTGCTAAAGCTCTCCTTCTCTTTCGTCGACTTCAAACCCAACACACACACACACACAAGCAGCATGCACACCCTCCCTGCGGACGCCATGGACGTGGAGCAGACTCAGTCTGTTCGCTTCGCTGACGATGTTGAAGTCGCCGGCCAGCATCATCGCGAGTCGCTAGCTGTCGCTGATGCATCTTCATCTTCTACTTCCTCGAGGATTATGGCACGACGATTCAGCAGCCCCGCTACTTCGACCCCGGTTTCGTCGGCTCCAGCGGCCTTCCCTTCCTCGCCCTCGCGCGGGGAGGAGAGGGATTACATCCTCAACGCCGTGGCCGAGCGCCTGCGCCCCAACCAGACCTGCTTCATCATTTCGATGGGCTGGTGGAACGCCTGGAAGGCCTACGCGGGCCTCGACGCCGTGGCGTCCTACACGTCATCTTCGGATCTTCCCTCTTCGCCTCGGCCCGGCCCGATCAACAACCTCGTCCTCTGCCACGACAAGGACTGCCCGAGCCTCATGGAGCTGTGCGCCCTGCGCGTCCTCGAGATGCAGAAGAGGGGCCAGGTGTCCGTCATCGATGAAAACAGCACCGAAGAAGCCTCGGCCGTGCCTCCCCCGCAGCTCAACGTGGACGTTCTCGAGTTCCTCGCCAACTTCGACAAGACCCTCATGCGTCGTGCCCTCTGCCGAGCTCGCGAGATGAAGGCCGGGCTGATCGAAGGCAAGGATTGCGTAGCGGTGCCCGCCCCCGCGTGGAAGGCCCTACACGCCTGGTACGGCGGCGGACCCATCATCCCCCGCCCCGTCATCGGCGTGGGCGTGCGCCAGCGCCTGCAAGTAGAGCTCTACCCGGTGACCCTCCTCGTGCTGCCTCTCAACAGCGGCCGCTCATCGGACAGGGAGACCTACCGCTTCACCTTCTCGCCTCTCGATCATATCAAGACCGTGCGCCGCGCCATCTGCGGCCGCTTCCTCCACCCGCCTCACAAGGTCGAGCTCTTCTGGCATCTCTCGTCAGTTGATGCCGAGCACCTCTCCGATCTCGAGCTCACCCTGGGCCAGATGGGCTTGCAGGACGGCAGCCTCGTCTCCCTCCAGCGCGCAATGCACGCCGACCCGCTTGGCCTCGCCGCCCCCACCGCTGCCGCCCCTCAGGCCCTCCCCCCTCAGCAACCCCAGCAGCTTCCGCAGAACGACGGTCGCCCGCTCGCCTCTCTCGCGCAGCCCTTGTAAAGAGTTTACTCGGGCGCCCTTCTCCTTCTGTCCTGTATGAGCACCACCTTGCGTGGAAGCGTTTATGATATAAACGGCTTCCCCCCTTTACGACTTGTGTTGCTTCTTCTTGTCTGGCGAAGATTGTCTTTTTTTCTTTTCTTTTCCTGCTCCACTCAACACTGCGCACGGTGCAAGATGGAGGGGTCGGCAGCACTAGCGGCGATGAAGGCTCATGTGGACCGTATTAGGCAGGTTATGAACGACATCAACTTCGAACTCACAAAGCCCACACCCAATTGGTACTATGATTTTATTTTTTAAAAAAAGGGAATATAGATTTTAATCCACATGAATGGCAGGAAGGATTTGTTGGGTCGGTACTCCGTGCTTTCTGCCCAGTTCCACATCTTGCTGGAGGAGTTCAACCGAAAGGATTCAATCATGTTTCCCAGCTTGGCGATCTACCCCAAGAAGACGATCCCCGAAAACCCAAACCACAGTGCGCTCCCCCACCGCGCGACTATGTGTGAAAGTGTGCGAGAGTGCTGATGTGCGGCGCTTGCATGGCCGGCCGTTCAGTACCATTGCTCCTGCGGTCCAAGACGCTGCCCGAGATCGAGGAGCGTGAGAAGAAGCTCACCCAGGAGTTCCTGGCCACGCAGGAGATCACCACCAAAACAGAGGACCACAAGACAGAGCTCGAGGTACTGCTACTCTCCCCTTTCGGTATGGCGTTGTGTGCACTGATTGGTGTGTAACGTTCCATCGACGCAGACGAGAGTGGAAAGCTTCAACGCCATGTGTGATATGCTGGAGGATCACTTTGAACAAAGCCGAGCAAAGTACGGCTCTTACTTCTCTCCCGCGTGTAGTGAGGAGGAACTTATGTCTCCGCGTTAACTATGTCGCGCAACAGCTACTCATTCAAAAAGAAACGGGAAGAGATTCCACTTGAGGACAACAGCCTGCATCTCAACACGATCATCGAAGCCATCATGACGGGCAAGGGTATCACCATTCGCAATGACTGATGGAATCACCAGAGTCACGTCGCGTCTGATGAATGGTGCTGCGTGCTTTCAGGGATCGGCGGTGGTCTGCCGCCAGCAGTGATTTCACCTATTTCGCTGTCTGTGACATCGCCTGGTACGCAATCTCGCCATCCTGCACTGTCTTGCCATCCGCAGTGTCTTAGGGCTTGTCATGCGTGCTTATAGACTTAGGTGGGGTCATGCGAGGAGCGGGCGGACAGCCGCCACAGAAGCGACTGGCCACGGGTGCCGGCGTGGGAATGCCACAAGGCGCCCAGCCCATCGGCGGGATGTCCCCAATGGGCGTCCAGAGCGGTGGCGCAGGCGGAGCGCTGGGGCAACAGGGTGTCAAGCCTCCGTTCATGAACGTCCCGCCAGGCATGACCAACCAGCAGGTAAAAGGCGCAATGCCACTATTCCCTCATCTATCTGTCGCCTCACAAATACGTGTCGCAGGTTCGAAGGCAGATGCCACCACAGCGGCCGGGCATGGTGCAGCGACCAATGGGCATGCCCGGGGCTGGTCCAGTTCCACCCCAGCAGCAGATCCCTGGCGTGCCGCAAGGAGTGCCCACACAAATGTACCAACAACCTCCGCAGATGGCAGGTACACATCACCAAACCCTCTTCTCTCGCCGAGCGCGGTGTGTATGAAGTCGTGACGATGCTCACTGGATGGCGCACCGCCACAACAGGCCAGCAGCAGCGACCACCAGGAGTGGTGCAGCAGCCACAACAGCAGTTCGCCGCCCCTGGCGGCGTCAACATGATGAACCCACAGCAGATGCAGTACTACCAGATGCAGCAGCAGTACCAGCAACAGCAACAGCAACAAAACCAGCACCAACCACCCACAATGTAAAGGAAATGAAGCCAGGCGTCTACTTGTGCGCGCCTGTTGAGCGTCATTTATGTCGGCGGCCTTCTCGAATCTTTGTTGGCGAAGAGAAACGGCCGAATCGTGACAGAGCAATAAATTGAAACAAAACGACCCGCCAGATGATGCAGCCACCGAGCCGGACGAGCCCCTCTTCGATGAAGATGGCAGCGCCTCTCGGGATGGGTGGCATGCCGATTGCTCCTCCCAAAAAGAAGAAATTGCCGCCATTCGTCAGCAAACTGTATGCGATGGTCGAGGATCCTGCCACCAACAACATCATCAGCTGGGGTGACCTGACATCGCAAGACTCATTCGTTGTGCATCGCGTAGAGGACTTCACGACCGACATCCTCCCGCTCTACTTCAAACACAGCAACTTCTGCAGCTTCATTCGGCAGGTGAACACGTACGGCTTCACTAAGACCAGCCCCGACACATGGGAATTCCAGAATCCCTTCTTCGCCCAAGGTAAGCACTTCGCTTTTGCTATTGATTCCTATCTTATTCCCCCCCCCCCCAAATGAGTCTGAAGCATCTTCGTCTCAGGACGGCCAGATCTGCTCGATCGGATTGAGCGACGCACCTCGGTCAAGCGCTCGTCCGAGAAGGAGGAGCACGGACAGGAAGACGAGCACCGACTGCTCAAGCTCAGCAAAACGGCGGAGCAAGTGGAGCAGCTGACGCGCGAGAACAAGAAGCTCGCCGAAGAGCTCACCAAGGTCCAGCAGGAGAGCGTCATGAACGAGCAGCTGGTCAAGCAGTTCCTGCTGGAGCTCAAGGCCTCGAAGCAGAGGCAGCGCGAGATGCAGGAGCGCGAGGAGAAGCTGCTCGGCGTGCTACGCGACATGGCCAGCGGCGGTGCCAGCGCCGACTCCTCTGCGCTGGCGCACCTCCAGTCCCACCACGACCAGCAGACCAGCGCCGCGCAGCAACACCTCCCCGGTCGCATCCAAATGCCCCCGAGCGCGCATAGGCACCCCGTCGACGTGCTCGACCTCCACGCAGACATGGTCACCGCCGAAACCGATTTCGACCTGGAGGCCTACATGCTCAAACTGGGTCTCTCAGCTGCTGGCGGCGGCGGAGCTGATGGCCAACACCAACAGCACCAGCACCAACACCTGCAGACACAGACGCAGAACTTCAACCCTCCATCGCCCTTCCAGGTGCCTCTGTCGCATTACTCCACCCCTCCGTCCACGCCGCCACAGCCTTCGACCTACACCCAAGCGCCGGCGACTCCACCACCGTCTCCCGGCTTCCACTGGAACACCGCCCCTGCCTCGCCCTCCTACTTTTTCACCGGCGACAACAGCGACCAAACGGTACTCAGACTCACACCAATGACGCCGTGAGCACTCAGTGAGTAACACACATTTTGTTGCATACACACAGTTCAAGTTTGGCGAGTCGTACCTGTCGAATGCCGTGGGCGAAGTCGGCTGGCCCACCTACTCTTCGCTGGCACAGAACGTCAAGCAGGAGCCAGGTACCTCCCCACAACTCCTCACTGTGGTGTACACCGCCCGGACACGCTCCGGAGTGACCGCGCTATCCTATTATTTGTTATTTATGAGTTGAGTAATTGGCTCCGTCTTAGTTCAGTGGCAACCGTACCCTAATGCCACTCACCTCTTGCCCCCCACGTGTGCAGTCGCCCACTCCGACGCCCAGGCCGACGCCTACGAGAAGGAAACGTGCGAGGAGTTTTTGGAGCGGTATCTGGACGCCACCGCGGCCACCTTCTCTCCGTCACTGCCCCACACCCCGGACAGCAGCATCTCGAGCATCTCCAGTGCCGCGACGCCCGCCACTTCGCCCTTTGTCGTCGCGTCGCCGTTCGGGCCGCCGCACGACCTCTCCAGCCTCGCCGCCATGGACGACCACCTCCGGAGCGCGTGGGAGCGAGCCAGTGAGGGCAGCTGAGGGCCTGGCGCCGGCGAGTTGACTCATCCTGGCGACATCACGGCCAGGTGGCCGGGCATTTTGTACATAGTGCTTTTTAACCAATGAGCCAATAAGCAGAGGAGGAAAATGAATGACGATAAGAAATATGGCGGATTTTTCGCAGGTTAACACTGCCGTGAGCTACACCCGGTAGTGCGCCCGCCAACCGCGCGTGGAGGATGGATCTCATTAAAAACGGGCAAGGTGTTGTTGTTGCGTGCTGCCTGGGCTAGTACGAAACCAGGAATAGCTCACGGCTCCGATATGGTGCGCTGGCCTATCTGGAGGCGTGCTCGGTAAAATCTGGCGCTGCCATTGGCGGGCGACCCAACCCACACCACGACTGGGAACGCCCTCTCGCCGCGACGGCAGAGAAGTTGGAGGGGACAACATCCACTGACTTCTCCGATAATGGACATCAAGCTCACGCCCCAACCTATAAAAGCCACGCACCCCGGCCTTGTCCAATTCATCAAACAACCACAAACTAATACAACAAGGCACCCCCGCCTCTACCACTACCCACAACTCAACTACACAATGAGGCTTCCCGCTCTCCGCCGCAGCAACGACTCCTACACCAAGGTCGACGCCTCGCCGGCCGTCGTGGACGACGAACACTCCGAGAAGGCGCTCAACAAATGGCAGCAGAAGCTCAGCGCCGAGACGCCGGTCGTGGACGATCTGCCCTTCGCCCTGGGCACGAAGGCCCCGTCGGTCCGGTCCCCGCGCGCCCTCATCGCCGAGCGGGGCATCAAGAAGCACCGCGACAACGCGCAGGTGTCGGCCATGGAGGCCTTCTACGCCACCAACCCCGACGTGTGGGCGCTCAGCCACTGAGCGTCGCACCGGCAACTCGCGACCCCTCTCCCTTGCACATACATACCTCAACCCCGTCGAAATCCGCGCATCGGTCCCGATATCTGACACCGACGCGCAGACCGTGAACATAAATGTAATTTATTATAAAAGATTAAAAAAATGTAAAGCAAACCCGACTATCTCAATTTCCAAAACAGTGTGCAAACTAATACGAAACTCGGGTAGCAATCGTAGGGTTCACTAATCTTGTGCAATCATCTCGCGATCCATCCGCAGCTGATCTCAACCCATCAACTGCCACTCCATAACTACTCCTACACTCCACATAATGCGATCCTCTGTGCGAAATGCCGCTGCAGCGAGGTGGGCTTCAGCCCCTGCGCGATTTTCGTCGTCTCTGCGCCTCTACCGCTCCTCATCTCTCGCATCTGCCCACACTATCTTGCGATCAACATCTTCGCGGACTTATTCGTCATCATCGGTTCCTCCTCGGCCCGGTCACGACCAGGATCTTCAGCCGCCCCCGGGCGCGAAGGAGGGAGACATTGATTACACCGAGTACCTGGCCAAGATGGACAGACTCGAGAAGCCCAAGGGTGGGCTGCCTCGTGCCAACAAGATTGCCGCCCTTCTGACCGGCATCCCGATGCTTCTCATCCTCTACCACATGCTCTTCCCCACTCCCATCGAAAAGAACGAGTGGTTCCAGCTGGAGAAGGAACACAGAGATCGAATGGTGCGGGCCATGGAGGAGGCCAACGCCAACGCCAACTCCAAGAAGTAGCGACCTTGCTTCGATCCATCCTTGTTTTCACTTGCAAATACAACACCCTGTTTTCCTCTTCTGCGGTGTACTTCTTTTTCACCTTCTCCTTGAACCCTCAGCCACCGTAACAACACCACCTTGAGAGCAGCTGCAGCTTCAGCTTGAAGGCGAAGAAGAAGATGACGGAGGCCTGGTCCCCGTGCGAAACCGTGCCCGCGAGCCTGGTGGCCCAGTGCTGCGGGTGGCTCGCCGGCCACACGCACCAGTTCGACTCGTTGGCGGGTCTGCCCACGGACCTGCGCGAGACAGTCCTGCGCTGCCTGGCCCAGCGCGAGCTCCTCGACGACCGCACCTTCGGCCTCCTCTTCTCCCCTCAGGGTGGTGACCAACCCCCCCCCGCACACCACCTTCTGGAAACGTTGAGCGAAAGAAAATCGCGCATGTGCGTGTGCGGTCGTGTGTGCGGTGGTGCGTGTGTCGTGCAACAGCGGGGTTTGGTAGATTGCGGCTGGCGGGCAACGGCGTGAGCGACGCCGGGCTGTGCCGCTTTCTGGACGAATGCCACGACTCGCTCGCTGAGCTGACCATCACGAGCTGCCCGTGCGTCGTCGCTTTCGCTCTTTTCCTTCTATCGCTCTTTCACTCTTATGATGGCTCCCTGGTGCATGCGCCCAACATTGCCTCACCTATGTATCCCGTGCAGGCGGATATCGGGCCTCTCGCTACAGCGCGTGGGGCAGCTGTGCACCGGCCTGCGCTCGCTGCACATCAGCGACCCCGGCCCGCTCGTTGACGAGCCCGCCATCGCCAGCCTCTTCCCCTCTTCTTCTTCTCGAGACGAGGGCGGACACACCGGTAGGCGTTATCTTCTTGCCACCGCACACGCACCGCCGCACACGCATCACCGCACACGCACACGGTCTATTGATAAGTTGCAAGGGACAGGGCATGGTGGCACTCTGCGTTCGTTGGTGCTGGATGCGTGCGGGGAGAGGCTCCAAGACGCTTCCCTCGTGCGCATGGCGCAGTTGTGGTCCGGCCTGTGCGCCCTCCGACTCTCCGAATGCCCGGACCTGTCTGGTATAGGACCTGACGCCCACCTACATTCCTTTTTCAGGCTCCTTTCCGCTCTCACCTCCTGTCGCTGGTGCGACGTGTTGCAGATGCATTTGTCTACGCGTCGGCGCCGATTCTGTCGGGTTCGCTCACCTCACTCGAACTGAGTGGGTGCTCTTACCTCTCCGACCTTTCCCTGCGCGCCCTCGTACGAATCCCCTCATTTCCTGTCCTCCTCGCCGAGACCCCGAACCTCATTGCCGTGAGACGTGTGCGCACGCACGCACACAACACACACGCACGCACGCACGCACGCAACACACACACACGCACACCGGTGCACAGACGAAGCATTTGACCAACTTGGCAACACTGAAGTTGAACCAAAACCCCAGCATCACCCACAAGGGGCTCGCTCACATTGCCACGTAACAACCTCCTCGAGTCCCTGCTTGTCCCAACCAGACCCAGGAGAGACTCCTCTCACTGCGCCCGTGCTTGCGTGCGTGTGTTCGGGCGGGCCTAGGTCGAGCGTGGGAGCCAGCCTGACCTGGCTCGAGATGAACGCCAACTCGCTGAGTGCCATCCCTCCAGAGATCGGCCACATGACCGCCCTCACCCACCTCTCGGCTGGTTCCAACAATATCGCCTCCCTTCCGCCCGAGTACGCCTTTCTCACAATTATTGCTTTTCTCAAGGACCGTGTGCGTGTGCGTGTGCGTGTGCGGTGGTGCGTGTGCGTGTGCGTGTGCGTGTGCGTGCTGACAATCTGCACTCGTTGTGACAGGATTGGGAATTTGAAGAACTTGACCTCTCTGATGCTGTTCTACACCCAGCTGCAAACATTGCCCAACGAGTTCTGCGCGCTGTTCAGCCTCAAGACGCTCCATCTGGGTGCCAATGAGGTACGCAACCAAGGGCGCCTTCAACTTTGCCGTTGTTGTTGATGATGATGATGATGACTTCCTTCGTCAGATCACGCGACTCCCGGATGCTTTTGGCGACCTGACGAGTCTGGAGGCGCTCTGTCTAAACGACAACCAGCTCGAGGCTCTTCCCTCGTCGATCGGCAAGTTGCACCAGCTGCGGGCACGTCCCACCACCAACGGAAAGCTGCGTGTGCCATGGCTGACGCACGCGAGCAGGTCTTCTCGCTCGCCACTTCCGTGCGAGACGAGTTCCCGCCGGGCTTCTGGACTCTCACCCAGCTGCAGACGCTCGATCTGGCCACCGCCCACATTGACCACCTTCCTGACGAAATCGGCCAGCTGGTACTACACGCACACATGCACACGCACACGCACACACACGCACAGAGATGTACGCAACGTTAACGTGAAGGTGCTGGACTGGCGCGTGGGTGTCGGACAGAGGGGCCTGACTAGCCTCGACTTGGAGCCCAACGATCTGCAATCCCTGCCGGACAGCCTTTGCTGCCTGACCGACCTCAAGAGACTCGCCCTGGCCCACAACTTACTCACCGAGTTACCTTCAGGTGTGGTGGTGTGTCGTGTGTGTCGTGTGTGTCGTGTCGTGTCGTGTCGTGTGTGTCGTGTCGTGTCGTGTCGTGTCGTGTGCGTGCGATGGGTTACACTTTAACATCAGTTATTACCAATCAGAGATCGGGAAGCTGAGCAACCTAACATTCCTTTCGGTGGACAACAACCGACTCCTGTCTCTTCCGGCCTCGGTGGCCAACCTACACAAGCTCAAGGCCCTCTGCCTCGCCGCCAACGACGGCCTCGGCCCCAGCCTCGCCAACCTGGGCCTACCATCGTGCGCAGACCAACCACAGCAGCAGCCGCCGCCGCCGACACAACAACGCCAGCTCTTCCCCGAGCTGTGCGTACTGAGCCTGGAGCGCACCGGGCTGGCCTCGCTTCCGCCCTTCGTGTGCCAGGTGGCCTCGTTGACCGCCCTCTCCCTCGGGGTTCAACTCTCTGACGTCCCTCCCCGCCGACTTCGCCCAGCTGCAACGGCTCAAGGTACGCGCACGCACGCACGCACGCACAACCGGCTGGTGGGCACCACAACGGCGAGTCCCTGACCGTGCCGCGCGCGTGCGCACAGACACTCGATCTCGGCTCGAACCTCTTTGCGGGTGTATTGCCCACCGCTGTCCTGGGCCTCGCCCAACTGATTGAACTCAGGTGCAGTCTCCACTCAGCTCTCTTGTGTCGTGTGTGTGTGTTGCGTGTGTTCGTGTGTCATGTGTGTGTGTCGTCGTGTGTCGTGTGTGTCGTGGGTCCTTACTTACATCTACGGCCCGGCCAAAGTGTCGACCACAACGCGCTGAGCGAGCTGCCCGACGAGCTCGGCAGTCGGCTGTCGCGCTTGCGTAGCGTCAACTTGAGCGGCAACCACTTCGGCGAGGTGCCGCGGCAGATCATGGACATGCCGGCGCTCGAGCGGGTGGACCTCTCGGCCAACTTCATCGTCGGCATCGACGACGACGCCCGGGAGGCCCTCCTCCGCATGCCGCTCCTCAGGGAGCTCGACGTGAGCGAGAACCCGGTGGCCGAGCAGCCGCTGCCCGCCGCGCTGCAGGACCTCCTCACCACCACCAGACAAGACCAAGATCCATAAATTAAATTGACATGTCTCCTCGCTACAGCTGATCGTCACTGTCGAGGGTACTGGCGTCAAAGGCAACCGCTCCTCTGCTCCTGGCCGCTCTGCGCTTGAGGACAGCCACCGCCAACGCAACGGCGATGAACAACAGGACGAATGCTATGGCCAGTGGTATCGCCACCGACACGCCGATGATGAGGCCCACATCATCGCTGCTTCCCCCTTGACCACTCCCTTCGTGGCCGCTCAGCAACAGTCCAAAATCTGCCCCCCCCCACCAACCCCCACGCGATCGAGTGTCAGTCAGCACCCAACAGCAACCATCAGCGTGAAGAAAGAGCATGGCCCAAGGCAGCGCCTACCTGGGTCGAACAGCAGAGTGTCGTTGAAGTGGTCGAAGGTGAGGAGCAGCAACGAGCTGGCGACCTCTGCCGAAGCTGCCATCGACACGCGCGACGGGCTTTCTCCCGACTGCTCGGCAAAATTGAGGAGACGCACCACGGTGCTGGCCTGGTCGGCCGTGGCGCTGGCGAAGTGGAACGTGGTCATGCCCGCCTGCGGCGTGTCGACCCACCGCGTGTAGCGCACGAACGGGGGAGAGATCCTGATCGCCAACCGCAGCTTGCCCGACCTGCATGCAGGCAGGGGAGAGGGTGTCAACTCCACTCCATAGACGGTGCGAAAAACGGCCTCAAGGCGAAGTGGTTTGGCATACGTGGCGTTCTTCCATTTCCACGAGCCGACGTTGAGGGAAAACTTGAGCAACGCTGGCGTGACCGTGAAGGTGTAGTTGCTCTCTGGCGGCCATTGGGAAGCTATGATATCAGAACATGCGCAAACACACTGGACGAACCAACGAAAGAAAAGAACGAACCGGTGGTGATGAGCTCATCGGAGCCAAAGGTGTTGAAGAGGTATTGAAGAGTTGCGTTGTTGGCTCCACTGGTCGCCGCGCCGAGATGGCTGGTGAAGACGTACTCGCTGGTCTGGCCACCTGTTGCTGATCCATTCTTCTGCTCCACCGTCCACCCCACTGAACACGCGCATACCAAGTGGTCGTTGAGATCTGCTCAAGTTCAGGCGGACACCACCGCTCACGCACACGCACCTCCGCACACGCACACACGCACACGCACACACACACTCACCACCGCACACTCAGTCACACGCATGGCATACCGTCTTGGAGATCGATCGTCTCCAGCACGGTGTCGAGTGGCGAGATCTCTTCCAGACTCACCAAGTTGAGGTCGACGACCTGTTGTGTCACCTCTCCTCCTCCTCCTCCTCCTCCTTGTCGTCGTTGTCGTCACGTCACCAGCTCACTGTCAGCAAAGAGTCAACCGATCACAAGAGAGCACCTTACCTGATGATTGGCTGCTGCTGATGGTAATGGCCGGCGTGGTGAGGTTGAACTCGGCCGCCACGACGGTTAAAGGGACCGGAACTGCCGAGCGAGTGGCCGAGATGTTGTAGATGTCCACCGCGGAGGAGTGCACGGCCCCATCGTAGCCTCCGGCGAAGAGCGCCAGGCCGTCGGCGGAGGCTGCTTGCAAGAAGTGGCGGGCCTGGGAGAGCGAGGCCGTGGTCCAGCTGTCGGACAGCGCGTTGTAGATGTCCACCATGGAGGAGGAGATGCCATTCGAGCTATCGAAGCCGCCAGCAAAGAAGGCCAGGCTGCCGGCCGAGGTGGCGACCAAGTTCTGGCGGGCCTGGGCGAGCGTGGCCGTGGTCCACCTGTCGGACGATGCGTTGTAGATGTCCACCACCGCCGAGGAGCTCGAACCACTGATGGCCCCTCCAGCAAAGAGGGCCAGGCCGCCGACCGAGGTGGCTGCCAAGTCCCAGCGGGCCTGGGAGAGTGTGGCTTGCGTCCAGCGGTTGGATGAGGCGTTGTAGATGTCCACCCGGTTGCAGTAACCCCCATCGTTGCCCCCGGCGAAGAAGGCCAGGCCGCCGACCGACGTTGCCGCCAAGCCGTAACGGGCCTGGGAGAGCGAGGTGTTGGTCCAGAGGTTGGACGACGCGTTGTAGATCTCCACCACATTGGAGAAGCTCCCACTGGTAGCGACACCTCCAGCGAAGAAGGCCAGGCCGCCAACCGAGGTAGCGGCCATGAGGTAGCGGGCCTGGATGAGCGAGGTGTTGGTCCAGAGGTTGGATGACGTGTTGTAGATCTCCACCCGGGAGGAGAGAGCCGCAGTCGCGCGGTAGCCTCCGGCGAAGAGGGCCAGGCCGCCGACCGACGTTGCGGCCAAGCTGTAGTGGCCCTGGGGGAGCGATGCCTGCGTCCAGCTGCCGGACGACGCGTTGTAGATGTCGCACACGGAAGAGACCCCCGAAGCGCTGTTGTAGCCTCCAGCGAAGAAGGCCAGGCTGCCGACCGTGGTTGCCGCCAATCTGCCGCGGGCCTGGGCAAGCGAGGCAGTCAACTGCGCGGCGGCTGTGGAGGGAGATGGGTAAGAGTGAGTGCGGCCATCTTCATCGATGAAAGGGTTGGGTGCAGGGCCTAGGACCTGCAGGCAGTGGTGTGAACAGTAGGCTGGCAAGCAGTAGCAAGCCAACAATAACGGGTCTGGCTGTCATCTCTCCTGTTTGCTTCTACTTCTTCTCCTTCTCGGGGTTCAGAAGGAAACCAAGAATGACCCATCACACTTTGGTGAATGTGCCTCCCGACACTGAAAGTAACACAATTAATTAGGGTGGGACCACTTGAGTGGCCCATTGTCCTCCGGTTGCCAGATCCGTGGCCCACGCGACGGGTATCAATAAATTATATTATATTATTAATACTACCCTTGTCGTCGGTCGCGCCAGTGAACGATGATGGTTGGTGGTTGATGATGATCACTGGTCGAGGGCGACGACGGCGGTGAACGATGCCAGTTTCTGCTTCAGCGCTTGAACGAGACCGGACGTGAGGGAAGGGTAGTCGCTGCCCGATTCGTAGATCGACAAGATGAGGTACAGGAGATCCGTATCGCGAACGCCTGCCACCCCCCCCGGTGCCGAGCCGACGATCATTACGCATGCACTTACTTTGTGGCGCGCTGGTGGGTCTGCGTGCGTGCGTGCTGCGTGCGTGCGTGCGGCTTTTACCTTTTGGCGTCTGGAGGCTCTTGGTGAGAGTGGTCATATACTTGGAGGCGAACTTGTCCTGCGCCAGCCCGGCAACGTGTCTGGAAAAGAGGAAGAGACAATGCCCGGACGCCTTAGCCTTCGTCGTCTTCACGAAGAGTTGCCTCGTACTACTCCCACTACTACTAGGCGCCCCGAAGCGAATGGGTTAGGGCTTGGCTTACCTGGCGTTGCACGAAAAGAGCAGCGCGCCCTTGGAGTGACCGGGACTGCACTCTATGAAGTCCTCCCCGAAGCACGTGATCGCGATGTCCTCCACGATGTTGCCTCGTGGTGGCGAATGCCTGACAGTGAACGCTGTTGTTGGGCCAACCAGTGGGGAAAGCAGACGAGCGAATGGGTGAGTGAGTGACTGAGTGATCCCAGTGTGCAGAGCGAAGCCCAAGCGCGGGCGGGGGGGGGAAGAGGTGGGACGCGGTACTGATTCCCTCGGGCACGAGCTCGAACGTGGCGACGATCTCGAGCACTCGTCGCTCCTCGTCGTCGTCTGCGTCGTCCGTCCCATCGCCGCGTTCTCCTCCATCGCCGCCGTCGGCCGAGTCGCCCAGGAGCGTCGCCAGCCCTGCCGCCGCCGCCGCGGCTGCCCCGCCGGCAGGAGCCGCACCACCCACCGACGCGCCGCTGATCGTGCTACCGCCGGCGCCAGGTCCAGCGCTGGGCTTGCGCGGGGCCAGGCGCGAGGCGAGCGAGTGCCAGCGAACCCGGAGGAAGCGTCGGAGGAAGGCGACGACGTTGACGTAGTCGTTGAGCTCGGTGGGCAGAACGCCAGAGTACTCGCTGCGTTCGTCGAGGGCGTGATCGAAGATGGCGAAGGCGCAACAGGTGCGGAGAGACCATACCCCAGTGCGCTGCTGCGAGGCGTCGAGCTGGCCGCCCACCCGGGTCTGGAGCGCGCCGTAGTGCTCGTCGCGTCGCAGATGGGCGCGAGTGCGGTCCTCGCGTCGCCCGTTCTTGAGGTCCTGCAACAGCTGATCGAATCGCTGCACGCTCTTCTTGGCAGTTCGTCGCCGTCCTCGGTGCTGGCGCGGGTCTCTGTCGGTGCTGGTGCTGTGACGTCGATAATCGATTGATGAAGTAGCGGTGGATGAGGGTTGTGTTGGAGAGGGAGTGCTGGATGAGTAGGTGGAAGATGAGACTGGTGGAGGTCGCTGCAGGGCGGTTCGTGGCCGCGTGGCAGCCATTTCTTCCACATCTTCGAAGACGTGAACAAGATTCTCGAAGGAGAAGAGCGAATCGAGCTTGGCTGCGAGGGCAAAAGCCCTTTCGGGCGAAGCAAGTGCCATCTTGCCCGTGTGGTAGCGCCTCAAGATTCGCAGCCTCTCCTCTTGAAATCGCAACACGTCCTCGAAGAATTTGAGCTCCAGTGCGCGTTCTCTGTCGCCGTTTCCATCAGTGCCGGCTGATGGGACGAGGAACGAGGCAAGCTCTCCATAGGTTGCTATCTCATCCGCCCTCTGCCCACCGACGCCGCCTCCTGCGCTCGTGTCGTGGCAATCGCTCTGCCATTCCTCGTCCTCATCGTCGCTGTCGATCACAAACCCCTCGAGATTGCGCTTGGGCAATCGTTGCTGCCTATGCATTACCGTCTATCCCTCCGTGCACGATTCACCGCCCGATCTTCTGCTGTCCTGTTAGATATCTTCTGCCCGCCTTGGTTGGGCTGACACAACAATAGCTCCTCGTTCATTGCAACCGGAATCCCAGGAATTCGCCGGTCTATTTATGCCGAAGGGCCACAGTTTTATTTTGCCGAAGCAACAATGTAATAATTATTTTTACGGACTGGACACGTCAGCAGCACCCCGCTATTAAGGAGTGGTCAGCAGCACCCCACACTGTTGGACACAACACACGTCGTCCCATAGAGCATCTTTATTATAATTCTCTTTTTTTTTGGAATTTGGAATTGTACAAACAATGATACAACAAACACGTATCCTCCTCCACTCTCGAGGGAGTCCGAGACAGCTTGAGCCGCCCTCGTTCCTGAACTCGTCCCTCTTCCTCGCGCGCGCCCGCCTCCTTCTCCTTCTCCCTCTTCTCCTTGATCTTGGCCTGCCCCACCGCTGAGCTTCCCTCTACGCTTCGCTTGGCCACCTCTTCGCTGTCCGTGTTGGCGTGGATAAAAGGAAGAGGCGAAGAGGGGTTTGACAAAACGAGGGATGAAAGCGCAGTTCGAGGGCGACACAGGAGCCGACCCTTACGACGATTCTGTTGTGGATGGGTGTCATGATAATGTGAGTGGGCGCGCACACTGACTTGCAAGGAGGGCGGAAGTGGGACACCCGTACCCAGCGACTCTTGGAGACGATCGCCAAGGTAGTTGAAGACGGCCTGGGAGCCGCCCTCGGTGATCTCCTGGGGAATGTCCTCCAGAGGGTTGTCGTCCATGCCGAACAGCCTGATGCGCAGAAAGAGCCAAAGCGGTGAGCTGCAGGCGACCAAGTATAGAGCAAGGAGAAGAGGTTGCCATACCTCAGGTTATCGAGATTATAGAGAGTATCGGGCAGATCGTTGATGTCGTTGTCGTTGAAGGTCAGGACTTCGAGACCCTTCATGCTTCCCATCTCGGTCGGGAGTTCGGTGAGCTTGTTCTCGTCCAAGTTCAGCTCGGTAAGCGACAGAAGCTGTTGGAGGGAATGAAAGCGTCAGCGAAAGCCTTGCCTCACAACTAGTCGCTGCCCGCTTGGCTCGGATAGAGGACGTACGCTGCCAATTTGGGACGTCAGCGTTGTGAGCTTGTTGTAGTTAAGGAGCAGGCACGAGAGGCCGGTGAGCTTCCTGTGGTTCGAACGAATCTGGTCGTTAGACGGGAATACGATCGCAGTGGCGCTCTGGGTGGCACGTACCCGATCTCCGGAGGCAACTCCTTCAGAAGGTTACCGCCCAGGTTGAGCTTCTTGAGCGAGGTCAGGTTGCCAATCTCAGCGGGCAACGAGTTGAGCATGTTGTCGTTGAAGTCGAGCAGCCGCAAGTTCACCAGTTGCCCTGCATCATCATAATAATAATAAGAGGTCAGCTCGCCTCCTTGGTGGCACCCGAGTCAAACCACAACACATACCGATTTCGGGAACGAGGTTGGTCAGCTCGTTTGCCGACGCGTGAAGCTCGTGCAGGTTGGTGAGCATGGCAATGGAGGGGGTAAGCTTTGTGAGCTCGTTGCTGCTGATGTCGAGCACGCGCAGACCTGTGAAGGAGTTGGTGGTGAGCGAAACTGGGACTTCAAAACGCAAGCCGGGCCACAAGGTCGACGTACCCGGAAGCATAACAACGGATCCCAAGTTGGTCAACTGGTTGTCGTTCAGGAAGAGCTCCTCGAGCGACTTGAGCTGTCCCAGCTCGTCCGGCAGCTCGGCCAGCATGTTCCTGCTGAGATAGATCTTGTGAAGGTTCTTCAGCTTGGAGATCTCAGTCGGAAGCCCGGTCAGCCTGTTGCCCTCCAAATCTAGCTCCTCGAGCTTGTCCAGGTCGCCAATCTCGCGAGGCAGCTCCTTGATGTGGTTGTACTTGAGGTGGAGACGCTTCAGGCTCTTAAGACTGCCCAGACCTGTGCCGGAGATGAAACTTAGCCCGAGAAAGATACAAATATATTCGTGACCGTCTGTGGCAAGTGGCGTACCCTGGGGAAGAGTCTCCAAGTTGTTGTACTGGATGTCGAGGTTCTCCAGCTTCTCGAGCTTGGCCACGGAGGCGAAGGAGCTGATGGAGTTGTGCTGCAAGTCGAGCACCTGCAGCATGGAGAGCTGACCCAGGCTCGCGGGCACTGCGGTGAGCTTGTTGTTGCGAACACTCAGCGCCTGGGATGTCAAAGAGGGTTGTTAGTTTGAATGGCGGCCGCCCTGCAAGCAAGAGGCAAGCACGTACGTCAAGCTTCTTGAGGTTTTTGATTTCGTCCGGGAGGTTAGTGAGCTTGTTGAAGCGAAGGAAAAGCTTCTTGAGCTCGACCAGGTTGCCAATCTCTGGCGGGATGGCCGTCAATTTGTTGAACCTGTTGCCGAGGATGGAATCCCGGCGATTAGATTGTAATGCAAATGAAGAGAAAAAGGGGCAGCAAAACGAACCTGAGATCGAGCATTTGAAGATTTTTCAGTTTGCCCAGTTCGGGAGGGAGAGTCGAAATGCTGTTCTCGTTCAGACCCAGCGCGGTCAAGTTGGTGAGCTTGCCTGTGACAAAGTGGATCAGAGTGTGAGCAACTCAAGTTGAAGCCGTCCCATTACCATGGTTGTCGAGGGTGTGGTACCAATGGCCGGCGGGAGGGCGGTGAGCTTGTTGTCGTAGAGATTGAGGATCTTCAAGTTGGTGAGAAGGCCGATTTTGTCGGGAAGGGTGGTCATCTCCAACCGGTTGAGATCGCACAGCTCCATAGTCTTACACACTTCAGCCCCCTCGGTGAGGTTGGCAAGGTCCTCGAGGGTGAGCTTCGTTTGCGAGGGCGCAGGCATGCGAGCGGATCCCTTCCTCTTGTCGCTCTTCTCGAGCTTTTGTCTGTTCTTCTTCTCCATCTTCTCCTTCTTCTTGCGCTCCTGTTCCTCCTTCTTCTGCTTCTTCTTCCGTTCCTTCTCCTGCTTCTTCAGTTCCTTGACCGAGGGGGCTGCAGCTGCAGGCGTCGCCTTGGGCGCAGTGGCCTCTGTGGTAGCCGCCGCCGCCGCTGGGGATGGGCTTGATGTAGCGATGGGGGTGGAAGCGGCAGTCGGCTTCCCGCCATTCTCCTTGGCCAATGCTTTCAATGGCTTGCTCTTCTCCTCTTCCTCTTTCCCTCGTCCATCCTCAGAGTCCGATTCGTCGTCTGAGACCGAGGCCTCCGAAGTCGAAGTCATTCCATCACCCCGCGACGCCTCATACTCCGCCAGTTTCCTCTTCCACTCCTTCTCCTTCTCTGCCAGCTCTTTCTTCTGTCGTTCGATTTCCTTCTTTTCCTTCAGCCATTCAGCCTCCCTCTTCTTCCATTCCTCCTCCGTCTCCGGCTTGTCGTCATTCATTGTGGCCCAAACCTACGCGCAAGGAAAAGGGGACTGTTAACATCGATCTGATGATCCCCCCGCTCTTGGAAACACGCATTTGCCTGTAGTAATTTCTCGTGTTGCCGAGTACTCGATTTCTAGAGAATCCCCTCCCCGTCCAAGCCTCTCCCAACAAGGAGGTACGCAGGGTACCTTTAGGAGGTAGGTTCAATCTTCGTTCGATTCGTTGCTGGGGCTGGCCGTAAGCAAAAGGGAAAGGAGGCCCGAACAACCGCGCAAACAAACACACAACCCTGCTGCCCCACCAAGCCCGTGCTTGCAAAAAGTGGGGTCCGCGCAACGGCCCCAATTTCCTTATTGGTCGAACTGCGGAAATTTCGCGAACCACACGACGTGGGATTGGCCTGCCCCAGTCATCTCGCCCAAAAGTTAAATTACTTGAATTCCCTCAACATCCACGAAAACAAGAAAATATGCAGGAAAAGAAACGAAAAGAACACAGAAAATACAATGCGAAGAACCACTCAACAAGCTCTGCGTGGCCGGGCTTGTGCTCGCGTGCAGCCACTGACCACTTCGTCAAGCTCGGCGCGCCGTGCTTCGACGCTGGGCCGCTTTTCGCCAACGGTTAGTTCTCTTTCTCCCGCGCTGGCGATCGGAGCAGACCTTCGTTTTTCGTTCTCACCTCTGGCGGCGCAGGAGCCGCTCGCCGTGGGGGACTGGTCGGAGACGCACAAGGTGTTCGGCACCCCCGAAGTGGCGCAGTTCGCCGCGCTCTCGGAGGACATCAACCCGATCCACCTGGACGCCGGTGCCGCCCTCCTGAACTTTTGTTCATCTCACCTCACCTTCTTGTCCTGCCGCCAAGTAGCACGTAGTGCTCACCTCGCTACTTCACCCAGCCTACGCCGAAAAGACTCGCTTCGGCGCTCGTATCGTGCACGGCATGCTCTCCGCCTCCCTCTTCTCGGGCATCCTCGGCAGCCAGATACCCGGTACCCGCGCCTATGCTGTACTACACGTCGTGTTGCTGCTATCATCGTCTACTTCGTCTGGGACCATGATCATCTTGTAGGCAAATAATAATATTGATATGATGTGTGGCAGGTGCCATCTACGTCTCGCAGAGCCTCTCGTTCAAGGCCCCGATCTACGTGGGGGAGAAGGTGACCGCCAAGGTGGAGGTCACGGCCATCCACCCCTCCAAGCCCTTCGTCACCTTCACCACCAAGTGTCTCAACACCAAAGGTCCGACAGCATAACGCCGTTGCCCCCCCCCCAACTTCTTCACTGACGCGGCCTTGGTCGTGGGCGACGTCTGTAGGAGGAGTGTGCATTGACGGTGAAGCGGTGGTGTACATTCCCCACCAACACAAAAACAAGAACAAGGACAAGAGCGATGGCGACAAGCGAGAAGAATGAGAGGCTCAAGCCACACACACACGCACACACACACACGGGGGAGGTCAAACCGAGAATATATTCTTATTCTGCCGTGTGACTGGTTCGGTCCTCTAGGAGTCGTTCGTGGCCGCAACGCCGGTGCCACCAGCGATGATGGCCTGCACCGAAGGGTTGCGCGGCGCCATGTCCCTCTTGAACGCCCTGTCGTGTACAAGGTCACAATTCCACAGAGTCAGCAAAGGCCAGCAAAAGAAGAAGAAGAAGACGACGAGGATGAAGCGAAAAGGGAAGGCTAAGGAGAGGCGCACCTGCACACGTCCCAGTAGTGTGGGACTCCCCTCTGCTTGAGGAACTTCCTCGCGTCCTTGTCGCTGGGGAAGACGTCCACTTGGAAGTTCTTGAAGGCGGACTTGAGCACGGTGCCCTCCCACACCAGGTCGCAGAAGTTCTGCTGCCGCTCGACCTTGGCCTTCTCCACCTCCTTCTCCACCTCCATGCCCTCGGCGCCCTCGACCTCCTCGGGCTTGGTGTAGTCGTTCCAGTCGATCCTCCGCATCATCAGCTTCTTGTATCTTTCGATCGCCTTGGGTCCTCCCTCCACCAGCACCAGGCAACAGCCACGGTAGAGGACAGCGCAGCCCGTCAGGAAGTTCTGCTGCGCGTTGACGTCCACTTTGTACCTGTGCACGACGCGCCCGACCGTTAGCTTATACGACATGAGCGTGATCACACACACACACACACACACACAAGCACGGGGCGGGTCGACGCACTTGTGCCTCTCGTCGCTCAGGTTGGTGACTCGGAAGAGCGCGACGTGGGTGATGAGGCTGGTGTCCTCCTTGAGCTTCTTGAGCTTCTTGAGCCGGGCCTGCTCGGGTGTGAGCTTCCTCTCCTGGTTTCTCGCGTCGTGGGCCTTGGCTCGCTCCTCCATCTCGGCTCTCACCTTCTTCTCGATCTGGGTCGGGTCCTGTACGGCCTCGGTGGTGAGCACCTTCATCATGTTGGAGATCTTCATGCGGTTCTTGGGCGCCGGGTCGAGGCCGAGCAGGACGCGCTCCTGCTGCTCCCGCTGCTTCTCCGCTCGCGCCCTCCGCCGCATCTTCTTCTGCTCCGCCTTGGTGAGCTTGAGCGGCATCGGCCCGGGCGGCGGCTTCTCGGTGGGCGGCGCCAGCGCGACGGGATGCTCCACGAGATGCGTGATGCGCCGCTCGTTGATGTTGCTGCTCACGGCCGCTTCGTCATCACCATCCACTACCCTCTCCTTCCCCTTTCCCTCTTCATCCGCCACCGCCATGTCGTCCTTCTCCTCACCCTCGGCCTTCTTCTTCTTTTTCTGCTCCTCGTCGGCCGACGTCGATTCGTTGCCGTAGCGCTCCTTGTGGAGCAGCAGCGGCGCGTCCCACCACTCGACGTCGGGCACGGGCTCGTCCTCGTTGTGGATGATCTCCTCGGCCTCCTTGCGCAGCGGCATCAGCGACTTGTCCCGCGGCATATCGCTGCCGGCGCCCTCGTCGGCCGCGCCCATCGAGCTCTCGAGCAGCTCCTTGGCCAGCTTCGTGCGCATGCGCTGCGCCTTCCGGACGTAGGTGCCGGCCTCGACAAAGTTGAACGCGCGACGCGGGCGGGTGACCTTGGGCGCACGCATGCGCGGGTCGAAGTAGGGGTTCTTGGACGGGTCGGTCTCGACGACGGGCGACTCGAGCTTGAACAGCTCCTCGCGCTGCACTCGCTTGTTGATGGCCAGCGTGGCCACCACGGGCGCGCGGCCGGACGAGATGACGCGGCCCTGGTCGTCGATCTCCCGACCCTCGGCATCGAGACGAAGAGGGCGCGGGCCAGGGCCACCAGAACTGGCGATGGGGAGGGACGTCGCGGTCGGGGTCACCAACGCGCCGGGAGGGAGGCGACCTTGGAGAGCGGCCAATTTGGCGTTGATTTTGCTCTGGATCTCGGCCATGACCCTCATCTTCTCGTCCTGTGCTGAAGCGCCGCCAGCAGGGGTGGGCGCTCGCACGGGCTGCTGACCGAGGGGTGCCGCTGGCATGGCGTGAGCCTCCTTCTGCTCCTGGGCCTTCTTCTGCACCTCCACCTTGAGCTTCTCCTTCATCGCGCGAAGGGCATCGAGATTCAGGCCCGGAAGGATTGAGGCCTTGGGCTTCGCCGCATCAGGCGCAGCAGTGGGGGTAGGCTGCGGGGACGGTTGGATTGGGGCGTTCTCAATTTTCGATCCGTTTTCTACATCGACCTTCTTCCCTTGATGGTCGCTGCCCCTGTCGTCCGTTTTGTGTCGCTTCTCCTCCTTCCTTCTGCTGTCCCGATCTCGGCTCCTTTCTCTGCTGCCCCTGTGCTTTCGATCCTTCCTATCCCTGTCTCCATCACGATCTTTCTCATCCCTCCTCGATGACCGGTGTCTATCCTTGTCCGATGATCTGCTACTGCTGTGTTTGCTGTCTTCATCGCGCTTCCTCTTCGAAGAAGAAGAGTGGTCGCTCCTCGAGCTCGACATGATTGCTACCAATTTGCAAACAACAAATTCAAATCGCGGCCTTGCCCACCAACCCAACTTTTCTTTTACATTTCTTGCCCAATCCCACTTTTCTTCCCATAACTGCTGTGTGCCGCCAGCACGAACCTCCACCGGCTCGTAGCTCACATAACATGGCCGCAAGCGTTGTGCTCTTGGGCGACCCGCGGCTTCGCGTTGTCAGCGCTGCCGTGCCCGACGTTGCCGAGTCCCAGTTCGTCTCCGAACGGCGCACACTCGAGGCCACCCTCCAAAAGGTACTTACCGGCCGCAAACTGCAAGTCGACATAAGCGAGGGCACGAAGACGTGCTGTTGGGCTCATCGGCGGCCTTTGCCGCATCGACGGCTTACTCTTGCTTGACCTCTGGACCAGTTTCGCCAGGACAATGGGTTCGGGCGGGCCATCTCGGCACCTCAGATCGGCGTCAACAAGCGGCTGATCGCACTCGACCTGGGGAAGGAGGGTGGAGGGGCGTTCTGCATGGTCAATCCACTCATCACCCACCGATCGGACGAGACCTTTACCATGTACGTACATCTTCTCCTTTTTCATCATCACCATCATCATCGCCGTTTGTCAGCTTCTTGATGCTCCTGCATTCCTCTTCTGGCACGGCACGGTGTCCCAACAAGGTGGGACGATTGCATGAGCTTCCCCTGGCTCTTGGTCAAGGTGCGCCGCCACAAGAGCATCTCCGTCGAGTACCAGGACGAGGAGGGCAACACCAAGAAGTGGGAAAACATCAACCAAGCCGTATCTGGTACCCATTGATTCAAGAACTCGGCCACGATGACATCATCGTCATCTCACGCATCTGTTTCCACCACCCAGAGTTGTTGCAGCACGAGATCGACCACCTTGATGGTACCTGCCACCCACCTACCCACCATCCGGTGCTTGTAAAGAACTCAATAATGAGCTCTTGCGCAGGTGTGCTGGCTGTTGATCGAGCCGAGACCAACAGGGACCTCATCAGCCGCGCGGTCTACGACTCCATGCGTGACCACTTCGACGCGCAGGTGGACTACCACATCACTCCCACCATCTAACCTCCCCGCCCACCCCGCAGCTTCCCGTGCTTCGGCAACTCGGTCACCTTCGCACCTCAACCGTTCCTGTTCGTGCTCGTCCTCTTGCCCGAGCTCAGTTCTTGGTGAGTTCTCTGTGGCGTCCCACAATTTTCTCTACGTTCTTATTTATTATTTTATTTTCACTTTATTTCTGCCCATTCTGTGAGCTCTTCGAGGAAGGAGCAAAGAGAGCAGCAAGGAAGAGAAGGAAGAGAGAAGGCTTCTTCTCTAGCACAACCCACCAACCCTGCACGGCAAACCACGCACAACACAGACAAGATGAGCTCCCTCCACGAAAAAGTGCTGACAAGATGGTCCAAGAGCAAGGTGTCCTTTGACTACAGACGCGCCCTGGAATTGGTCAACCAAGGCCCTGGTACCCCCTCCCCCTCCCCCTCCCCCCCACGATGTCGCTGTGCACAGAACGCGGCAAGTCTCACTTATTTGCACTTTTCCCCTTTCTTCCCCTCTGTTCGCAGCCTCCATGAGCGCGAAGGACATGCTCGACTGGGCAACCAGCCACCCCTTCCTGAAGGTAAGCACTGCCCACCTTTTATTTTCATCTTTTATTTTTTATATTTTGAACAGGACTAATGAGTTAATATTTTTATTTATTTTATTATTTGTTTATTTCTGACTACATGAAAGCTGCGGCGCACGCTGGTTCCCGACGGCATCCTCCCCTGCGAGGCCCACATCATCGGTACACATGCGGCGCGCACGGCCCACCCACCAACCAACACGCCCCGCTCACACGCTCACTGCCACTCACCACTTGCGCGCCCGCTACAGATATCTCCATCAGACCGCCCAAGAGGAGGGGCCGAGGCCCGCGCATCCTCGACGACGACGTCTACGACGCCTTCCCTCCGCTCCGGTATAGCATCCATCTCAGCTCATGACACGCGTCGTGCGTGTGGTGTGTGTGCGGTGGTGTGTGCGGTGTGTGTCGTGTGGCTGACGCTCGTTCGATCGATGAATGCAGGAAGTACGTGGCTCGAGGCCTTTGCGTGCTGGAGACCAAGGACGGCGCTCGCGGAGCGTGCCAGTACCAGATCGTGATCTCGGCCATGAAGAAGTTTACCGGCGGACCCGGCGACGATGACGACCTGGCCGAGGTACCGCGCCGCCCCTCTGCCCTTTTGCCCTAGGTTCTGATTTTTTGACACGACACACGCACACACATTACCGCACACGCACGCACATTCGTCAATGCACACGCACACGCACACACGACACACACACGACACACAGTTCTCCGATGAGGACGACGGTGCCGATACGAACACGCTGCGGGCGCGCTGGCAGCACTACTTCACAGAGAGCAGCGACCACGCGGTGCGGCTGATCGACTCGTCGAAGGAGAACGGCGACTCGGCGCACATGGGCGTGGCGCGGGTCGGCGGCGCCATCTTCCCCGTGCTCGGGAGCAAGCTGGTCCACATCATCGTCGGCACCGCCGACCACGTCGAGCTCTACCCCGAGGCCGAGTTCCGCCACGCCAAAGGGTACCTACGCATCCATCACCTCTTCATAGTCATTCAGCCGCGACTTACTCTCTGTGTCGTGTGTCGTGTCGTTGGTCGTGTCGTGTGTGTCGTGTGTGTCGTGTGTCATGCGTAGATTGGCGCGTGCGTTCTTCGAGACACAGGTCTCTGGGCGGGTGGGCGAGGCCAAGTTCCGGGAATTCCTGGCGACGATGAGCGCCAAGCACTACACGGCCACGTTCGAGTACCTGGACGTCGGCCACCAGCACGTGGAGCTCTTCGCCTTCCCGCGCTCCACGTTCCGCTTCATCGCCTTTACCTCGACCAGCGACGTGTCCCTCCTCTGCTGCGACATCGAAGCCGGTACGCACAATTATTATAATTAATTATTATCATACTTAATTCTCACAATGCAATTATAATAATATAGAATTGTAATAATTGTTTAATGTGGAAAATTGTCTGTAGGCGTGGAGATGGCGGCGCAGGCCGGGTTCGAGACGATGAAGATCACCGCGCACGACGCCAAGGACCAGGACGCCCTCTTCCAGTCCATCCGCCAGACCCACGGCACCGAGGGCAGCGTCGTCTACTACCTCAACGCCGACAACAAGGTGAGCCTTCGCTCGTCCAATGCCGCAGCACACGCACCACCGCACACACATCGCACGCACACGCACACGCACGCCAAAGCGCACGCACCACCGCACGCACACGCACCATAGTGCACGCAGCTTGCTGACCACCCAGTGCCTGCAGGTGATCGGGATGGTGAAGAAGAAGAGCGTGTGGTACATCCTGGTCCGAGCCTTCCGCGAGAAGATGAAGGGCCTCCGCAGCCGCGTCGTGCGCGCGGTGGAGAGCAACCACCTGGACGGGCTGGAGAAGGCGACGGCCGACGTGAAGCGCTCGGTGCGCAAGATGCTGCGGCAGAAGCAGGAGTGGCTGGGCTTCTCCGAACGCGTGAAGGCCGCCTGGGAGGAGCTCGGCATGCGCCTCTGTGACTGGCTCGTCGCACAACTTCGCCAGTACGCACACCCTCCCGCCAGTGCGTGTGCGTGTGCGTGTGCGTGTGCGTGTGCGTGTGCGTGTGCGTGTGGACTGGCTGACCGCTCGTTCCGCGCTCCACAGGAGAAAGCTGGAACCGAGCGAGGTGGGAGACATGTGGCCGCTGGTGTGGAACCGCTTCTTGCGCGAGTGCAAGCAGTCCGACGTTATCAGCCTCGACGGCGAGGCCCTCTAAGAATTTGTATCTACACTTGTGAACAATCATAACAATCACAACAATGACGACGATGACGATGGTCGGCTTTTGTTGTGTGGTCAGTTTCGCTCTCACGAGGTGTGAGGGTCGATGAGGCCCAGGAGACACCACACGGCGGGAAAGAGGAGGAGAGCCACGGAGGCGTAGACCATGACCGGCGACAGGTAGTGGCGGGCGATGTGGCCCTTCTCCAGGTTGTACCGCACTGTCTGGCGGATGGCCTTCTCCAGGCCGTACGCGGGCTCGAACCCGAGCCGCTTGCGCGCCTTCGCGTTCGAGTACGTCCTGTTCTCCGCCATGCGCGTCACTATGTGTGTGTCGTGTGTGTGTGTCGTGTATGTGTCGTGTGTGTGTCGTGTGTCAATGATAAGGTGACGCGCTAGCTCGACTCAAATCTGTATGCGCACCGGTTGAGACCTGGTACATGAACGTCCGCTGCTTGCCCCGGTTCATGATGGGCGCCAGGAGGGCGGTGGCGAGCTTGACCACTGGGAAGGGCAGGTGGAGGAAGGGCTTCGCCCGGCCCAGCTCCTCGCTGATGACCTCGATCCAGCGCTGGTACGTGAGGCCCTCGTCCGGGCAGAGAATGAACGTGTCGTCCCTGCACACCTCCCGCCTCTCGATCGCCTTCACAATGCCTTGCACCACGTCTGTCCCCGCATGCCCTTGTCAAGGAATGCACACATCGCACACACCGCACACACCGCACACGCACGACCGCACGACCGCACGACCGCACAAGCACGCCGGACAAAATCGAGTACCGTCGACGTGGGTGTACATGAGCTGGGCTTGGCCGCTGCCGGGGATGAAGCACAGGAGGCCCGAGTTGATCATTTCCATGAGCTCGTAGATGGTGAAGAAGTCGCCCGGCCCCAACACTCCTGCGTCGCAACCAGGGGAAGAGGTCGGTGAGCTCATGCGTGTGCGGTGGTGTGCGGTGGTGTGTGTGTGTGTGTGTGTGTGTGTGGTGTGTGTGTGTGTGTGTGTACCGGTAGGTCGCAGGATGATGTGGTCCACGCCAAGGCGCTCCGACACTTCGCGCACCACCTTCTCCGCTTCGACCTTGCTCCGCCCGTACTCATACACCGGCCGCAGCTCCGTTTGCTCATCGCCCGGCGGCTTCTCCACACCGCCCAGCGCTGTGCGTGATCGGGGGTGTTTAAAAATAAATACAAATATAAACCGTAAATAAAATAAAATAACATAAATAACAAAATAAACACAACAAAATGAAGAAAAGGGTCAGGGCTGCACTCTCTGTGCTGGAAATGTAGATGAAGGTGCCCCCGCGGCCCCGCCGGGCGTCGGCGAACGCACTCAGCAGGTTCCGGGTCCCCTCGACGTTGGTCTGGTACAGCGCGGCCACCTTTTGATGCCGTTGTCAGCGACCGCGCAAGATAGCTGAGCGTTGGGCGCTGGATGGTTGGTTGGTTGGTAAAGGCGTACGTCCTGTGGGTAGAAGTCCATCATGGCGGCGAGGTGCACCACGACGTCCACTCCCCGCACGGCCTCGGCCAGCGACGCGGGGCTGTCGAGTGCTGCCCTGCGCACTTCAACCGCTGGCAGTGGACCAAAGACGTTCAACAAGCGAGCCACAAGGGGGCGGTGTGGTTGGACCGGGGGGAGGGGGCGGTACCGGGAGGAAAGTGGGCGCAGTTGCTGGAGGCACGCACGAGGCCCACCACGGTGCGGACCTCATCGTTGAGCTGCACGAGTCGTTGGAGGAGGTGCGACCCGATGAAGCCCGTGCCACCCGTCACCAACACCACCAACCCCTCCCCTTTGCCATCATAGTCTCTCACTGGCGCCAGCATTGTAAAAATGTGCAAATAAAAACGGGCAAAAAAGGAAAAATCAAAAATCAAATAAAAACAATTTTATTAATAATTGCTCACCGCCTACGGCGGTGATTCATATTACCTATCGGTTCGAGCCACTCTGTATGTTTAATCATTTATTCTTTTTAGTTACCGTGTAACGAAATACAAGAAAATAAAAGATTAAACAAGTCCTCGTATTGTTAGTTCTCTTTTTTCTCCTCATTCGTGCTGTATCGTCCATCGTGCGGACCCGCCGTGCGATCAGCCACTATCAACTATGTCATCTCCCGTCTCAGCCGCCGAGTTCCAGCAGCTGAAGGAGGCCTTCAACACCCTCGCCAAACGGATAGGCAAGGAGAAGGTCAACGACGAAGAGACTGACGAACCCACGGACGAACACGAACCAGAGAAGGACGGGTCGCGTAACCAGCACTCGAGCTCTTCCAGCTCGAGCGCAGGAAAGAAGCCTTCCCGTCCAGCGCGCCGCGAGGCCACCAGCGACGACGAGGGGGACACCCAGGTAAATCTGGACGCCCTCGATCCAGAACTCGAGTCGCAGTTTGACAACATCAAACACCTCGCCAACGGACACGCCGCCGGCCTTACCAAGTTCCCCTCCAACAAAGGGAACAACTTCAGCAAGGAAGACAAGGCGCACGTCGCGCAACTCCAGAAGTGCTACAAAGCACTCAAGGTGGTCATCAGGATCTGCGTCACAGGGGTCAACCGTCACCCCAAGGCCACCAACCACTTCGACACCGCGCTCACCGCCGCCCTCTGGGGCATCCACAGCATCCTCACCACCCACCAAGACCTCTACTTCAAAGGGGTCATGGGCAACAACTTCAAGATCTGGCGCTCGCTGAACGCCAGAGGCGTCTCGGCCAAAGAACACAAGCTCGCAGTGGAGGCCATGCAGTTCTCAGCCACCATCACCATGGCCAAACCTCGGGGTCACGTCAACACGAGCCTGAACTCAGCCAAGTACACCAACAACAACAACCACCAATTCAACCCCAGTGGCCAACACCAGAAGAACAGGAGAGGCGGCCGCGGTACGAGCAGTGGGGCCCCTGCTTTGGAATAAGTGCGACGGACAGCAGGAGCCCTCCTCCCTCAGGGAAGGCACCCACCCATCAGATCGCCAGGCGCCACGCCCACAAACCAAACCCAGATCTTCATGTCCTCCCGCCCTCTTCCCCACGCGCCATGCACACCGGGTGTGAGCACATCAATGGTAGCCCTCTATGTACCTCCCCACCGTCACCATTGACCAGAACCAGCGACCAATGTTCTTCCTCACCAAGAGCTTCCCATCTCAATGAACCCAGACCCAGCCCTTCCCCTCAACGCGTGTCCGTCGCCTTACCCACCACTCTCCACCGCACCAACGCCAGCTCGCCCAAGCGTAGTGCAAGCCTTCCGCAGTCGCCTGCTTCAATGGCGACAAGCCAGAGCGTCGGAGACCCTCCTCCAATGGGCAAGCCACGGCTTCCATATCCCGATCAAGTTTCCCCCCACCCTGTGCCACCTCAGGAACCACCACATGGACAACCTCCAAGCGGCATTCCTGGACGAGGAGATCGCTCACCTACTCCACGAGAAGGCAATCCACCTGCTCGGCCTAGGAGAGAAGGCGATGATCTCCCCCCTCGGCGTGGTCACGAAGAAGAACAGCAAGTTCTGGCCGATCGTTGACATGCACTTCATCAATGAATTCTTCAACATGCCCAAGTTCAAGTTCAAGGGACTCAACGAACTGGCGACAATGGTGTGGGCCAACGTAAGGGTCAGTGTGGTTGGGGCGCGATTTCATTGTGTGTGACCCTTACGTTGGCCCACACCATCAGCCACCATCGTTGCCCCAGTTTGGCACGGCTGTTGCTGGTGGAGCGACCTCACCAACGTCACCACTGACACGCTGGTGGAGATACCAACCACTGCTGAGTCATTCATTGGCGACTTTGACACACTACCAGAACTGCTATGGAACAAGAAGTGGGTCTGGATGGCCTTTTGGATCTCTGGTGCACCCAGACCAGAGGCTGGTCGGCCAACGCTGTCAACGTGCTGACCGCGGCACTGGCCACATCAACGTGGCGCAAGTATCATGGGTACCTCCTGCGATTCTGCGACTTCTGCTGGGAACGCAAGATCTCATTCCCCCCACGCCCTCACGTCGCTGTCGCAGCCACAGCCAACTTCGTCAAGGCGGCCACACGCTCAACACAGCGACCAACCTCCACTATCAACTCCATCCTGGCAGCTGTAGCAGCGCTCTACGAACCCCTAAACCTCTTCCCAACAAGAGACCCACTCATCACTCAACTGCAGAAGGGAATCATCCACACACGAACAAAGCAACCAATAGCCACAAGCCCATCATTTGACCCATCAGCAATCAGGACCTCTTCCACCGATGGGGAGAGCAACCTACAAAATCCCAACTTCAGGCCAAGCTACTCGCCCTCCTATGCCTCCTCAGGGCCTTCAGGGTATCAGCAACAGCACTCCCATACTTCAACGCCGTGAGCCGAGCCTCAACCAACAAGAAGCTCGTCGTCCCCGTCATCGGCTACAAGAACAACCCCTGGGAGAGGGCAACACAGTCACCATCTTCCAATCATCAGACGAACGATGCTGCCCCATCACAACGTTCAAGGACTGGAAGACGCGCACACGCGCCATCCGCGCCAGCGCACGCGACTGCCGACTCCTCTTCACACTAGAAAGCCCCACCGCCAGCTTCGTCCAGACGAGTGCGCGACAATCCTGCGCGACACAGCACGGGAAGCGGGTCTAGACGTCGCAATCTTCACACCGAAGACCTTCCGCAAGACGGGTGTACGGACCGGCCTCGACGCCGGCATCCAACCAGACGCCATCCTCAACCTGGGCGGATGGGCAAGCGCCAAGACGTTCTGGCACCACTACATCTCATGCTCCATTCCTGACAACTACACCGACCTCATATTCAACATCAACTCCCCATCGCCACCACCGTGACACTGGCTGTCTCTGTACAAACATACAGAGTGGCTCAAACCAATAGGTAATATGAATCACCGCCATAGGCAGTGATACAGATTATCAGTAGGGAGAGCCACTCTGTATAGTAACCCACCCACCATCCCCACGGCGGCACAGCGCAAGCGAGGAGAAGAGAACTAACAATACGAGGACTTGTTTAATCTTTTATTTTCTTGTATTTCGTTACACGGTAACTAAAAAGAATAAATGATTAAACATACAGAGTGGCTCTCCCTACCGATAATCTGTAATTAATTAGCTGGCGTACGCGTACAAGTCCCTTTCTGCTGCAGGGAAGGAGCTTAGAGGGTGGCGAAGTAGTCATCGAGGATGTCCAGCATTGCGGTGAACGAGGGCCGCTGGCTGGCTCGCTCCTGCCAACAGTCCCGCATGAGCTTGGCCACCACCTTGATGGGCACATGCAACGGCAGCAGACACCGGGCTTAGTTCATGAACGGGCACAAGAGAGGGCGCCATCGGAGGGGGAGGGGAGAGATAAGGGTTGTATACCTCCGGACACGAGGGCGAGATGGGAAGGGTCTGCTTGTCCTGGGCCACCTTGAAGGCCACCGTGAGCTCGTCGTCACCTTCGAACGGCTCCTTCCGCTCCCACAGCTCCCACAACAAGACGCCTGTTGTTGTGCGTTGTGTGTTGCGCGCGTCAGCATTCATCAGTGGCCTTCAAACCCCCCCCCGCTGTGAGCTGTGGTGTGTCGTACCAAAGGCCCAGGCGTCGCTCCCCTCCGAAAACTTGTGCATCATCGCCTCCGGACTCATGTACCGCACTACGCCACCACGCAACGCAACGCAACACAACACAACGCGATGAGATATGTATGATTCAGAGTCAGAGGCGGGGACGCGGCGGGCGTACCGGGGCCGAGGAAGGTCTGGGTGGCGCTCTGGGCGTAGACCTGCTCCTTGGGCTTGAAGTGGCAGAAGGCAAAGTCGTTGACGTAGGCACGACACCCGTCGCCGACGAGGATGTTGCGCGATGCGATCCGCGAGTGGAGAATGCCCTCCTTGTGCAGGTGGTGAATGCCGGCGGCGGTCTCCTTGGCCATCTTGACGAAGGCCTTCCACGGGAGGTCGGCACGCGTGGGTCCGCGCAACACGCTCTCCAGACTGCCGAACCGGTAGTACTGCGACACCACACATACGTTGGGCAGCTCGCTGTGTGTGTGTCGTGTTGTGTGTGTGTCGTGTGTGTGTCGTGTGTGTGTCGTGTGTGTGTCGTGTGTGTCGTGTGAGCAGTGGGCACACGCACGACACGCGCACGCACGCACAGGCACTGGGCGCCACAGTACCAGCAGGCGCCGACAAAGTTGGCGAGTGAGGGGTGGTGGGACAGGAGGGTCATCGCGGCGGCCTCCTTCTTAAACAGCTCCACCATGCCGCTCGTCATGTCCGCAGCGTCGTCCAGCTTCTTCACCGCCACGATCGTGCCGCGCCACCACGCCTACAGGCGCAACACACACACACGTGGAATGTTGCGGAATGTCAGTCACAACACGCATTGTGGCACAGTGATGAGAGGTCGGTACCTTGTAGACGGTGCCGTAGCTGCCGGAGCCGATCTTGGAGATGATGTGGAGCTCGTCGAAGCGGATCTCTTTGAACTTCTCCTGGGCCTTGTCCTCGTCAGACTTGCGCTTCTCCTCCTGGCCCTGGCCCTCGACCTGGGGGCTGGCCTCCCTCCCGCCCTTCACCAGCGCCCCCGGGAACGGAGCCGGCACCGCGCCCGGCACCTCAAAGTACCCTCCATCGTCGGCCTGCGCAGTGGGCGCTGGTGCGGCCGGCGACTGCGCCTGCGGTTGGGCCACAGGCGCCTGTGCAGGCGCAGGCGGAGCGAAAGAAGGGGATGACGACGTCGACGAAGCTGGATCGAACTGCTGTTGGCCCGCCTGTGGGTGGTGCGACGCCAGGCTCCACGATTGCTGCTGTTGCTGTGGCTGTGGCTGGTGTTGTTGTTGGGGTTGCGATTGCTCGTGGTAGGCTGTGGGTGGCGTCATGCCACTGGGGGAAGAGTGGTAGGCCTGCGCTGGATTCGAGAACATGCCGGGGTCGGGCATCGCGAAGTACTGCGAGGCGTCGGCGTACTGCGGGCCGGGCGACGGGAACGACAGCGGCTCCTGCGGCTGCGGCTGCGGGGACTGCGAGTACGGGTACTGAGCGTAGGGGGCCGGCGGCAGGCCGTACGACGGAACCGGTGGCCTGGAGTACGCGGCCGCAGGGTCGTAGGGCTGCTGGTGCGGATAGGGCGCCGGCGCCGAGAGCGGGTACACGGGAGTCGGGGCCGGGGCGCTGCCGCAGGAGCCGTAGGGCGAGTCGGTACACGGCGCAGGGTAGGCGGCGGGTCCGGAGGCGTAGGGCGCGGGCTGCTGGGCGTAGGCCATCGCCGATGACGGGCACGCCGAACAGGGCGGGCACATTTCGCGAAATCGGGCCAGCAGTTTCTAGAGAGGGAAGGGAGTGGGCTCATCAGTGAAGGCCAACACAATGTGAAGAACCATTGGTACATGATGGGGAGTGGAGTCGAACCTGAGCATCAGCGATGAAGGCCTTGGCGCAGGCGTCGTTGCTGTATTGCAGCTGGAAGGCGGCCACTTGATTCTCGAATTGGACGCCGTGCTCCTCGGCACGCTCAACGTTCTTCTGGTTGAGCGCCTGCAGCCACGCAACAACAACAAAAAAGAGTGAAGGAAATTTAGTTCCGACTACACGTGTCTCTTTCGTTCTTTTTGTAGCTGGATTGGGGGGGCAAGATACGTACCACGCCCAGCTGGTGCATATGGTTCTGGTTCTTGATTTCCTTGATGGCTTGCTCCACCTGATCCTGGCGAATAATTTTCGGTCCCTCACGCCTGTACTTTTCAAGCAACGCCTGATCGAAAGAGTAACGATCATCAGTGCCCCGCCAGAGCGCCTGTATTGCGGTGCGTACTTTGGCTTCCCTGATGAAGGGCTGCGCAGATAAATCCGCGCCGAACTGGGGCGTGAACTGTGCGAAGCGTTCTTCCAGGGGTGGTCCGTATTCCTGGACCTTCTGGGCGTTCTTCTGGACCAAGGCCTGCGCAAGATATTCAATTCAAACAGCGATGACGACATTGCACCGCATTCATCATCATCATCATCACTAACTGTTGACGCACCATCGACAGGTAATGAATTTCGTTGTGGCTCTTGAACTCGGAGATGGCCTGCCGAACTTCCTCTTCTCGAGCGATGACCGGGCCTTCCTTCTTGTATTTCTCGAGAAGCGTCTGTTGTTGGTGTTGGGGTGATGAGGAGTCAGTGATGGGATTCAATCGCATGGTGCGCTGGTGGTGATGGTAGTATGGACGGAGGCGCACCTTGGTCTCTCGCACGAAGGACTGAGCACACGAGTCGCTCGCGTAGTGGTTCATGAAGTCATCGAACAGCTCTTGCAGCTTGGGTCCGTGCGTTTGAACGGTCTCAGTGTTACGCTGGGAAAGACCCTGTACAATGCATGGAGCACACGTCAGCACACGTCAGCGCACGCACGCACGCACGCAAAACAGCACACAAACTACACGATTACGTGCGTGTGGCGCTTTAGGTACCATGGAGAGGAAATGTGTGTGGTTGGTGCTCTTGATCGAGGAGATGGCCTGTCGCACTTCCTCTTCTCGCTTAAGGATCGGGGCCTCCTTCTTGTACTTGGCCAAGAGGGCCTGATCGAAGAGCAAAGAAAGTGCGCACTTTTGAGCACTGTACGTCGTAGTCGACACCAAGACACGTGCATTGGTTTGGTGGCTTGGTCGCGCACCTTTCCCTCCTTCACAAACTGTGCAGCGATCTTGTCCTCGCTGTACTCTCCCAGGAAGTCATTGAATTCTTGCTCGAACTCGGGTCCGTGTCGTTCCACCTGCTCGTGATTCTTTTGTTGCAGGTACTGCGCGCGCCCACACACACACACAACACACACACACGTCCGATGGTCAGAAACAATACGTTGGGAGGAATAGTGTAACATGCCACAGTGGTACGCACCATGGAAAGGAAGTGCATGTGGTTGGTGCTCTTGACGGCACGGATGGCCTTCTGCACTTCTTCGTCCCTCAGTATGCCAGGGCCGTCTTTGTGATACCGATCGCACAGCGCCTTTGTGGGAAAAGTGAAGTTTAGATAGGAGTTATAAACGCAGGGCTTAACCATACATTGCAGTGCGACGAAGACGTATCAAGACTGACGAGGGGTGATTACCTTGATTTCCTTGACGAACATTTGGGCGTACTTGTCATGTTCGTATAGCGCCATGAAGTCCCGGTACTGTTCTACGAACTTCTCGCCGTACTGCTCGAGCTGAGTCGGGTTCCTTTGGTTTAGAGCCTGCAACAGCCATAACAAACGTTATTTTGAGTTCATCGTGCAATTGCAGACCACGATGTCAACGTTGGTTGTTCCATCCACATTTCCATTTACATGGGAAGTGAAGAAGCTGTTATGACCAAGGGCACGTACCATGCTCAGATAGTGCACGCTGTGGGTCGATTTGAAGTCGCTGATGACCGCTGTGACTGCGGCTTCGTGGATGACCTCGGGTCCAACAGTTTTGTAGCGCGCCACCAAATCCTGGATAGGGTAGTGGGTGAGGCAGAGTGTCCGTCGGCGAGGTGAGGCGAACGGACTGCAAATGAATGAGGACTGCTTGCGGCGTACGGTCCACTCTTTCACCGTGGCGGTGAACTCCTTGGTCGGATTTTTGCCGCAGGTGGCGATCAGATGCTCCAGCTGCTCCTCCACCCTCGGCCCATGGACCTTCACCTGATCCGCGTTCCTCTGGGCAAGCGCCTAGCGACACCACGCCGAAGAAGGAAATCAGCTTAACTCCTATCAAAATAAAATAAAATATAATAAGAAATAACAAAAACATAATAATAATAATAATTCGTAATAATGAGTGTGAAGGAAGGTACCATGGTGAGGTAGTGGACGTTGTTCTCGTTACGGATCTGGGAGATGGTACGCCGGACCTCCTCCTCCCAGGTGATGACCGGTCCCTCTCTGTGGTATTTGTCGAGCAAGGCCTGCACCATCGCATGCGGCTCGATTTAGTTCCGCCCGATGACAATCGCACCAAACCGAGGTAATTTGGCCCGTTCAAGTTCGAACCTTGCCAGAGGCAACGAAGGTGCTCGCCCTCTCCTCGAACCCATACAAGGACAGGAACGCCTCGAATTGTGCCTCGAACTTAGGGCCGTAGTTGAGTACCGAGTCGCTGTTCCGCTGGTTGAGCGCCTGGTGCGGGTCGGAGAGAAAGAAGCTATTGTAACAATCCTCAATTACCAGATCGGCGCATTGATGGCGGTCATGAATGACCGACACCATGGTCACGCACCATTTGAAGGTAGTGCATGTTGTTTGTAGACTTGAATTTGCTGATCTCCTGATCGATGAGTTGCGTTTGGTGGATTTGCGGGCCTTCGGTCCGATAGCGCTCGAGAAGGGCCTGCGGCCGCGTTGCGTGAGCCATACAAGAGGTGGTGGTGAGTGTTAGATCAACTTCTTCCCTAGAAAGTAATAGTTGCCGGTTCGGAAAGAACCGACGTGCCTGGGCTTGGGTGATGAACTCCTGGGCGTCCTGGCACGGCGAGTCGGCGTAGGTGGCCACAAACCGGTCGACCTCCTGCTCAAAGGCAGGGCCGTGTTGGTAGACCCAATCTGCGTTGTGTTGGCTCAGTCCCTGTGTGTGGTAAAGCGGGGAAACCGATTGGATTGATGAGGGTCGAGAGTCAAAGAGGCCCATCAAGACAGAGAGTGATGGAGACCGAACCAGGGAGAGATTGTGCAGGTGGTTCTGGGACTTGATGCTGGCGATGACCTTGCGCACTTCGGCTTCGTGGAGGATGGTCGGGTAGATGCTGATGAGTGCAAGAAGAAACACAACAGTTTTGATATCTCAGCTCCCGAGTCTTTCACGAAGCTGTAGCTTAGTCAACATACCTGTTGAACGAGACGAGGGTCCGCTCGACCTCCTTCCTGAAGTCGGCCATCGCGCGGATGTCGTCGTACGATTGGTAGGCGAACAGAAACTCCTCCGCCTTGGGCACGAACACCTCGCCGTAGCGTTTCATGGCGCTCTCGTTTCTCTGGGCGATCGCCTGGAAGTGAAGCACGCGGGTCAGTGCGATGAGTGCGTGCGTGCGGGTCGTCGACCAGACACTGTCAGGCGAGGGTGGTGGTTGGTGCGACACCTGCTGAGTGAAGTGTAGGACGTTGTCGGAGCGGAAGCGGGCGATGGCCTCGGCGGCTTCGTGCTGGCGTTCGAGCAGGGGGATCTCGGCGTGGAACCGCCCCAGCAAGCTGGTGCACTCCCGCACCAGCTTGTCGACGGCCGGGTCGGACTCCTGCAGATGGCCGAAGTGGGCCTGGAACGAACCGAACTCGGTCTCGAACTGCTGCCCTTCGGTCTTGGCCCTCTCGTAGTTGCCCTGGGCCAGCGCCTGGGCACATTGTCGTTTGCGAAGTGTAAGTCATTTTAAGGTCCGATATCCCAAATAAAATGAAATATATTATTATTTAATTTGTTAGTACTAAATAAATTAAAGAAAAAGCAGGTCAAGAAAGGTGGTGCAGAACATAATACTCGGGGGGGGATGAAAGAAATAAAGAGAGCGAGAAGAACAGACCATAGACAGGGCGTCTCGTGGTAGCCGGCTTGCCGCACTCCGCCACGCCTCCATAACGCTGCACCGGTGAAAGCGGAATGTAGGCCCCGCGTCTGGGTCGCTACAGGGAAGGGAGTACCAGGAATTCAAGGCAATGCCCGATGTTCGGGTTGCAAGGACCAACCACAAATCAAAGCCCGGCAACCAATCCGAAGCTATGACGCCTAATTTATTTTTCAAACATATTGGGGTGAAACAAAATCAAAATGAATAACAAGGAAAAGACACAAAAAAAAATAATCTTGGCGTGCACTGAACAAGGAGGAGGCCACAATCGATCCTGTTCTCGTCCTTCCTTGCGGCAAACAAATGGTGTGGGTCCCAGCCAGCGCATTTTATGTTGTGTGGGCCTAACCGAGGTAACTCACCATTTGTTTGGTTGCTGTGTCCTGGGCACAGGAGCTGCAACAACAGATAATGAAGATCAAGGCCGTCAACGCCCCCATGTACCACCTCCGTATGGTGCGCCCTCCCTTCTCTCTTCGCTCTCTCTTCACTCCGACGGAAACCAAATCAAATCAAAACAACTAATATTAATAATAATAATGCCTTCCATTAAAAATGAATTTATATTTCATTTAAAATATAAATAAATACAGGGCCTGGCACAACGGGACCTCAACAAGGTGCAAGAAAACGGGCCACTCCTCGCCGCGCAGTTGTCGGACCTCGAGCAGGCGCCCGGGGCTGCACAAAACCCGCACGTGCAGTCCTTCCTGCGCGAAGGCCGGGTACGTTTTCGTGCGACGTTGGCCCACGTTGAGAGCTCTCTGATCGGTTCATTGACGCGTTTGTGTTGGTTTGTTTTTGTTTTCATCGCCGGCAGGCGCTGCTGGACAAGTACGCGGTGGAGTTGCCGCTGCTGCAGAGAGGGGATCAAGTGAAGAAGGCCATACTGAAGATCAAGTCGCAGGGTTCCTGGTTCAAGCTCGAAGGGGTGCGCAAGCCCACCACACACATGACTCGTTTGCATGGTACCACCATAGGCTGGTATTTCAGGAATTCACACGCAACGCTCCCCGTGTCACACATATTTGGCGCCAGGCGTTGGCGCAAGGCGATGCGCAAGCGGTCAAGAGCTACGGCGACAGCTTCGAGAACGAGATCAGGACGTTCACACAACAGTACGGAGGGGTACGCCGCCTTCCTTCATCCATCGACGCATTCCTCTTTATGGCGAGCGCTCACCGTGTCGTGTCGTTGGTCGTGTTGTGGGTGGGCGTGGGCGTGGGCGTGGCGTGGGCGTGGGCGTGGGCGTGGGCGTGGGCGTGGGCGTGGGCGTGGGCGTGGGCGTGGGCGTGGGCGTGGGCGTGGGCGTGGGCGTGGGCGTGGGCGTGGGCGTGGGCGTGGGCGTGGGCGTGGGCGTGGGCGTGGGCGTTGTTGCGTGCAGGAGGCGCTGGCCGGCAGTTTCCTCGACGAGGCGCAAAAGCTTCTGGGAAGACTGCACCAAGAGGGCGATGGCATCATACGGGCGAGCAGAGTGCGGGAGGAGATCGCCAAGATTCGGCAGCAGGACGACATGACGCGCCTCAGCATGGTAATATGTCGTCCCTCCATTCCCGCCTGTGCCGTGTTCTTCGAGAAGAATACTAAAACCAGCGTGACCGGGACGCAGGCGCTCAACGTCCGCGACGGCCCAAAGATTTCCCAGCATGGTGCGGCGTTCAAGGCACAGATACAGAGGTTCAAGCAGGCCTATGCAAATGAGCCGGCAGCTCGTGTCTTTCTCAATGAGTCCGAGGTGCGTTATTAGAGAAAGATCAAACGAACAAAGCTTGCGGTAGTGGCGTTGACATTGACTCGCTAACCATATGAGACAGGCACTCCTTTCGAGGTACGAGCGAGAAGCGCCCTCCATCCTGCGCGAGGACGAAGTGAAGAAGGCCATCGCCAATCTGAGGCTCAAATCTGAGCTGATGGCC